GACGCTGCTTGGTATGAAAAGTCATATTTTCACATTTTCAGAATGATGTGCATTTGTTACCTTTACTCAAACAATACACAGCAACAAACTGGAAGCCTTATAGTCTAGTCTATCATATAGTCTAGCAACCAGATTTGTATGGACTATTTTAGCTCTCTGAGTAATCCTCCAGCAGATAATCACTACTCCTGGTTAAGAAATAATCTCGCCAAAATGTAAAACGGATAGTTGTCACTTTTACACTTCAAATGGTTCATTAAACACATTTACATTTGTTGCACGTAAAGGTTTCATATCTGGCTCGTGGATCATAATACTTTTAGACAAAGCTTCCCTACCTACGTCCCTCACTTTCTTTGCTAATCTGAGCTAACTGGTGGATTTAGATTAGGTCTATAGCATAGACTGTATATACTATGGACGACTTGGTTCCGCCTTCTGTCAGTATACGGATTGAAGCCAAAAAGCTCTCGGTATTTCCGTGTTCTCTCCATTTCCTGAAATCAACATTGCACAGTCGCATTGTATGCACTCCACCACTTCGCAGTAGCATTGTGTGTATTCGGCGGGAGAGTCGCCGAGAATCGCTGTGATGGGTGAGCTAAGCAATCCTTGTACGCCCATAGGCTGTATCAAGTGTCAATCATAGAAAACATGAACCCCCTAATAACTTTTAAAAATGGAGCTGTACAGAAAAAAGAGGACTTGAGCACAAACCAGTCTTACAAAAACTACATTAGTGATTGGAAGAACATTTCTTTTGACTGTACTGAATCTTTAGAATCCGTTCATTAAAACGATTCATTCAAAAGTTTCGTTCACTGAATCAGTCAGTGCTTCGGAGCACCGTCTTGCCGGTGCAGTACATGAGTGAGTGACACAACCTCAAGTTCATTCATTGAACGAGCCCCTCCCCTCCCCTGCTGCTGAAGTCACAGCATTGTTAACTGGGTGACACATGTCGTTCATTTGCCAAGTCCTGAAGGAAGAATCACTCCTCTTTGTTACTTTTAAACAATGTTCAAAAGTAACAGCAAACTGTTACTTTTGAACATTGTTTTTTGTGAATTACTTTAGATAGATTTAAATTATGAAAAAAAAAAAAATACAGTGTTTGGTGGAGATCATTTACTTAAGTGATTATACACAGGAATGTACAGCAACATTTGTCTAATTACCTGTATGTTGAATTTGAAGCTCAGATGAGAACGTTTTGGCTTTTGTCAATTTGGTGCCCCCGGTGGATGAGGCAATCTTTTCTTATATTGTCTTGACATTACCCTCTTGCACTGATATTAAATATTAATATAAATATTGTGACAAGGCATCAACATGGTTTTCAGTCTATTTCATTTGTGTGGAAAAACTCCTCACCGGAACTTTTAATGATAGTTGTTTTTAGGAAGCAACAACAGACAAATGCTATCGGTTTGTGTTAGTGCACACAAACTCTGGCCACCCCTGCCTGTTTCAGAGCCAGTTAGGCCACCTTAGTCCAAAAAGTCTGGACACACCCCTGTTGAAACCAGGTGGTGTCCCATTGTTTTATCTCTTGTCTTTCGAGTTACACATGCACCTTTTTCTTGAGAATTTATTTATTATAAGGGTCGAAATAAAAGCAAATTCTCAACTGGGGAAAGGTTTAGAAGTTATATCCAGGCTGTCAAACATAGCTGTCATTATAGGTAATGTTTACACACCACTCTTCCCTACTTGAAAAAGGTCTGCCTTTTATTTATCTTTCTCTTATTACCAAAGTTACCCTGAGTCAATCACCCCTTATCTTTGACATCATGGCATTAGGTTTTACAGCACAGAGCAAATCTATCATTTCACTACTGGAAGCTACACTTCTTTTACTGTAAAAATCCCAATGTCAGATTTTAAAGCAGCACACACAATTTGCTGTTTGTGCTCAATGTCTTACTATCAGGATCATCTGATAAACAAACGTGTCTTGGAATCACTGAGAGTGAAATATTTACAACTGGAAATTTGTACACAAGCAAAACCTCGTCTGACATGGATTAAACAGCTGATATTTGCAGATTCAAGCGTGCTGAGAAAGACATTCCAAGCTTTCAAGCCCACAGAGGCATTGTGGGAGTCTACAGTACCCCCGCTCGTGTCTGTGTAACTATTTTGACAGATCGGACTGAAGCCGGAAGACATCAGCGGCGATAAATCATGTCTAGCACATCTTTTCCTCATGTGCTCCATTGATGTCAACTGAAAGTATCTCAGTCGGCACGCAGGGCAGCCTTTCACAGCTCCAAAGAGCTCCAAAGAGCAGCCATCCATGATTCATAATCCATATTTCATAAAGAGAAAATTAAACTCAATCCTGGTGTGCATTTTTTTTTATCCCAACACCTCCCTTACCTGGAGATTTGGAAACTCATCCAAACAAAATGAACATAAACACACATAAACAGTTATGTGGCAGGTTTTTAAAAAATCATACCTGGAAGACACCCTGAGGTTTTTTTTTTCTTTTTCTTTAAGACAGCTTATCTTAACAACACAAAACTGACACCAGCAATTCAACTACCTGCCTGACAAATCTGCACATTTCCCTCTTTCCCTTACATCAAAACTCAAGGGCACCATCTCCTTAAACTGCAGGCTTCTGTATTAGTCTTCAGAGTATCAAGTTTGTTATGAGAATCGTGTAGTGCACTCTTTCCACAGATAAAACATGCTTTGTGTAGGCACAGTCGCTTTGACTTTGTCTTGCAGGCAAAAAAGTATTCTGAATGTAAATGAGATTTGGTGTAAACAAACAATAAATCAATAACCTGGTTTCTTTCAGTTTAAAGTGCACAGTAAGGGAATACAAAATAGACAAAAATGAAGGTTGGGAAGGTAAAAAAACAATAAGACAGAAGTCTGTATAAACAGTTTTTGCAGGTAGATTTGCAGTCAGGAAACGCTTGGCTTGTTGCAATAAATTTGGCGTTAAATGCCTTCAGTCAACATAAACAAACAAAATGATTTCATGAGTGTGTGTTGTATAGTCAGACATTAGTTTCGTGTATATGGGCACAAATAATCTGAATAAATGCCAGGTTGGAATAAAAATGTGCCATGTAAACATGTTGATCGGAACATTCTGATCCAATTCGGCTCAATCGGAAAAAAATTGTACTCCGATCAAAAGGGGTGGTTTATGCCGATCGTTATTCCGAAACACGTCCATGTAAACATTTACTCCGATCATGACTCTCTTACCTGACCCGATCTTCACTCTTTAGCTTTTTGTTTATTTATTGAGGCCAGTACAGGAGGTTTCATTATTAACACTATGGCATAAAACACAACCCCAGGTGCCGTGTCTGCTCCTCCTCCGCTAACATAACAAGGCGTACATACAGCGTGATGATGTCACATCTGCACGCACAGTGCAACCTTTGATGGAGCAGTAACATAAGTAAGCAAGGGCGCCATCTACTGACAACATTCAACAGGGGGAAAACTCCTGAATTGGATGGAGTGAGCCACTACTGTGTTTGTTGGTTTATTGGTTTGTTGACTGCACAGGTGTCGAAAAAACTCTTCCCCGCAGTTTTTTTTTAGCAAAATTAGACAACTCCCTGCATTTAATCTAAATAAAGCTCAGTGCATGTATACGCAAGTCATAATAGGATTATTTGATTTTGTGCCCAGTGGATTCAGATTGTCTGATCCCTTGAATCCCCATGTAGACGTGGCTAAATGTTCGAAAAGAAAAGAATGGTTTTAATGTCTCCTACTCCTACTAGTATTTTTTTATGATTATTTAAAAAAAATGAAATACATATTGATGCCTTCACATGATATATAAAAGCAAAAATCTCACTATTCTGACTTTTATCTTGTCAGCAGAGCAGCTAAAAACAGGCGCTTCGTAAATTTGACCGTCCAGTCAGAATAATAAGAATTTTGTCAAAAATACACTTAGACTGTTTTGCCCACAGGGGGCACTAAAATCGACACAAACTTCAAGTTCCTCACAGGAGCTTTAAATGTTGCAGGTTATGGAAGCTGTCCTCATCAGACGTGTAATAAAGTGTGTTTTATCCGCCTTGAGATTTGGCACATCACATGATACCAAAGCAACACAATGGAAGCAAAGGCATGTTGTATTTGACGGTTTCCCTCAGTGAGATGACAATGATCCACTTTAAATATTCTTTTATTTCTACACACATGAATGCTAAACAAAACACATAATTTATTAACCTTACTTTAAGTTATCTTTATTTGTACAGTATTTCCCTGAACCAAACCCAGTAGTCTTGTCGCTAAACCTGACCAACCTGCCATCTGTTAAACAATGTTGATAATCCGTGTTTAGAGTTTTAAACAACTCAAATGGGAGGTTTCCAGTGACACATCGACATGATTTAACTGTAAAATACATGAAGGCAGGTGGTAAAAAAAAAAGAAACAATACCAAAGTACAGCAGAGACAAACCATGTAAGTAATAAGAGGCAGCTATGGTTCAAATCCAAATGTCCGGGTCATAGATAGCACCAAATGTTAACTACACTTTTTCTTATTGGTTTTACAGTTTTTAGGCTTATATGTCTTTATTCAAAGAGAGGACAGAGTCGTAAACTGGGAGAGAGGGAGTGGGAGTGACATGACTGCAGGTTGGAATCAGATTCCGTCCACTTGCTTCAAATGCTACAGTCTCTGTATTTTAGGCATGCAAGTTGAACCGCTCAGCCAAACTGTCTCCTTTGTCAACTATCAGGAAAACAAACTGAAGAAGATTTAGAGTAATATTTAAAAGTCAAAGTCAGATAATACCCTCAGACAGACCCTAAGGTAAAAAAAAGGCTTTACAAAACCTATGAAAGTGTTGTTTCTTTATGCATTTCTTTAACAATGCATCTACTGTGTCAAACCACATTCATGTCATTTCATTGGTGCTCGTCTTTCGACACGACTTTCTTTGGTTGAATGTGTTGTACAAACATCAAAAATTGATCCTGACATGGATTGACGCTCCAACCTAGCTTGTGCTCTTGTGGTCCTGCAGGAAAGAGTTGTTGTTGTTGCTCCTCCTGCTTGGAGCTGGCAGCCTGCTCATCTTGTCCTTCAGGTCCTTGAGGCTGTACAGTCTGCCAAAAGTGAGGCTAAACGGACCCCGTCCTTCCACCTTGGGTTTAGTGAAAAGGTTCTGGGATGTAAGCCTGAGCTGGCGCTGTGAGTTTGAGTGCGTAACAAGAAGGGAGGTCTTATGTCCGTCGCTCAAAAGGCTCTGCTGGCTGCGGGAGACGTCCGCCTGCCTTCGTGCAGCTGCAGATCCAACAACGCCAGTTGCAAGTGGTGAAAGTTTGCGTGAAGAAGAAGCGTTATCCAAGACCTGTGAGCTACTTTGGTTCAATATGCTTTCTCCCTTGTTGAGGAGACTGCTTCCCCAGGGACGAGGCCCCAAGAACTGGCCCGAGAGGGGTCTGGATGGCCTGGGAACGCAAGACACTCCACTTTCTTGGTGCTGCTCCTCGGGAGGTTTGGCAAGAGTTTGCACAAGCTTTAGAAAAGACAGGAGAGGAGAGAATAGCAGCTTTAGAAGAATGAGATTTTAACACATAATGAGGGTTTAATAACACGACAGCACAGACAAAGTTCTGATCCTCTATTCTATCTGTGGGCGAGCAACTTATCTACGGCGCTGTGTTAAATTTTTACACCCACAAATGAAGCGCCAAGTGACATAAAAGCTTTGTGAGGTACTTTGAAGCAAAAGTGCAATCTACTCTATTGTCTCTGTGTTTAAAAATACATGAGGGAACTGAATTAAAAGACACCAACAACATCTCACCGACTCCATCGTGAGGCTAGACTTGGGCTGAAGGTGGGCGAGTTAAACAGCATCAATAGATGTGAAGTTATCAATCTTTAACCGATTCATGAATATTGAATCGACGTGAATGGGAGGGGGCGCTTCATTAAAGTATGTCACTTTAATTCACAAACGGTCTCCTTGTTTAATAATGAAACAAGTGTTTCAACTCGGTGACGCTCCGCTGGCGAATATTCAACACATCCAGACACACAAGGACAGAAATGGTAGTTTGAAGAGCAACGTGAATACACAGTTAATAATATACAATCAAATAATTAGAACAAATAGATAGATAGATAGATAGATAGATAGATAGATAGATAGATAGATAGATAGATAGATAGATAGATAGATAGATAGATAGATAGATAGATAGATAGATAGATAGATAGATAGATAGATAGATAGATTTCTTGATTAGTTCAGTGATTGATTTTTAATATTAATCACAAAAAAATAAAGGAACAAACTTCACAGTGGCATACCCTTATTTATATTTTCTGTTTTTCCACCTTTTTATTCCTTTGTTTTTTTCAGTAGCATTTACAAAAGGACACACATAATCCTTGTTAAATATTTGACACTTAATAAAAAAATCAAAGTATCACCGCAGTGAGACGTTATGACTTCAGCAGCTGAAATTTGGTTCCAGGTCGTAGAATTCTGCTCCGTCATACTGCAGATTGTGAATTATGTCCTCTATTCAGCGTGGTGAAGTCATTTTTGTTTAATACAATGACGTAAATCTTGGCATGACTCAAAAAGCGATCAATATTTATGTACTTCAGGTTTAAATATTGATAATAGCATTTGATTTAAATGGAATTCATGAGTAAAGCTAGCCGCTCATGTCATGTAAGCTGTCAGTTGTGGGGATGAGGCTGCGGCTGACGTGGGGCATTCAGGGACAGGTTTCATAATTTTCAAAAAATAAAAAATAAAAAAATAAAAATAGCACTTTCGGTGGACTAGTTCCTTGTGAAGGACAAATTGCAGTTATTAGATTTTAGAGTAAATGAAGCCCATGAAAATCTCTCTTGTAATGGTCACCTCACTATTAAACTAGTTGTGTTATTTAGCTTAGTATGAAAACTGGAATCAGTAAAAAATAGCCGGCCACTAACTGTCCAACGCACGTTGTTTTTAATGTATTTAATTCATCTAAACTGCCAATCAAATTAAGTGCAAACCTATGTCTTAGTAGAGGCAGATAATGTCCAAAGTATTATCTATATCAAAAGCGGGCAGTATACCACCTCCTCACAAGTGAAGCCAAAATATCTACCATTCTTCAAGGTGGCATGATGATCCCCTTCCCTCATGTTTATAAATGGGACATTGGTCAAACAGAAATTTTAAATCAATGTCAGATTGATTTTTCTCAAACGTGGTTTCCGTTTTAATGGTTGGTTCTTGTCTGCTTATTTTATGTGCGAGTGTTCATTCTCTTAGGAAGCTGACTTTAAGCTAGTTATCTGATGCTGAATAATGTAGAGTGTCATTGTGTTTAAAACAACAGCTCTGAAAACAGAACCTTACAATGTACTGATTTACAGTAAAATCCACTCGCTTTGCTTTGTGGGAAATAAACTATGTATTTCTGAAAAATTCAACAAAGATCAGTTTATTTTTAAAGACCATCCTCATCGATTTCCTAAAAAGGAAGGTTATTCGTAAAAGTTTTATATGAATTTTGTTGAAACAGTATCATTTTGGTTGTTGGTTGACTGTTCTAGGCTGTATTTGCTAGCCGTAAATGTAGTCAAACGTTTGTGTTTTGACTTAACCCTTTAATGCCTTATCTTTCATACTTGATACATACTTTTATATACTTCTATCAAATCAATATGATCAACAAATTACTAAAAAAACACCTGAATACAGTCCGATAAATTATAAACATGTCCTCTTTTCGTTTATTAATTTCCGAAAAAAATCTAATATATCAAACAAAATAAATAAATATATGTGTTACAGTTTAAGGACATTTAGATTTTTTTTTTATTTCAGTAGTAAGTGAAATAAACATTTCAGCTCCAAAAAAAATTTTTATTGTCTGGCCATAATTTGTGGTGTTAGGCATTAAAGGGTTAAAGGACAATTTTTTTTCCCACACAAGAAACCCGTGTGGATTGATATGAGGATTTAAAAGAACTTATATAATAAGCAGAATTGAATTTGAATTACCAATTCCCATTCATAGTCACGATTGTGATAACTCTATTGACAAATACAGGCACTAGTGGCCACTACTAGTCGAGTAGCAGAGGGAGGGTGACAGTAAATATAACAAACTCCAACACAAGAGTCAATAGGGTCTGCTTTGATGGACAAAGGGAACTATTACCCCAAAGAGAAAAGTGTAGCACAACAATGTGGAGGGATGTTATTGACTCCAAAATATGTCACCACAGAATTTCATATTAAGGTGTCACTTTTTGACAATGAAGGGAGGTTAAGGCACGCTGTCCATTTAGAGAATACAGTCAACGCTGCTTACCCCAAAATAGTTAGACCCTTAAAATATGGCTACTTTCCCCATCTATTCCAGTCTTTGTGCGAGAGGGATTAATTCTTCCTTTGCAAAAACAAAATGTTCATCATCAAACTATTTCTTATAAGATTGCCAATGTGGCTTTTATAGGCTTAGAATCACACAGAAAAGGTAAGTAAAAAAAAAAAAAGACAGATCAAGGTAGACCTTAAAATGTTGATTTAAACAGGACTAATATTAACATGTGACCTCTGATAATACGTGTGGATTTTAAACTTCACAATATCTAAACATGGTATATTTTTATGAGATGTAGATCACTGATAGCCTCCTAAATTACAACATATTACTAGAGGTCACCAGAAAATACCAGCAGTATTAGTAGTATTAAACTCATTGAGTGTTGATGTTATAAAGATTATTTCTTATGTTTTAACGTATTATGGGTTGATTGCAGCTGCTTTGAGATGTTAAAATACACACTATCTAAAAAGGTTTATCAATAAGAGAGATTTTTTCTCTTCCCTTGATCAGCCCATTTTTGTCACCACCACAATTTCCGAGACGTAGTTGTTAAAGATGAGTTACGTGTCCCCTTTAAGAAGTGGATAAACAGTGCTTACCCTTTATGCCACTGGTGTACGCTGAACAGTAAACTGTAAAGTGGTTAAAAATTGCAAAAAGTAGAAATGAATTTGGTTAGAATTAACCTGCATGACATTTGAGGATTATCGTTTGAGGATAAGTGATATTTTATGATACAGGGATGGAAACATGGGTTGACTCCTTATCGTACCTTCTGCCCCTCTGTCTCTTTGTTGGGCTGGGCCTTGTCTTTCCTTAGCACAACGTCAGGTACCAATGGCGCCTTCTCTTTGTCCGACCCCTCCTTCCCGGGAGAAACCATCTTTGGTTTGGGGTCACTCGTGGATGATCGCTTTGACGCAGTTCCCTCATTGCTTCCTGCAGAACTTCCCTTATCTGCCGCCTTTTTCTTCTTAGGCACTTGGGTTAGGGCATCCTTGACTTTTCCTACTTTCTCTTTAACACTGCCTGACCTCTGGGAGCCTCCCTCCTTTTTCACTGCCTCTTTCTTTTCATTCTCCTCCTTTTTATTGTCTTTACATGTAGCCTTCTCCTCTTCCTTTTTCTTCACTTCCTTCGTAAGGATAGAAGACGATAAGGAGACATTACCAGGCTTGGACACACTCTGTGTTAAATTGCTGGTGGTTTTCTTTGAGTTGGAATTAGGAGAATTCGTATGTCCGAGGTTAACCTGATCTTCGGTTGTCCCTTGGCTGGGATTAGCTGCTCCATCTGAACCCGGATCAAGGAGACTAGGAGATCCACAACATTCGTAATACTCCTCTGAAGTGGTTGAGAGATAGGAGTCCTCTATCGCAGAGGTGTACCCATCACTGACATCTGGGGTCGGGGTTCGAAAGTCAGGGGTGCGGGATCGAAGATCTGGAGAAAGTCCGTCTGGGGTCGGAGAGGGCGCCAGGGCCATTAGCCGTCGTGATTCCCTGTCAGGTGTCAGAGAGCGTAAGTCTGTTGTATGTGAGTCAGAGAGCGGTAAGCGCAGAGATTTTTCTGGTGTGTGTTTACCTTCACGTAATTTAGGAGTAAGATCTAGAGAAGTGTTGTGTGTGTTGTTCTTGGAGATTGCTGAATCCACAGTGTCTGTGACACATTTATTATTTGGTGGTGACTCGCTCTTTGATGTTGTCTGGATTTCAGGTGTTTTTCCACTGTTTGTTTTGGGACGAGCTACATCTGTGCTGTTTTCATTTGGTGTTTGAGCCAACTCACTAGGAGTTTCATTCTCTTCTGTGGCCTTTGTGTCTGCCGGTTTTGTGGCTACAGTGTCCGTCTGTGGGGTTGATTCATTGCTTACTGGTGTCAAAGTCTTGGGTGTAGTCAAGTTTGGAATAGTGTCTTGATTATCCACATTCTCCACCTTCGGTTTCTCAGTATTCAGGTCATTTGGCTGAACTTTTAGGTTTGTTCCTGCTTCCTCATTCTGTGTCTCTTGGGAAGTCCCGCTCTCTTTTTGTTGAGGAATGACTTCGACATGTCCTGTGCTCTCTACATTTTTTTGTGTTTCATTATTTTTCTTCAACTCTGGCACAATCTCCGGTTGTTTTTCTGGAGATGTTTTCACCACAGACGTTACAGCAGGCTCACTTTGAACCACTACCGTCTCTAAGCTCATCTCAGAGTTTTTGGCAATGCTGCATTCCAACAACTTCTTGCCATCGCTCACAACAGCATCTGTTATACGGAGTTGGATAGTCCGAGGTTTGGGGATGGGAGGAGTTAAATTTGGAGGCAGAGAAGAGACCTCTGCAGAAGTGGGGAGGGGATGATTGGGAGTTTGAGAAGGTGAGATGATCGGAGGAACGGGAGAAGAAGAGGCATTGACATTACTTTCAGGGCCAAAAGAGGAAACATGGTTTTTGGTGATGGTAGGGATCTGGATATTTGGATTTATTTTAACGTTATTTTGTGACGGTGTGGGAGTAGCCTGTGTGTGTGAATTTGGAGGAACAGTCTGCTTTTCTTTGCTAGAGTCTGTGTGTGAAGTTTGTGTAGAGTTCACCTGAGAGCTTTGCGTGTTTTCTGTTTCATTTTCAGGGTTTGATTCAGGCTTCGGACTATTTTTGGTTACAAATACAGATTTGTATCTATCCATCCAGGGGTTAGATTGAGACGGTATGTTTGCGTTGATGTTAGGTGTGGAGTTTTGCCCTGTAGTTTGGTTGGTGGGCGAGTTTAAACCCTGTTTAATCTCAGCGTTTGGACCCTTAGTTGTGTCTTTGTTTGATTCACACTTCGGTCCAGATGCAGGTGAGTTCTGTTTAGCTGCCTCTTTAATTTTAGTTTCACCAGGCCCTGGAATGGGGATAGGTTTTCCTAGCCTCGATTCTCCAGCCTTTGCTTTGTCTTGTGCTGCTTGGGGTTTATTCGTCTCCACGGGTTTGAAAGGAGAGTGTCTGGGCTTGGCGACTTCTGGTAATGTTTCATTTGGCACAATGAATGGGCTACTAAACCTGATTGCTTGGCTTGTTTCAAACATTTCAGATCTCTGTAGATGAACCTGAGAGGGTTTTCTGGCATCCCGAATATTAATAAACCCAATAACGTCTTTGGGAGGATCTGGCTCTGGCCAGGTAGGCAGATATGCTATCAAGCACACTTTCTCCAGATCAACAAGTCCCGGGTGGATTGGGAGAGCCTCCAGTAAGACATCTTTACTCTGCCTCCTCTTATTCTTCTTGTTGCTTCCCTCTGGAGTGCCCTTGGAGTCCTCTTGATCTTGGGTCTCCTGTGTGTTCTTGTCCCCGGCAGGGGGGCTTGGCGTAGGGTTAGCTAAAGCAAGCAGTGCATATTTGGGGTTGAACAGTTTCCTGGCAACAGCAGCAGAGGGAGGAGGCGCTTGGACGGGCTGTGGAAGGGGTTCTGGTTCTGGTTCTGGTTCTGTAGCCATCTGCCGGAGGTCAACTGAGCTGGAATTTGAGTAGAGGGTGCGAAACAGCCGATCAAAGGCGTCTGCTGCTTGGCCTGTTATTACGGTGATGAGGTTTTTGTTGAGCCTTGCTGACATCCAAGTGAAACTACAGAAGACACAGCAAATTTATGGTCTTAAAATCCATTAAAGCATAACAGAACAAACACATATATAGTCTACAATAACTGTATAAAAGTGACTTTAAGCCTTCAACAGTTTGGGAATTGGTTCTCCAGCTTGCAGCCATGACACAGCTCTTGTGGGTGCCATGCAATCTTTAGGGGGGAACTACAGGAGAGGAGGTTCAGCTAATACTCTTGGGATCTGATACAGAAGAGTTTCAGGGCAAGAGTGAGCAAAAAGGGAATAGGAAGACATTTTATGTCTGTGTACTTTAAGAGAAAAGTCAAAATATTGACATAGTCTAAATTCAACTTTGAGAAAAAAGGTTGGATTAGTTTTGAGAACAGCATCTAAGTACAAATATGACTACAAAAGTCTACTGTTTCTAGGAGGCAGAAACACAGATTTTTGACTTTTTTCTTGGGACGCCACGGACCTAGTGGTCTAAGCGCCCAAATAACTGAGGTTTTGCATCAGGCAGATGGCCTGGTTACAAATCTGGCAAGCAGCTTCTTTCGTCATAACTTTCTATTGTCTACCTAAGTTTGAAGCTCATGCCTCTGATTAGCGGAGGTGTACAACCTTTTACTGCCCATATAAAGACATAAGACTGCAGTGCTGTGTGCACACAAACTAAACGCAGAAGAACTGAAGAAACTTTCCTACTACCCAGTGAGTCATGTTCAACCAGCTACTTGCTGCAATGAGTCTCTTAAATTCCAGAGTGAGAGGCTCCATTGAGTTAGATTTAGTTACTGATCAAATTTTGTCGTGATACTTTCAGAGAAAATCGTTAAGTGATTGAAAAATCAATCTTAAGCCTGTAAGTGGTTAAAGCAAACACTCCTAATAGACTTAACTTCCTCATCAGTAGTTGCCCTGAAGGCTTACACGTTGTAGCTGACTGAAGCTACCCACTGAAGCAAATGAAAAATGGTTTGTACTGACCAGTCATTTACACACCCAAAATAGACCAAGGTTGATAACTGCAGGTGTTCTCTCAGCAAGGTTAAGCCAAAGATAAATGCTGGTCTATTGTACACAGGTACCAAGGGAGTACCCTGTGCATGCATTTATGTCTCCTGTCAATGGATACATTTACAACAACCTGTTAGTCTAGTATGTAGAGAATGCAGGTGGAGCCAACGAGGATTATCTTTTTCTTTTAAGGTCTCTCTCTCACACACACAAAGACACACATGGTGACTAAATTGCTGACCTGTATGACCCAGACACAGCTCTGTCTCCATCGATGAACATGAACCTGTGTCCCATTTGTCCCCTGACCTTTGTAGAGGACCGCGTGTGGAACTCGGCTCCGTTTGTGCAGCGTACACGAAGATGCTGTAATGCAAACACACACAAACACACACAAATTTTAGATTTCAAGTCTACCCCAAAACTTGTAAAACACTTTATACAAGGTTACACAACAGTGCTAATGGCTTTCTCGTGTGCTTTCAGTTTGTTTTTAAGTCAAGAAAAGAGACAAATGACCCAAAAATAAACTCTGAAGAAATACTGCTCGCATCAAGTCAAAGGCATACAAACAGCACAAGATATTTTTAACAACTTATCCACTTTTTTTAAATCTTTCTCTGTTGATTGGTCATCAGATGTATCAGTGTCATAAAAAGGGCAGGTTTTCTTCACAGGCCTATTATGTGTTATTAAATTCAAAGAGTACGTAAGTAATAAATCACATTGACATTAGCAGGAAGACAGGTACCAGGAAGGACATACATTGGCCTGTTGTCAAATTTTTTTTCGGCCCCAAGTAAGATCTTCCTGTGCATAACTTGTTGATTGAACAAACAGAAATCTTTGCACTTAACCCACAACTTTTCATGTAAGTATTTTCAATAAAGATCTGTAAGCCACAACTAAACTGTAGGAGCAGTGATGCATCATTTGCCAACTTAAATACAGACATACTGCTCAGGTTTCTCAGACGACAGAGCTATCAAACATACTTCATCCATTTCAGCATGGTGATTAAATCTTGCCAAACCCAAACGTCATGTTAATTGCTGGATTTTGATTTAATCTTTGTCTTGCCTTTACTTGATTTGAGTGTTGTTAAAGTATCATAGTGGATTTTGTTAGGACTTGCCTGTTTTGCCTCTCCAAGTTAAAAACAAAAACACAAAGCTTGTATATTAAATATTTGGTAAGATTAAGAATACTTTCAAATGTGGTAATCTGGTGTACAACAGGGCTCAATGCTCTTACCACTAGAGTTGTTTGCTACATAAAGGAGTGTAAATAAATACGACTTTTTTTGATGTCTCATTTGTCCCCTGACCAAGTTAAGATTTCTTTAAAAATATTTCACAAGTCCTTTCTGAGGTATCATTTATTAAAAAGACTTGGAGTATTATGGTTTGTGCATCTGCATAGACTGTGATCTCTGCCTTTAATTTCTAATACACACTCTGATGTGGCCGTTTTAATGGATGACGAAGCTTCTTGTTAAAATAAGGTAAGTTGGAGCCATTAGAAAACATGAAATGATCAGGTGACATTGCTCTCTCTTCTGCTTCCTTCCTGTTTGCAACAGATATGAACACTTAATGTGCGATTATGTCTATGTCAATATCATGTGTCCGTATTAAATGCTAAAATGACCTATCAAATCTCAGGATTTGCAAAGAGTTAGCAAGGTGTGCATCCATTTGAGTTTTGTAGATGTTGTTGTCACTCTCTCAGGCCTGTGGTTGTGTCATTAAAGCTATAAAGCTAAAAACAAACCGACTGGAAGAGCTAACATTTAACTAACACTGATGATAATAGATGGGCGGTGCGATTTATGGTGTCACGTCATAAAACACTCTAACCAAGTTTCAGATAAGAGCTCACACTAAAACTATAAGCTGTCTCATGACTTCAACCAGAACTACAAGCTTTAAGATTTATCAAAAGTATAATCTGTGACTTAAAACACTTTGCAGTTGGTTTATTTCGATACGATTTGTTAAAAATGATCTGCATTCACCCCAGTATCAAAAGAAAATAGAGTATGCAACTGTGTTAAAAATTAACTATTAGACCCATATAAACAGAGAAACAAATACCAAGGAAACCACAATGACACTTAGGTGCACATTATCCCTGTTGCACGGAACCGCAGCATCAGTAAGGCAAAGATTAAAGATACAGAGATAAGAGCACCATGATGCAACAGAAAAGCCTCAAGAAACACTATTTAAAAATTTGATGAAGGTGGGCACAAAGGAGTTTTTAAAGCTGTTCAGTCCCAAAGTGTTTGAGACTCAAGTACCCTTTTCCTTTGAGGGTCTCTATTTAGGTCACATTGTGTCTGAAAAAGAGACGTGAATCAGTGCCGCTATAGGCAACAAAAAAAAAAACGATCCAGCACCCACAATGGTTGACTGATTAGAAGAAAGTTGGTAATATCTGAGACGAGGAAACTGACCCACATTTTGAGGATCCAAAAAGACAGATTCTATCAAATTTGGAACCAGTGGATTCAATTTATAACCCTAAACGGAAGCAGATTTTGTATGACTCTACCAACTTTGCATATTCCTCCCTCTTTCTGAGACAAAAAAAAAAACATGAATTCAAGCTCACCTAGTTCTTGTGTAAATAGTCATATACTTGATAATAAGCCTGAGGGGTGTATGCAGAGAATGGTTAAAATGTTTAGAGTAGGAGTGAAAGCATGGATTGGTATGGATGTTAAACAAACACTGAAGTGGTAGATTTTGATTTATATGTATGAGTGTAAGAGTTGGAAATGGTATTCACCAGGAATTGATAATGATGGACTGAAATCCTTTAGGACTGAGTGGACCTACTTCCTATTTCACTCCATATGTACTTAAAAGACTGGATAGGGATTCTATCAAAGTGGGACACTACCCTTTTATTCAGTTTGGCCTTTATTCCTTCGAGAGCAATTGTGTTGACATTAACATTTATGTTATGTAAACACAAAGAGTACATCCCGATTTGAACAGTGAATGTTCAAAAACCATCCTCAGTTATAAACTATCACAAGAAGCAGGTGTTAGGGAAAAAAAAACATGAATATTTTCTTTTTAATCCTACGAGGGGTCCTTGGCCTAGTTATGACAGACTTAACTTTTCTATTGATGATTTTTATATAACTGAGGATTTGCTTTGTCTCAACATCCCAACACCAAGTAAAATACCGAGATTTGAGGTTTTGGCTGATGCTGAGAGGCCCTCGTGTACTCTATGTCCTTATATTTATGAAGGTACAAAGTATTCTGGGATCATTGGCATCAAAACTAAATAACTTTTACTAAGTATAACTGTTTATTGTATTAAAAAGGTCCTTTAAAAAGTAGTTAAACCTAATCAGCTTCAAACTACCGCAGTATAACATACACAGCCAAAAATAGGTGTAATAATCTGTCTTTACACACCCTGCAGACAATGTTTATTAAGGGGAAGTAATATTAAAAAGAAAGTCAAGTGTCTGTCAGGCTCCACATGGTGCCAGGCTTAAAGCTCTTCCAACAAGGACAATTAAAACCAAACCACAAGCTGAGACTTACAAGGACTGCTTTTGTAGAAATGCTTAAAAAAAAACAGAAGAAAAAATTGTGAGCTGAGATGCAGCCAGAAAATGGTTTAACCAGTTGTCTTGATGTAGGAGATTATACCTGGCGTGGCCTGTCATGCAGTAGAAACTCTTGTTTTCCTTCCTTTCTCTGGTCCCACCCTTCACTTTCTCTGCCTCTCAGTACATTCCTTCAGCTAGCTGATCAGATAAAATCTGCAAATTACATTTCTATGAGAACAGTTCTGAGCTGTGAATGGTGCGTACCCAAGCTGTCCCACAAAGAATTTTAATGTGGGAATTCAACCACCGAACAAGCCGAGACACTGTGGAGAAATCCCCTCAGAGAACTGTGAAGTGAAAGAAAAATCTGCACTTATCTTCGCCACTCATCTGCTTCCCCACCCATCTTATCTACCTCCACCTACCTTTTCCCTCTTGTCACTTACAGTAAAAAAAAAAAAAAAATCAAGCTGTTTTCTCACTGTCACACCTGTCTTCCAGCCTGCCATCCTCACATTCGGCAGCTCAGGCTTGGATTCCTGACAGTTTGCCGCATAAGAAGAGTTTGCGTCAGCTGCTCGTCACCGTTCCCGGTCATATCTGTCGCTTGAACAGCTGTTCCCCCAGGCTAACGAACTTTCTGGGACAGTATGTAGCGATGGGCTGATACACTATTATATATCATAAATGGTGTGCACTTTACTTTAGCAGATCTGCAAGCATTACAGTCACTTTGGGTTTAAATGTCAATAGTTTTATGTGTAGCTCTGATTTATCTCAGGTGTGTCATGCTGGCTGCTAAATGTAGTTAATCCAGAAAGCTGGGTAGAGACCATATTATAATGCCAACTGTTACAACTAATTTATACATGTTTCTAGCCTGGTTAAAAAAAATGTCATAATTAACACAATTATAAAAGAGAGGATTGATACAACCTATCAATTTTCATATTAAAGCAAAGAGTTGTGGATAATCAGGCATGTCAACTGGGCAAATGTTGTTGTTTTTCAGCAGCAACGTTTGGCTATATTCCACCACATTTCCAGTTTCTAGATTAGTCAGAGGTTGGAGCATTTCCAGTTTGGTATCCGCCATCGAAAGTCTTCTTAAGGTTTCTTATGAGCGTAAAAGGCGATACAGTCAAGTGACACACTCTGGTCAAACATTTAAGGGTCACTCTATGAAACTGGTGCTGTTTGATGAGGAGTACAAAGCACAAAACTTGGGATAAAGAGTGTTTTTAAAGCTTAAAGCTGTCAGTCCAAGTATCTCACATTTTTAGATTTTCTTACAAGGATGAAGTCCAAGTTATGGTCATCATACAACAAGAATACAGTCTTGAGAATTCAGTCATGATATTTGGCTCAGTGGCACCACATTGTCATTAAAACCAGGACTCTGAAGAGACTGTTTAAAAAATTATAATGTAACCTGTATGGTATGATTTTATTACATTATTCTCCTAAGTTTATGATTTTACTACGACTTCAGTGGAAATGATTTAAAGGTCCAAAGGTGACCAAGCCTTTCCTGTCAGAGCCACCGCCCTCTGAAACAACCTCCCTCAAGAGTTCAGAATGGCAACCTGTTTAACGTCTTTTAAGTGTCTTTTAAGCAACACATTTTTCAGATGTGCTTTTACAGAAGATGTTATCTCCTGAGAGTGCTGGTCCATGGATTTGTAGCCTTTCGGTTTTATACTATTTCCTTTTCAATTCTGCCATTAATCCCTCTCTTATACTTTTTTTACCTACTTATCTGTTTGCATATCTCTTAGGATGTTAAATCACCACTGTGTTGTTAAACTGTTAAATTTTTAGTCATATTTTCCTTTTATGTGTCTCCTCTCTTTCTGTTTTTTTTTTTAAATTTGTAGAGCACCTTGTAACCCCCTTTAAAAAGTAAATTAAATTCATTATTATTATTATTATTATTTATTTTATAAAATCTTTTACAATTCTTAATGTGGCATTAAAACTCTGTTGTAACTTCTACAATTCTTTTAAATTGTTTATTTGGGGCGGGTTTTTTTTGGTGATTCTATGAACTTATTCGCTTTGATGTAAAGAGTTGTTGGTAATCAGGCATGTTACGGGGTGCGGCTGATTTGACCCTTGGGTGGGAAGGTTGTAGATGTTCGCCAGACAGCAACACCATGGCTGAAACTTCACCATATTTGCCAGTATTCAAATAATTGGGAGGCTGGTTGGAGCATTACTTTCATCCCATAATGCTTCAGAAAGCAATGGGCAATTTCACTCAGATGTTATCATGTCAAACCGTTATAAGCAATATGATGTACATGAAAGGGAAATCCTCACAAGGAAGCTGTAACACAGGGTCGGTTTTAAGGGCCCATGCTTTGACATTCTGCTGCATATTTTACAGATTAAAAAGACAACTCCAGGCTAAATTTGAACTCTGCGGCTTTAAAACTGCGGCAAGTTTGCACTTGGATTTAGGGCCAGAAAACAGGATTGAGATGTCCTCAAGAATGAGAGCCAAAAGCAACAGATATTTACATAAAAGCAAGCGGCTGTCACGCGAATACACCAGGTTGGAACAGACACAGCCTCTCAGCTGAGCAAAAACAGCCCCCTCAGTTATTTCTTCTGTGTTACAGTCATATGTCTGTGTTTACAAAGAAAAAACGGCCACATGAGACTGTGACATTTTCTGCTGTTTTGCATATAATCCAGATACAGATGGTCCTGGAAGTCTGTCAAGCTGCTGCCGCCTTTCAGTTCCACTTTAGCCCCTCCAAGGCATAAACTAGCAGAGGGAAGTGTGTGTCTATGTGTGTGTGTGTGTGTGTGTGTGTGTGCCTGTTCTTGTTTATCCGTCAGCTCTGTGTTATAGTGTTTGTCCATCTCTTAAACGCAGCTTTTTACTTCTCTCAGGGGCCAATGATTTCCATGATGCAGAAAACACAAACAGGATCATAGAATTGTACAATAAATATTGAATTCTGCATAAAATGTGGAATATCCCTTTTTTTAAAGTGTGACTACAGGTCAGCGATTCTTGACATGCTTTCTTGTTTTTGATCAATATATGATTACTATCTGTAACCATGACTTAGACTATCCCCCCATGCTCCACCAGAAAGAGCTACTCATAATTTTAAACATTTATATATAACATAGGGAACAAAGCTTATTTACTGTAACAAGCAACCCCATATTAATACGGACCAGTAAAGTAGAAAGCAATGAATACTTTCTTTGACTGACACCAGAGACTGCTGTGTGTTGAATATCGTCACAGGTAAGTGAGTCAAATCAAAATGTTAATGTAGGCCATATATTTCATGTTTGTATTTTTATGAAAATTTTAATTAAATTGATCAACGTTCATTGAACTCTGGGTATTTCCAATGGAATTGTTAAAATTTTCATTAATCAACTAGATGACGTCACATGATTCTAGGGTGACCATATTCTGAATCCCCAAAAAGAGGACACGACTACGCAGGGGAGTCACGGAGTCACACGTAGTTAATGTTGAAAGTTTTCTGGGTCGGATCGAATGTTTTTTTACGCGCTTCTAACTCAGTAAGTCCATGCGACACAAACTCAGATCTTCCATTCAGAACACCAGACATTTGAAGGATTTTATAAACTTCCCCGAACAAAGCCGGACAAGGCTAGACAGGCTGGACAGCCCCCCAAAATGAGGACATGTCCAGGTAAAAGAGGACGTATGGTCAACCTACACTATTCAGTCTCATCATAAAACACAGACTTCTGAAATGTGGGGAAAATAAAACTGAATCTGGAAACATTAAAACAGACTTCATAGGGCTCAACATCAATAGGACCACTGGATCCAAGATGTCAAATCCAGTCAATCAAGCAGCTTTGATGAAAGAAAGTAAAACTTGTGCATTGAGTTCATAGGGATTGGTTGGCTTTGCGATGACTCTTAATAATGGAATTGCAATTTCCTGGAGGAGCCAACTGTTAACCCAGACAGAGCCTGTTATTTCTTGTTTATCCACAAATATTTGATTGGCTGACATGAGTCGAAATTATCACGTTTTCATGCTTTGGCAGCTTCGTCAAAGGACTCATTCTATGAAAAACAATTTACCAAAGAAACAGTGTGAATTTCCCTGCAAGTCCCTTTCACGTGTCCTAGCATGACCAAAGGGCGTTTTTATAAGTTGTGTTTTTAGTGGTAAGCAGCCAATTATGGAATGAAACGCTGAGGGTAGACACGAGGTAGAGGATTCATCGGTGGTGCTGTGCCAGCTGGATGGGTTTTCTCACTATGCGTGGGTGTGTGTTGGGTGTGAGTGTGTGTGTGCGAAAGCAAGAAAAGACATAGCGTGTGCCCCCACTTATCTCTGCATGATGAAAGTCTCCTGATTTTAGTTTTTCTTTCCAAAGAGAGTTTCTTCTTTTTAACTACGGCACCCTTGACACGTTATGTTTGGTGACTAATTCAGCAGTTTTAATATCTGGAATTCTCTGACAATTGCAATGAAATTCAAAATATTCTTGTTGATGTGCAGACGGATAATGCTGATACATTACCAAAACTACTGCCATTGGCTCACCTTCAGGTGTCCTGCATGCATGTTAGCCCTCTGACACATAGACAGGAAATGAGGCAGTGATGTACGTTCCAACAGGATGTAAACACCAACTTTCTTCTTGAAACCAGCGTCGAGCATATCTCGGAAAATGTCTACATCGGTGAAGACATCCATCACCACTGCAATAACCTGAAAAAACAACAAACAAACAAAGACACAAACATAACACACAGGAAACATGCACAAGTGCACACATATACAGAAAGTGCATGCATATGAATAAGTAAACAGGCTTTTTTTAAAAATGCAGCCGGAACACGCCTCAGGCTTTAAGTCACTGTGAGGGTATTGAAAACATCAGACAATGTTTCAGCATTTATCGAAAGAAATCAGATCTAAGTTCCTCCAAAGGTTGAAGTAAATTTAGAATAAGTAAGTGCTCATGTACAATAAATATTCAAGGGGTGTAATGCATGTTCTCCCAGCTTTTAATCGCCTATAACTTTTATCATTTCCCTGTCACAAGCTCTTCAGGAATATGCCCACAGGATGTTTCAGTCAAATAATAACACATCTCACCAAGAACAGCTGCTTAGGAATGAAAGCTGTAATAAATTTATGTCTTCAGATGAATCAGCTGCATTAACAGACAGAGACGTCGCCCATACCGCTGCACCCTGGCAGTTCTGTGCATGCAAATGTCCGGCATAACGCACGTGCTCTCATGCTGCTGGCACAGTTACAGCTACTTCTCTTCCCTTCATAAAGCAGCTTAATCAAGATGCACTTTACTCTTGACTGTCTGTTTAGTTGAGCAGGCTGTACTCTGACCTCGCATTGTGTGACAGTTGAAGTCTGTCAGTTTTAACACTCTTTGTCAGCGTTTGAGTTCGCATTTTTGTTTACAGCAGGGAAAGAGAAAGAGAAACAGGTATTTGAGGTTACTGTTTGAGAAATGTTAATTTTGACAATGATCCTAGTCACTGATTGGCTTGTTTTTCAATGACCGGTTTACTTCATTTGTATTCATAAGATCTTGGCTTCATGTCAAACGTTCATGACTCAAATTCACGGGGTTGCAAAAGTACAAAACAAACACAGAGTGATCATGGCCTTAGCTTACCTAAGGTTAGGAAGTGACAACATTGCATGTCATGGTCTGGCCTAATAAAGGGACTTGCCTGTTTTTTAGTTCACCGTATCATCAGAAATTATCCCTTAACCTTGTGTTAGAAAGGTAATTTAATCTAACGTATCCTTATGCATATAGATGCAAGAAAGAAAATCTAAGACCATAAGGTCTATCATGATGGCAATGATTGAAAAATAGTTTGAAATCTTAAAAAAACGACTTAAAAAAAGTTAGCTGATACAAATGAAGTAAATAAAATGTCTTGGTGCATGTCCACTTAGGGCTTCTGTATTATGACCATAAGCCTTCAGAGGTATGGTGTTTGAGATATTTCAGGATGTCTAGCAGCAAACTTCTACATTTAAATGCCCCGGTGCTCACCCCTCCCCTCGGTAGAGTGATGGTGGCCTACATGAGGACACAAAAAATCCCTGAGGCATCCTTGCTTTTTGTCAAACACGTCTACCAAAACAAAATCTTTAGTTCACAACAACCACTCCTACTTCTTTTCGTCCAGCAACAGGTGCTTTTCAAACTGCCACTCACTGAATAAAAGACTGAGAGTGTCACTAGTTTTTTTGTCCTTTCTCTGCTACAGTAGACAAATGACAGCTTCTATAGGCGGGTTTCTTGCGTACAAACAATACAAGGTGCGCGCGCAACAATGGGGCAAAAGCCTGCTTCGGAGTGAACTGATATCAATGAAGATGCCGTATTGTTTGCAAGTTCTCCCTGACACAGTTGCAATTAAATGTCATTTCATTGAAAAATCGCTTTGTCTTTCATTGCATCAAAATCAGAAAAACACTAAAATATCCATGAATTTCACTCAATTCACCAGGTTGTGATGTTGTTGTAAATGTTTCTAGTATCAGGAGCAGGGTGGTAATGTTTGCCGATTGTTTGTTTTGCCATTTTCTTTCTCCGTTGACTCCGCTAGTAATCAAATAGGAAATGTCCTGCTTTCTGCCCCAAGTTTGCGCGCGCATGATGATGTTGCGCAGAAACCCGTCTATAAGGGGGACTTGCGTCTTTCGTAGTAAATAAAAGGCTCATTCAAAGTTAAAAAAAAAAAAATAAATTCAAAAGCAGATAATTCATGCTAATCAGAAATGGACCACTTTTTAACGTACTTAGTTTCTTGCTGTTTTTTTCTGCTAAATGCTGCCAAAGAGTCCTTTAATTTCTATTTAAATTCAAATTATGTTATCATTTGAATATGTATAATTGCTAGGACCCGACCGATATGGATTTTTTGGGGCCGATGCCGATACTGATTTTTAAGGAGGAAAAAAATCCAATTACCTATTAATCAGCAGATTTTTTAAACTTTTTATGAAGTTTTAAATTTTTGTTAATTCAAGTAATACACAAACATAATAACTTTTTTTTTTTTTTTTTTTTTTACAAATGGCTGCTTTTGAGCCTTTCAAACACTTCTCAGTAATATTAACCTCATTAATATTCCACGTATTTATCATGAATCAAACTCGGACTAGAAAAGCATTTTCAACTTACCCCCAACCCCAGCTCCACCCCCGTGCGCCGATTGGTGCCTCCGCGTCTTAACTCACGTTACTCATTTCTGGTCCGGTCTCATCTTGAGACATTCAGCTGGCTCAGTTAAGAAAAGTAGCTCGATCACGTAATGTGTACTGTTGTTTATTCTACCGTTACTGGCGCGACTAACAGTGTAGCAAGGCTAATAGCAGATGGCTAACTCTATTACATGGTGCTTCACCGTTAACTTGGCGTGACCAAGACCAGCACAGCGGGGAACATCATGAAGTGGGTTGAACTGATGTTTACTTATTGTGTATTTCACAAGCTGGTTTATTTACCATTGAGGCGGACCACTCTCCTCCGCTGGTCGCTGCGCTATCTACAGGATAAGTCGGAGGATCTTTTCAAATGGCAGAACATTTTCGAAGTGTAACCGAATCTTATTCTCAGCATTTTATTTCTGAAAATTTATGCGACAATGGGCGAGTTTTGGCCAATTACCTACTAGTCTCAAACAGGCTACAATTGGCCAATTTAATCAGCTCGCCGATAAATCGGTCGGGCCCTAATAATTACTACATCGTTTGAAATATGAGTACAAGTTCAAGACATCTGTTTTTCTAAAGTTTTATAAAATATTTGACAATGCTTAAAACCATGAATATCAGATAGCAAAACTTTACACTGACTCACCTTCTGCGCCTGCGCAATCATTTTCCTGATAACCTCTTTGATGTGTATTTGGCCTTCCAGTGGTGGTTGTGTATACACTGTAGTGCGCGTGACCCCCCGGTATGCCTCGGTGTCCGGCCAGCCCAGGTCCATCTGCGGGATGGAGGTGTCCGACAGCTCGGGCCAGTAGTGCAAAGACAACGGGGGCGCGTCGTCCTCCGCATCCTCCGGAAAAACCTCCAAGTCCGGGTCAAAGGGCTCCACCGACCCCGTGAGCGTCTCCAGCTCCGGGTCAGAGAGGAACCCCCGCAGGCCGCGAGTCTCCAAACACTTAACAAACGCCTCGCGACCATTCCGGAGGAGAGTCTCGAGAGCGAGCCGCTGGTCCTCGCTGTAGAGGAAGTCCGGTTTGGACTCGTGCGTCCGCGGATTCACGTGATTATCGTCCAGGCACTGGATCTGGGACAGAGCCATGCCTCCAGCACAAAACACTCAAACTAAAACTTTAAAACTCCGACAACTCTCGCGGGACAGCTCCTGTCCTACACTTCTCCAGACCAAAGAAAGCAGCGTTTTATTCCTCCTCTGTGGTTCAAACAGCTGAGAGCTTTATCTCCGGACCTCTCACTCTCTGCTTGATGCATTCCCAGTCTTCGGTCAGCCTTGTAAATCCTTTGACCGGCCATGGTGCTCTAACACTCAGCCATTGTCACTCATGCTACAGACTCAAAAGACTTGACCTGCCACAGAGAGAGAGAGAGAGAGAGAGAGAGAGAGAGAGAGAGAGGAGTGAATGAGTGTGAGTGAGTGACATCCCTCCCACCGCTGGCACCGCCCGACAGGTGTGACCCTGGCAGGCAAAACACACACCCACATACATACAGAAACATGTACACCTTTGTCACGTGACATACAGGTTTCTAATGTACGTGTGTGGGTGTCTATTGAGTGGAAATGTTGGAGATTTCCTGGAGAAAAGAAGCAATTGAATAGCAAACCCCTCCCTTTTGAAAAACCCCTATAAATCTTTGCCATCTTGCCAGATTTGCTAAATGATTAGTGTGCACTTTTACCTGTTCAGTCATGTTTCTTTAGAGTCCTATCCTGATGAGAGAGCTTGGAACTGTTTGGAGAAGATCAAAATTAAGCACATAATAACTTCATAGAAGGCAAAACAAGATTTAGGGATTACAATGGGATTATTTGGAATTTAAGACTTATTTGCCGGGGAAAACAGAGTCTTTACATTTCAGTTTCTTATAAAAACAATCTTAAATCATGTTTTCTTAACCCAGAAACAACATTTACACCTTTTCTGAATTACAGCAGACCTCTAAACTTTTCACTTTTAGTTAGATATGCTATCATGCAGTTAGAGGTTTTACAACAAAACAATTCTCAGTGATATAAAACGCACAGCCTCAAGGTTTTGAATTACAGTTTAATGACCTTATAAATGCTTTTATATTCTTCAGAGTGCAGAGAACACTGCTTAACTATCAGTCGATTAAAGTCACATGATGCAGCTGAATGTGATCCGCTCAGCTGAGAGTGATTTAGTTTTTTTTAATACTCTTTAACACAGCTCAAGAAAAATGAATCGTGAACGGTAAAAGGTGAAATGACTGTTGATGTAAAGAAGAGAGGAAATACAGCCTGCTGCTTACTGTGAAGTATTGATTGAGTATAATGATTGTGACATGTTTTTTCAGGTTGAAGTGGAAAGAAAAACCAAAAGTAAAGAGGTGGAACACTAAAGTAAGTGATTTGGGATAGTTGTTTTGTTTGATAAAAGCATCAATGTTTTATGTGATACAACACATTTGATTGGTGGAGAAGATTCAAAGCAGTGCCAACAAGATGCTCATTAAGGTATCCTTCCACAAGAGAAAATATGGTCTGGTACACAAATGAGAGACAATAAAAATGGGGGAAAAAAGACTCCACCCCTTATATGTAGCCACCACCCTTTGCTGCATGCGTCCCCTATTCTATTCCATCCACATCTCCTGTCTCTCTTTAGCTGTCCCATTAACTACAGCAAAAATATCATCTTTATAAAAAGAAGAAAGCATGATTGAATGCACAAGTGGTGCAATGAATAACTGGTTTATCTTTATCAAACCATGACATAATGACCGCTGTAGGTGCTGTTCCTGAATAAAGTATGTTAAAGGGATATTACGGCGTAAAATTAAGTTAGGGTCAAACACACCGTAACACAGAGTTTGACACCCCGTCAAGAGATGAAGGTTGCCGACCGCTTATTACTTCATGGAAATGCAATCAGACTGAGACGCTAAGGCAGAAGAACTACCCAAATGATTGATATTATGATTATTACTTCAAGGAAATGATAAAGTAATGATCATAAATGTTCTTCCTTGAGCTGCGTCACCCCGCAGCAGTCAATGGACTCACCCGGAGGTCTCCGTACAAACAAGCGGCTGCTGGAAGAGAGACGGTGAGTTGTGTTTAGTCTCTTTGCTAAAGAAATCAGGCAAAGTTAAGAGATGTTTGGTGGCTAGTGCTGTGGCTGGGACCCTTTATGTACTGTTGATGAAGTTAGGTGCTGTTCTGAGTGTTATTTGTGGCTATAGAGTGGCGCTTTGGTTGAGCGCATGGCTCTCTGTATTGCTATCTGCGGTCGTTACCAATGTTGGTATAACTAGAGAAGCAAGCAGTCGGCAACATTCATCTCTCGACGGGGGTGTCCAACTATATGTTACAGTGTGTTTGACCCTAACTTAATTTTACGCCAGAATATTCAATTACCATATTGAATACCATTGAGTTTACATAAACATTATAAAGGCTCTACCAGTGGAAAGAACATAAAGCAGTGAACTAATGGGGGTCTTTTACTGAAAAAATGCCCTTAGATGCCTTCATGTGGAAAAAACACAATGAACTGTGATGGTCTTCCAGTGCAGTGAACTTACTGCAAATCCAGTATGATGGTCTTCCTGTAGAAAAAAACATGAGACAGGTGAAGAAAACTTACTGTGGTGACCAGTTTGCTGCCTTTCCAGAGGAGAAAACAAAGCAGATTGTCAATTTGTGTTCTAAAAAAGCGGACAAAATCAAGATCCAGTGCTTGTCTCCAGGTTGTTCTCCCAGTGGGTAGAACTATAAAGGCAGTACCAAGTATGGTGGTCTTCCTGTAGAGAAAACATTAAGCAGTATCTAGTATAAAGGTCCCCCAGAGGAGAACGTTTAATGCGGTTTCTGAGGCAGGCAGAGTTGAGTTAAAACTAAATGAAGCTTTATAATGACTGCATGTAAAACAAAATATTTATATCTATGTAAAATTGATATTTATGCATGAAAGAAAGAAAAAAGCAATCAAATGTATGTTAGGCTCGTAACAAGTCGATAAATTATTTCAGGGGAAGAAGCAAGACCTCCAAGGCTTTAACATAATATGTAATTTTTATGTAACAGGCTTGCTTTTCTATTTTGGTGGGATGAAATATTAAATAACTCAGTCCACTGCAGCAAGTCCACTGCAGCTTTTTGTCACTGACCCCTGCTGCTTCTGCCCCCTGCTCCTGCTGCTGCTGCTGCTGTGGTCTGATCTCATCCACCCTCCAGTTCATCTCTAACAAGCAGAAAGAAACAGGATTTGGAACTGTTTAACAATGAATGCATCACAAATGTTAGGGGGGGACGCCGCTCCACGACATCCAGCCTGTCAGAGTCCTGTCCCACATACAGCCAAGTCCAACACTGCCTCTGGTTCTCAATTCGGGCTCTAAAATTTACCATCACAGGTGTGGACTCTGACTGGAAAGCTAAGCGTGCTCAGATTGTCCACTGCACTGCATCAAAATTGTGGCCAGCTCATTTCTATGGGTCGCTGCTTTTGCACAGCGGGGGTCCTGGCACCTAACCGTCCTCTCTGACTGCTTGTCTGTCATCGCTTTACATGTTTGGTGAATCACTCTGTGAATCGCTGGCTGGCATTTTGCTCACTGACAGTTTCACCTTCTGATTTACAGACTTAATCATCGGCAGTATCTGAATAATTATCCGATAATCTTCTGTTTTATGAGGCATATGTCAGACTTAGAGTGTTTATTTCTCTTTCCACTGTGAAGGCCCGAACAGCCAGAGGCACTCAGACAGCCAAACTGGTTCAGCTGTTTGTCGTGTTTGCTTTTAATGTGTTGGATATCATGATGCCAAGGCTCAAACACCTTCCCTTGCTGCTTGCTCTGTCATTGACGCTCATACTTCTTCACCCTGCCCTTCCTTCCGGCAGAAGTACTTTGCATCAACCTCATGTTGCACTTTTACATTTTTATTCTCTATCATGTCTAGTCAAACTGCTTTTTATCTTTTGCAAATGTGCATTCTGCATATACAGATGGATGTCCTGCACAAAAGTGAAGCCAAATTACACGCATACTGAGCGCTAACTCCTTTTGTTGCCAATGACATGTACTGGTAGTTTTTGCAATAAAGATCACCTGATGGAGCTGCAGTATCCACGTCCTGCCCGCTCTGCCAACAAAAACATGCCTTTGACTAACTGACGAAAAAGCAAAGATCTAATTACAGTTCTCACTGTAACAGCTTCTGATGTCAACTTAGGGCAAACACTCACAGAAGGTTCAGTGACTCGTGTTAATGTTCGCCACATTTCTTTCTTTTTTCCTTTCGTCTTTGCTAACCCACGCTGCACCGCGGATTCTGCATTCATCAGCAGAGCGACAACCATTCAGTAAGTTACTTCAGGATCTAGCCTAGTTCAAAGGGAGCCAGCACCATGATGCTGAAAGCCCTGACTTTAAGATCAAAAGATATGTTCTCCCTGTGATCTTGCTATGTAGTTCAACCCTCGGCTTTTTATTTTCAAGTTTTTTTTTGTTTTGTTTTGTGCTCGTTGCCTGTTTTTACATAGTCTTAAGTATATAGCATAAACTGCACTACAGCGATACTATGTAGAGAACAGCAGATATCCAGAGTGAAACCATAACATTTAGAGCTCCCCCTTGTGGCTGACTGCAGTATACATCATAAAGCCTGTGTCCTCTGTTATAACACCTACTGAGTAATAGACGGCTATTAGACCTCTATTTTTTCTTTAGACCTAATTTCAACTGTTTTAGACAGAATTTAGACGTTGCACTTTAACCCATTATTCGATAATGAGTAACATAACACACTTAACATAATGTATTGTAATATACTTAAGTGTAACATAACGTAACCTATTATAATATAACACAAAATAATGTTCAGTAACATACATTAATTGATGAAATGTCACATAACGCAACATAACACAATGCAGTGTAACACAGTGTAGCGTAACACAATGTAATGTAACAAAATGTTTCACAACATATTGCGATATGATGTGGAATAAGGTTACAAAATGTAACATAACTAACATATGACCTGTTACTGAAGTTCAAACCTTTGTAGCTGGATTAACTCTACTCACATATGCAGAAAAAGCAACTAAACTTTAACACAAGAGTTGTTTAACTTTTCACAGCCACTAGTTTACTCTTTAAATAATGAAACTATTGCCAAGTTAAATGTATTTTTTAAGTTGGAGGTAGGGATGTGACGTCAGCTTCACCAGCCAGACTGTAAATACATATTTTGTCTTATGTCTTGCTTGTATGGTTAGTGGTGGATACCACCATGTAGAGCATCATTTTCACATTTACTTTATGACCCAAACTTACTTCTGTTACATAAGCTCAGCTGGGACTCTACATAGACACATCACACTCACATACAGGCCTTATTTACAGAGCTCGGACTTTCGAAGTGACTCAGCACTTTTCAAACAACTGTGGAAGAAAACAAGCTCTATTTCTGGTGCACCTTTAACTCCTTTCTTCTTCTCCTCCGCCGGATGTTTAGGAGGTTTTATTGACTAACTGTCATTGGCGGGCCAAGAGGTGACTCTGTCAGAAGGGATGAAAGACAGCAGTTTGTTAAGAGAAATGAGAGGAGACAATTGAGTGAAAGAAACAGAACACAAGTGATTCAGTCCAGGAGAATTAAAGATTGTAAGAGTGCCTCATTTCAGACATCGCATCCTGGTGAGAGAAACAGAGCTGCATTCCTCTCATAGCACCAGCCAAGTGTGGTTAATGATGGCATATACTGTGTGTCAGTGTCCGTCTGTCACCACAAGTGGAAGGGTTGTTTAACTGCATGCTCAAAAACACATTCAGACTCAAAAGATCTTGATGACAGCAGGAATTACATGACTATGAGGTCATTACAGGCATGAAGAGGAAACTGTTAGATATTTTTAATCACACAGTAATTACCATATTAATATTTTAACAAGCTCTGTTGAGGTTCAAATTAAGATACATTTTGGCACAAGAGGAGGGAAGCCTCTACCAGCAGTCCTTGACTTTTAAGTTGTTGAATAACTTTTGAACTAAATTGAAAACCAAAATAAGACTTAAAACTTTTGTATTCTTTATAAAAATGTAGATGAAACTACATAATTCCAGCTCTTATTTTTGTGCACAAACTCTATTGTACTTTAGTTGAACGAACTTTTAAAATACTTGGAGACATGTTAGTCCATAAGAAATTTCACAAAATTGGATTATCATACCCTGATAACCCAGTGGGGGAATCATTTTCTTCTGCATGTATACACCACACTCAGACCCAAACTGGACTGGGCATTCTGCATACGCATGCTGCACAGTTCACATGTCGGGTCTTTTACCCTGAAGTGGAACAGTGGAACTGCTGAGAGAGAAATCGAGTAGTCAACAAACCCTAATGAAGAAGGAGATGGGAAAAAAAGAGGCGATGCTATCGTAACTTACACATGAAAGGCAACAAGTTGTGAAGATATACTTTACATTCTGTTAATATCTTGCTAACTTGTAGGTCAATTGTTTTTGTATGTGAAGCAAAGAGTCCAACAGTAAAGAACTGAAAGAGTAAATATCACCACCTACTGTAGCAGGAGTCAATGAAATTCCCTGTGTGCTTGTATACTTGGATGGGCAATAGCCAAATTAAACTGCCTGATCAAAGTAAAACCTTCTGTACTTTATGAAAGGTGTCAAGTAAGAACCCCTGGAAGAGGTTCTCAATTCAACCATTACTTGGGTAACAGTCCCACCCCCAACCCTTTCCATAACCTTCAACCATACTGTGAAGAACATACATGAAATTTTAGCAAGAACATTTGGACAATCCAAGATATTGATCTCAGACTCACAGGGATGCTGCGGTCTAAGGTATCCATCCAGAGCCCACCAAAGGTTTCTGTTTTGTATTACAGCAACTAATTCCATCATTCACTCAAGAGGCAATACTGTGAGTACTGTCATACTCCAAGAGCTTGGAGACATCTTTTTAGTTTGAAGGGTTCTATGTAGAACCGCCAGAGGGTACCCAAGAGACAATGGACTCTAAGAGACTCATCTAGAACTTATGTGGTAACCCACACCAAGAATCATTCTACAAGCAAAGGTTCATGAGGAACCCAAAGGATTTTTCTTGAACTCACAGAAAGGTTCTAGGGAGAACCATGATTTGGCATGGGGATTTGGCAATACTGAAAACTGGAGGCTGTATTGTTTCAGGGGTTTTGTCTTGAACCAAGCAGGAGACTATTCTAAGAACTCTATGATGCTCCATATTTTTTCATAGATCTGTAGATTATTTTAAGTGGACTCTGAAGGAAAAACTGTTTGGGTTCATGAATATAGAAATTCACTTGTCCTTTGTTTGCAACAATACAAAAACTGGGATTATTTATCATGTTGCAAACAACAAATTGGGGTAGCATCCCAGTGTGTTGGGTTTTGGGCTACTGTCTTTCAGGATGCTGTGGTTGATGTTTATTGTAGTTTTTGAGCGTGTTGATTAGCAGAGTAGCATGTTGTCTGTGTCATTTTCTTGAGGCTAGCTGTTCTTAGATTAATGGTGTTTAATGTAAGTGTATGATTGAACAATAGTAGTTTAAAGTAGACAACCTAAAGCAACCAATGCCTGACAAATGAACCAGGCAGCAGTCACAGATACCTATCTAGCCATAGCTTGTTTACTTGCTAATGCCATCGCCTGCCAAAGCTTGTATCATGAAAAACTGGTGATTTTACCATCAGTGAATGGTGCAACAATTAAAGCAGAGGTGTACAGAGATTCAACTGCCTGTCATTCTTGGTTATCAACATCACAGTTTGGGCCACTGCCCAGGATGCCTGCTTGCGCTTTTGGAGCGCCGGCAACAAGTCGCAGACTGCTAGCAGCTTAATTACCACCTCTGTCTTTATAAAATAACTTTATGAGAATTCCACCAAGTGCTTTTGAGTTTAACCTCATATAACCCATCTTAATGTACCATTGTAGACCTTTTCATATGTCTTAAACTCTGTGTTACTTCAGGTTACTGAGTGTTTGGATACCTCACATGTTCGTTTATGACAGTAATTTGCATTTCATGCATCGTCAAAGCTGAAAGAGGTAAATGTCTCACTTTATTTAAATGATTTGTTATTACAGGATCAGGAAGACTGGTCGAAGTTTGTACTGTTCATCACATAAAATGTGGATTTCATAAAGAATCTGTTACAACAGAAAGAAGACCTTTTTACATAGGCAAGTCTTTTGTGTAGTATATGTTTTGAGATTACTCATGAATAAGAATAAATACAATGAAACAAACAAATGACTCATGTACTCAGTTGAGGGTATTACATTTGAAGCTGTGCATTTAACACAAAGCATCATCTGGGGTTGGGCAGTGCTCATCAAACTCACCACAGACAAAAGGGCTGTACTCGCACTCGCACCAACCAACACTGACAAACTCACCTTCGCATGCATCCACCTCCCCATCAGCACATACTAAACAAAACACATAAATAAAGTTTGCGGGTTAAGACCCATGATATGCACGTGAACACCTCAGCACACACACTTTTCACACCAGCCCAGCTAGGGATGAATCTGCTGTGTTGCTTTCCTCAGAGCTGAAATGTTCATAACGCAGTCTCTCCAATCAGCTCATCACATCTCCGTGTGGGAACGGCAGTTAAGAAGTGGGACAAATCTTCACTCATCTGCAGAGAGGAAAACTTCTTTCCCCAAACAACCTCACAGAGTTTAATTTTTTGCCATCAGGTAGGTATGTGTTTTGTGTAGTTAGCCTGAACCAGAGCTTAAATAAAAACTGTAATAGATGATCATTCCTGGGAGTATGTGTATGGAGGTTTATATGTGCCTGTATGTGTGAATTCTCCACAGTGTCTGCGTCCGTAAGTTGGAGAAGTGGAGCTGTGGGATGAGGTCGAAGCGATCTATTAGCTTAAAGCAGCTGATAGGGCAGGGCTTGTGATTGACAGGTGGTGTCACAGGAAAGTGGTAGGATCAGAAACCGTCTGAGCTGTTCAGTTTGCAGGTTGTCAGTTTTTTTCTGCTCCAAATATGTACGGTCAGGTGCAGAGCAGGTGAGCAGTGTGAAGGTCATGGTCCAGACGGCTCATTGATGAACCTCGGAGGCGGTGGTAGGGTGTTGGTTTGGTCACTGGCAGTGATAAATAGGTTGGACATACTCCGGGGGGAAGTAGCCTACGTGTCCGTGACATCGACCTCTCCAGCGCAGCGAGTCAGAGCAGTCCATGAGTTCGATGACATCACCGCGTAGGAAGCGCAGCTGGGAGGGGTGGTGTGGGTTGAAGTCGAAAAGAGCGTGGGCATGATGGGGACGCTGCAGGACAAAAAGACAGTTGAAAGGAAATTAGTTTTGCAAAGTCTAAACAACAAAAATCTGATACAGTCTTACAAATACGTATTTGTGAGTCGGTTTTAACCCTAAAGGTCCTTACACACCGGGGTCGACGCGAATATAGAACGCGAAATCACGAAATATTCGGAGGCGAATTTTGACGCGCCTGACTATTCACATCAAGCCCGATGCGACTTTCTGGGGGAAAAAGAGGCATCCAGGGGAAGACTGTTCCGGGGAAAAGTCCTGCTTCCGTTGCCTCTGATTTGCTAGAAAAGCTGGAAACATCATCACACGCTCAAGCCAAACGGTCAGCCAATCAGAGGCGAAGGAGGGCGGGACCTTCCCTTACCATCCCCCGGGTGCAAGTGAGAAAACAAAAATAAAGTCTACTTCAACTTTAAGTGATGGTGAATTGGTACTCCTTTTGCTTTCTCAAAAGAAAAAGAAACTTAGCACATGGGTGCATCCAATATTACAAAAAATTAGAGAACTTGGGAGTTTCACTGCTTGATTCAGGAGCTGAAACTGTACCACGGTCGCTTCAGAACCTATTTTCAGATGTCCATTGGACAATTTGAAGTTCTGCTGAAACAATTAGCTCCAAGTTTGAAGAGGCAGAGGACTAGACTCTAGTGTTGAGATGGCTTTTTGTCAAGATAGCATGTACTGAGTCGGGGCCAGAACCAGATAAGCACATGAAACTATGGTAACAACCGTTAGCTTACGTTAGCACAGATGAAAGTTAAAACAAATACGTTTAGCAAATTGTTAAAGCTAACAAAACATCGTCATATCACAAATCTGACGCTATGACTCTCCACAAGTTGTCCTTCAGGTCGTTATCTTTGTAATATGTGTGTAAACGATCATAAACAATCAGCCGGTTGGCCATGTTGGATATACCGGTGAATCTGACGTTGCAACAACACGAAATCTGATTGGTCAGAAGTGGACACACAGTATGCAAAACTTTAGAAAAATCGACTATGTTTCGATCGATCAAATGACATCGGCGGTGTATATAAACACCCACATCCCACAACCTTAGCCTCTCCCATTGTTAAATAAAGAACAGTTAAACATATTGACTTTATTTTATTTGGAAAATTTACTGATTTTTACTCTGTAGCTGCATACAACTTCCACTGCTGCTCGCGCTGCACTGAATTGATGCACTGTGCTGCGGCATCCGGCAAAAATAGAAACCTTGCGCATCTGGTCTGACCACCGGAGCCGATCTGCAGCGGAGCCAGACTGTGTGTGGATTGTGTGGAATCACACACATTGATTATAATGCTTGTGTATTTGATCTGCTTGTCGTTCCGGATCGGAGCGCTGCAGTTCTGGATCCTGCAGGTTTTAGCCGTAACCCTAACTCATCAAAACCTACATCTTTTCAGATGGGCAACATGTTGAACCTCTAAATTTATAACTAATATCAAATAACTTTTTTCTAACATGTCCCCCCCCCCCCCCAGTTTAGATCATCAACAGATGATCGTGATGTTTTATGTCAAAAAGGGGTATGGCGATAAATCAATCAAAACACATCAAGAAAAAATGTATTTCTTTCCGTAACTGTAGTGACCTGAGGGATCTTTACCTTATGACGAGTTAAATACAGTACCTGTAATTGTTAGCCTACGGGTCAGAACAGCAATTACAGCCCTACAAGGTGAATCCTATGCAACAATTTTAGCTCATCAGCACCACCATTACAAGGAGTATTTTGGCTTTACTTTAGTTGTGCGGAAGGAGGTGGAACCATGCTGTCCATCTTAACATACAGTCGATGGATGATAGCTACCAATTTCAGGGGCAAACACATTAAACTGATGACGGATTTTTATTGCGCGGTTGTTTGAACGTGTGCCGCGGTGACAGCAGACAGGCCGTGACAGGCAGACAGAGTGACTGAGGTAAACAGGTTGACTCAGCAGACAGACTCGAAAAACAGGTAGACGGAGAAAAAGACGTGACAGCTGGTTCACATTTTCACATGACACCTTTGAGGCCTCAGCTGGCATTTGAACAAGCCATCTAATCCTGGCATTGACATAAAATAACACAAAATGTGACGTGAATACTCTGCTCCTTTTACACTTAAATTTACTATCCTGAGAATTGAAACACGATTGTCATTAGTCCTTATTTCCACCGTGTCCTCATGTTGCTTTTGGTTTGTGGCCATCTCATTTGGATTCTGTTTGCTGTCAGTTAAGGAGGCGTGTGTTTTTAGAAAAACTGGCTTTGTTCATTATTTGGCTCCACTTTAGCTTTATCAGAGCAAAGCAGCTTCAGACTGTGATTTGTAGTGGACGTTAGGAGCACTACAACGACTGACAGGTAGACAGAAACAGAGAGGCACTATAAGGAGTGTGGTACACAATAAAAACACACCTGCTAAAATGAGACTCGGTTACAGCGAAATGTTGACAGCATTTCTAGTCAAGGTGCTTCCAGTTCAAGCCTCAGATCCTGACTTCTCTGTTTCTCTTTGAGTTCACAAAAGTAGTGTTTTTCCTCCCTCCTGATAGCTCTCCTGCTCTGATGTCTGTTGACTCGCCAAAGTAAAAGCAGTTTCAGGAGTAAAGCAGAATAAAAGAGGCTATTTTAAGGAGGGCGTCTTGAACTTAACTAACCTTTTAGCTGTCAGTTCTCCCTCTGAGAAAAGTGGATGTTATGTGAGCCGGGAGGGAGGTGAGAGACTCAGATTTTTCATCTGTGTGTAGCTATAGGTATCGCAAACCTGGGTTTTATTGCAGGAAGCTGGTTTGTTTTTGACCCAGCCACATAATTGTGGGATCATGTACACACAAAATGCAGATAGACACTAATCAGACAGCCGGATTAGGATCAAGTGACACAATTTATCAGCCTAAATCTATTAAATCCTTGCAGAATTATCCCGTATTGTTCCGCTAATCTAGTCTAGACCTGTTGTCAGACAGCCCTGCCTGTTTACTTGGGTGGTAGCCAGCATGTGTGTACATGTGCGACTCAGCTATTTTGTTCATATGTGTCTGTGTATGTGACAGCTAAGAGAAATGTGTTTTTTTTTTTACACGCCAGCTTGCGAGGCAACAGTTTGGAAGGAGAAATATGGTCCGCCTGTATCCGCTGCACTCGGTTGCCTTGTGAACATCGTCCTCTTCAGCGCCCGCTCGGATCCAGAGCGAGCACTGACAGGGGAACAAATTACTCTGTAACATCAATGGACTACAGCTTTGCGCTAGATTTGTCTCCTCTCTCTCACACACACACACTCACAGGGCATTTGAGTCAAACGTACGCCTCTGACACAGCCTCTTTTAGGACTAAAAAAAATGACACGGTGTCAAAAAGAGGTCAAAGTTTCTGCACAAACCGGCTTTGTGTTTGAAGAGAAAGCCGCGAGACGAGAAAACCTTTGGGATAGGTTAGAGAGAAATAAAAAAAAATATATGACACGATTATTTCCCATCCTGCCTCAGTGAGATAAGAAGTGATGCGAGGCCACGTAATGAGCTGCTGTGGAATTAGTTTGGAAGACTTACTGCACGATATGAGAGGGATAACTTACAGCACAGCAACCAGATGAACAAAATCAGATTTCGCCAGTCCTCGAAAGATTATTCTGTGACTGTGAAACTGACCCAAAAACAAAGCTGTGATCATGTGGGAAGTCAGACACAGTGAGGGAGAGACCGACAAATAGTGGAATAGTAAGCAGCCAGCTGAAGGCAAAACACATCTCTCTACAACCCTGTTTATGTGCGTTTCATTTTAGAATCTACACGCCTAAAGGGAGCATTGCAGGACTCGTTAAAGCGGGCAAACAAGTGGACCTAATTGTATCAGACAGGATTTTTATCATGACCCAAAAGTGTAAAGCTTTGTGACCTTGAGTTTTTTTCTCAGCTTATGTCATGTTTTTTTTTTTTTTTAAGTCTTGCCATCATACAGGTATCTCCAGCAGCTCAAAGTACAACAAACATGCTACAACCATCACAAAACGTTGAAAAACTATGATCAATTTGGACTACGAGTCAATGTTGCCACAAATGAAATCTGGGAGTCAAACGCAAGATACAATCTTTTTGGGCCCATATAATCAGGTCTAGAAAGTTTGTTTTTAGGTTTAAAAAGAAGACCTAAAACTATGTGAATGATTTGTGGTCATTGATGATTCCTGTACTACAACCAATCCACCTTGACGATTTATCCAATCAGTGTCTAATTGGGTAATCATTGATGGAAAGCCATCAGGTTAGCAAAAAACTTTGTCGTTGTTAAGTAAGATAGTCGTCAGCATACAGCCCTCAACACTGTGCTTCCCAGATGTTTTAGTGCCGTGATTGTCCACAAAGTGCAGCTTTGCCTTACCTTGTCCTCCATTTATATCAAATTTAATTACTACAATTAATTAACTGAGGTAAAAAGTAGGTGGTTACACTAAGAGCTCCCTCTGCAGGATCATACAGTGGATGGACACTTTAGGTGCACTGGTGTACTATATTATTATGAGTTCAAATGGCTCATCACAGTTTGAATGTGAACTTTTGAATGTGAACATCATTGCACAATGAGGTACCATCCGTCATTAGTTTGTTTACATCCCAGTAGAGCCTTACGGTATAATGGCAGTTGCTCTAGCTAGAGGTGTGTGGCTATACTGCTGCTTGGACACAACTATGACAGGCATTTTTGGCCCAAAATAATAAAAATACTAATCTGATAACCAACTTCTAATTATGGTCAACATTGAATTGTTTCGTTGACTAATTATACTTGTTTCTTGTACAAAGACAAATGGTAGCTATGAAATACTTAAAGAGGTTGAGGATTAAGTTTAGGGGTTATAAAAGGTCAACTGTACCCAGAAATTTAGTAACTGAGTCTTTTTTTTTTCTTGAAGTAAAACCTTGAGAGGAGATGATGTTGTACTGTAGATTGTGGAGAGACATATTCAGTAAGACACAATCACTTGGTGTTGGAGCTCTGTTTTTAGCCCTGCAGATATGAGACCAGCTGACCGTGATTTTATATAAAATGACAGTCAAAGAGTCCGTTTATATCAAGCTAAATTTAGAGCCTGGAATGTGTTTGAGGCAGGATGGTATTTGAGGGATCTCTTTGTTCTGCTGCCGCGGTAATGATCAAGAAAGGCACAGTGGAAAGTCATCCAGAAGAAAACAAAGGCAGTGGTTTATATCACTACATGCATTATCTTTAAAAATATAAACCTCTACATCATGGACCAAGAGTTGTCTTGCTTTTTGATATTAAAAAAAAATTGATTCATGTGTTTAAATAAGTAACACATGCTGTAGATTCATAGCTGTGCCAGTCAAACAGATTCTTACACATGGAGAGCAGGTTTTCAGTTTTGGCAAGCATTGTTAGCTAAATATTTGGGATGCTTTCTTGTTGCTGAATCTGAGTCCATTTTACGCAGACAATACTCTTTATTCTATTAAGATTATCATTGAAACATTTGCAAAATAAACAAGGCAACAAAAGTTACAGTATGACTAAGCTTCATTGGTCTGATGTGTCGTGACAGATGTTATTTTAAGGTAAGGTAGTCATGTAGGTAAACACAGCACCTTCAATATGCATGACTCCCTCGGCTTTTGGGCGAGCTGTGCAGATAAGTTGTACCTTAAGGCTAACGTAGCAGGTGTAAAAATAATCTGATAAGTCAGTTGTTTGTTTTTATCTTTTTGTAAAGCACCTTGTGTTGCAACTTGCATGAAAAGTGCTATATAAATAAAGTTTGATTTGATTTGATCATGTTCGATTGATCTAAACGTTCTTTTCTGCAGAAATTCACAATTTTCTGCAATTCCGTTTTACAGATTGTATTCTTACACCCAGGGCTTGTAAAGTAGCTCCTCCTACAGAAGCATTAAGACGTACTATAAATGTGCTGATACACTTCCCCAATTATTCTGTCTTTGTTAACCATCTGATTCCAAATTCCATCATCTGTGATTTTGAAGTAGATACACACTACCTTTTACGCAAACAAGGCCCACCTGGCACGCAACCCTCATTAGTGTTGATATAAATCCAAAACAACAAGGTGACCTATGACCACATCACTCAGGCCTGAGGCAGAGCAGCATTAAAACATATCTTCCAGGAAACAACCCTGAAGTAGCCTAAATTAACATATTCATGATACATGTACAGAGCTGTAGTCTGTATGGGACTGACCAGGGACTTCTGATTGGATCAGGATGTGGACTCTTGGGTCTTATTTTTACTTTTTGTAATGTTTAAGGGAAGAGATTAAAGCAGCAGGGTTAAATTCTGTATTGACTTTAATATAAGACAGCAATTTTCTCTTGAAATACATCTGGAGAAAGTGGGATTTAGTAATTTCACTGTCTATGGTACAGTATACAACTAAATATTGGTGATTTTACAATATCAGCTTGGACAATAGATGGTAGAACACAGAGATCTGCTGTAAAACCCACTCAGTATGTGAGACCAGTGGCTTCCTAGTAACAACCTTGGGTGTGTCTGGATTATCCAGGGACTTTTCAGTGACTCACTAGATCCAATCCCTCAAAGTTAAGAGGCAGGCTGTGACGCATTAATTTTAGTTCAGTTTCTGTTAGGTCAGTATGCCAGACAAAGGCTGCTTTCTTTGTTTTTGCCTGTTGGCCAATCAGAGGCTGTATTTGCAATTAGCTGACTGTAAATGTCCAATTAGAAGCAATGGTATCCTGAAAGAGATGTCCCGGTCTGCTCACAGCACAGAAATACAAAAGATTAATCTGGTTCAGGTTAGTCTAGTATAAGTGGATCTGTGTTCTTTCTTTGTATATATGGGTGCAGCATGGACACACATAAGACCTTTTAAATTTCTTTTGAGTCACAATTCCCTCTATAATATCCATCAATTAAAATTGCTTTTCATATAAAACAAGTTTGGTCTTCTAAAAGTACTTCCCTCAAAATTAGTCTTGAAAGGTGGGGAAGAGGGGTGTTTTGTTATCAGGATAGACATACTTAGACAGTTTATAGCATTCAAAATTGTGACTATTTTTGGCTTCTCTGTTGTGTTTGCTATCATGTGCACTCAAAAGCAGTATATAGAGATTGACTGATACTGACTAATTCCAATTATTAGTAGTTAATGAGAAATAACCAGCATTTGGAACCAATATGCATTGGCTCAAAAATGTCAAAACTTTCTGTCAAATTTAAGAACATAAAACATCAACGCAGGAGTTTATTTATGTGTTTCAGACTTCAAGGGTTGTGAAGAAATTTCCTCTTTTGTGTAACAATATGTAACATCAGGACATCTTCTGCCCTCATTATTTTATTTAAGTTCAATTAAATTAACTCTACTGATACCATTTCTACCTTTTCCTTCTCTTTTTCTCTGTTTTTTACTTTCCAATGTTGCCCACCCTGATCCTGGAATATTATCCTGCTAAATGGGGAGTTGCTACATGACTTTGAGTACTACTAAAAAGACCTGCTTTATGTGTGAAGAGCTCTGAGATAACTTCTAATGTACTGTAACCCTATATTAATACACTTAACATACTGTAATTTGAGATACAGGCTTGTGAATAGCAGCTATGAAGGTGTGGGTGGTGTGGCTAAATGAGCGCCGTTCTCCTTTTGTTGGAGGAAACACCAGCCATGAAAAATGTTCTTTTTAGAAATAAGAGACACCAGCGACTGATTTCACTTGTTAAACAAACTGAGAAAATACTCTGGAGTCAGAAAATAGCGATACATTTGTACATTTGTGTGGTCTTAGATCAATTTTTGGTAGAAATAAACGCTCATAAACTTCAGAGATTTTACACATACACAGTTTTTAGTGCTCACAGCTGACCAACTGATCTCGTGACTGAAGCACAGAACATAATCTGAAGGAATGAGAGTCATGAAGTGGCATTTTAATTTGGTCATTATTCTCTAATTATTGTAATTATGTTACTATTAATCAGACTACATGATGACAGCTCAGAGAGACCTGCTGTTGCTGTGAAGTGTTAGTTGAGATTTAGATTGTGACGGTATTTAGGCCATACGGTTTCTCCTTCTCCTCTGGGACCACTGTCATCATCTCCAGTTTAACTACCATCAGAACGCCTGCAGCTAAATTCCTGACTTACACCTGCTCAGATGTTGAATATACGGTGCAGCATCCCCAGTGATTTACAACACGCATAAAAACTGGATTTATTAGAAGCTGCTTCATGAGACAAAAACCTATATTTAGGACAAAAAGCTGTCACGCTGATCTAAAAGCCTCCCGTTCCACCAGCTGAGCCACAAAACTCTTCTGCAGTCAAACCATCTCCAAATAAATCAAGACAGTGAGATGAATCAACTTCCAGTTTTACAGCAATAAGCACATGTGAGTTATACAATCAAGTTTGCCAAAGAAAAGTTGGTAAAAGACCTGATCTGTCTGACTTGACTCCATTATTTTTCAGCAGGTGGATAAAGACAGCAGTAATCTAAAGGGCTGGAGGTAAAGCTCACACATTATAAAAATCAATAAATGTGGATCATCTCTAAAGAAGTGAAGATACAGACAGGCTTTTGGGCTCAACACATTTTCATCTAGTATTTCAAATCATATACTGCTTCTGCTGGAAACACGAAAATCTTCCTCTATATTCTATATTTATTCTAGACCAGGATCAACAGTTCATCTGAAATGCACAAGAGTAATCCTGGCAAGTCATCCAAAAATTTTACTTTGAGTCCCTTTTCATTGATTGTAGCTTGTTTTATTTTCATAGGAACATACAGTTTAGAGCACACTTAGGCATATAGAACTTTTGATACTCTGAAAATATTGATACTGGGGCTGGGTACTGTCAAAAACTTCACATTTCTATTAGACTTAGTGATTAACTCACATCTAAAGATAACAGGAGTTAATGGCTGACTGATTTTTTTCAGTCAGTTTTTCAGCAGCTGATGCTGACACTGACAAATTGAGAGCAAGTTGGCGGATATGCCGATGACACTCTGGTGTTGCTGGTTTTGCATCTGACATAATACAACAATTTATCAACACTAACGCATGAGAAACTAGAAAAGCACTCGGAGAGCGCAGACCTCCGCCAAGCAACTCATGTCCCCCCTTAAACAAGAAATGCCCTGACTGGGATTCAAACCCAGGACCTTCTGGTTGTGAGGCGACAGTGCTAACCACTACACCACTGTGCCGCCCACTGGTTATCTTTCAGCATTGAAAATTCCAACAACACCCTTATTTTTGTGTGTTCTGGATCACAGTATCCAGAATTTTGTCCGGATCACCACCTAAATTTAATGGGATCCTTCTGGGGCTGAAACTTGAAAATTTCAGGTCAATCGGTCTGTTACTTTCTCCGAAAAGTTGCTAACAGACAAACAAACTCAGAAACAAACAAACCAACGCTACCGAAAACATAACCTCCTTGGCGGAGGTAACAAAACAGCTAAACTTGTGTGAACTCTTTTACGACTTGAAAGCAGATGGAAAAGTTTTGGCGCAGGTAAGCACTGCCAATGGTAAAATCGGCCAATTAATCAGTCTATCTCTAACAGAAATACCCAGATCATTCATTACAGTACCTTGTAACACCTGTTAAATAATAATACATTCATTATTTGTATTGGTTTATAGAAATATGACACCACTTCTACTGACAAGTCTTCTGTATCCCTTCCTGTGTGGCTTGCGTGCACGTCTTTAATCTGCAGAACATTTGAAGCTAATTCCCATTCATTAGGAATGAAATGAGAAGTGATAGTTACATCGGAGGCCATCGCTCTGGTAACCCAAACCATCACATGTAAGTGTCTCTCTCTCCACTGACTCTAAGAACTCAACCACTTCTCCCCTCGACTCCACATACAGCTCTAGAGCTGCGACTTCAATCATGTATTTCCATGTTGGCATGGCACAGCATGATGAAAGTACAGAGATGTGTTTCTTCGACTGATGGTAATAAGATATCCGGAGACAGACTAATTAACTTAAGGTTCGATCACGCTTGACTGGGACATGGTTCATCATGGTCGGGTCATTCTTTAACAGAGTAGCAATGCAGAGGATAGCATATACGACAAATGAGTGGTCATAGCCTCAGGATGGCAAATGACAAAGATTATATGCTGACATTACTTGTTTAATGCAGTTGAACATGAGTAAAGGAAACAGGCACGTCTCCTGTAATGAATATGGTCGTAGCTATACAAGAGAAACCTTTAACTTGAGAGTGAAAAAAACAAACAATATTCGCCCCCTTCTGAATATGCAAATCTTCTGAAAATTCCAATGAAAACCCCCTCTGAGTAATGTCTCAAACACGGGATGGATGATGAACAAATGTTGGTATACAGGTGTTATTTCCTTCTGTGGTTTCATTTCTATTAACAGCAATGACTCATTTGCCACCAGACTGCAAGAAAACCACAACGCATGCTATAGCTGCACTGTCCTTGGGAAGTCATCTCAGACAGTATGATTTTTAAGTAAAAAAAAACAAAACAAAAAAAAAACTGAGGGGTTAAAGTGCAGTTGAAAAATTGGTCAACCTACTGGATTGTAGAATTTTTTAGAATAGATTTCTGATGATTTGCCTTAAACTAGGATATACAAATGCTTCAGTACCAGCTGAAATAAAATGCCGATTTTAAACACACAAGAACTCAAACGGCTTCCAGTCTGTTCCTTTCATCATTCTCGGTTCACAAACTTCTATTTGTGATCATTATAGTCATAAAACAGGAAGAAGAACAAGACAGCTGATATATGAAGGCGATGATTTGGTCACAACACAGATAGAGATACATCTCTAATGAGTAATGTGGCCTTAATGTGACATGTCACATCCTATTAATTCTTGTCTTAAGCACGCCTGGGAAAGGAAGTGAGCTAAGTGAAATGCACTCATGAGAGTAACCCAAGAGGAGCCATAGAATATGTGGTTTAATAGTACATTTTTCACACAAGTAAAGAGATGTTATTGGGGCTCTGTAGTAGGATGTAAGCAGATACAAATGACAAATGCATCCAGTTGCATGACATGTTTTGGTGATAAAGTTGGCTGTGTGTATTTAACCCTAGAACACTATCGCTAAAATTAGTAACACCATCACTATCGAAATAATATACCCAAGAAAAAGTACAAAGAATAGGACAATACATGACAAATTAAAGTAGTTTTCTTTCATTTTTAACTGTGCAATGTCCAAAGGGAGGAAAAAAGTGCCATGAGGCGACCGTATGAAAATGCAACAAAAGAACTGAAATTCATTCATGAACAAAAAATTCAGCACAATAACAGCTGCAGGAGAGAGAACCAAAATATGGCATATTTTGAGTAAGTAAAAATGACCAGCTGACTAAAATATTTCTTATCACCATATGAATTCCCTTCAAAATCACTACTTTGTGATTGTTATTCATAACCACAGTGCTAAATAAAGGTAGCATGCGAATTCCAGGACCACTCTTACTGACCTTATTCGCCTTCATGCAGCTATCAAATCCACCCAAACCTACTTTAACCTCTATCTCTATTGCACGGTGAAAATCACCCGAACACATGCCTGTAGGAAAAAGCAGGTTTTGGATCAGGGAAACAAATATGCCTTCAAAGATGTCAAAGGAAATGCTGAAGCTACCCAGGGACCCATGATACTCAGACAAACGCAACATAATGAAAATCATATAAACATGCGATAGTGTTCTAGGGTTAAACTGGTATTTTACCCAAGCAATGTCTCGCCAGCACAGGCATGTGAGGATTTACCTGCATGTGAGGACTGAAACATGGTGGTGCCAGGCTCTGCTAGAGGGCAAACAATATCTGACGTCATGAACCTGCTGATTCTGTGATCTCCTGTTTGGCCTTGTCAAACATATTGCGCCCTATTTCGATGCTACTCTGAGTGTTTTCATACCTTGAATTAATCGACTGGTTTGAATTTAAATTTCTGAAAGATCTCATAGCATTTTAAGTTTTAATGCTGTGACACATTCTCTCAAGAATTTTATCTTTGCACGCTGCAAATCAAATATGCTTTAAGAGCTTGCTAGATGGATGCTGCACGCTCAGTTCTGTTACACTGGTGGTCTTCACTCCAGGTGCCACGCGTAGATCTGAGTATGACACGGTGAGTATAAACACACTGCTGGTGTTTAAGTAGTGATATGAACATGCTGTCACGTCAGGATGGCTGTAGATCACATCTCTGTGTGGGTGACTGGCTTTGCCTCCAGGCGCAGCTCGCCTGCCACTCCCAGGAATAGTTAACATGCTATGTGATCCTGCCGGCATAATGGCATCACAAATGCGAGAACAACAGCTTCTCCCCAGGTGACACAATCATGGGAACTACCTGTCTTTGTCTTGGCAAACTTGACTGAAAGTTCTGAGAGGACGCTGAAATTTGAGAAACGGTTCGAGGTAACTGACAATAGCTGAGCTGCCGTGGCTTCATCTTGATTTACAGTGTAAATTTTTCTATAACAATTGAAGACCTTGAAGAATGAGACGCCAATTTACCCTGTGTCAAAGGACACTGGAAGCAGTGTTGGAGTGTAAATCAGCTCATCGGGCATCTCAACAGTTAAGTAAAAATGGACTGAGAACAACAAACAAAAGAAAAGTTCTGTCCAAACTTGATATATAACAACTTAATCATGACGGGTGTAAATAATTGCCCTTTAAATCAGTTTTTCTTGCTGCTGCGGTGTTCACTCCCTCTGGCTCGGTGCCAGAGATGACTGATTTGGTTCTGCTCCAAAACCAGCAGCAGTTCTCTGATCTTTCTTTACAAGCCGCACCTCGACGTCAAACCCTGCCGCTACAGTCACCGTGCTTCAAATTTCACCAACATATGGAGTGTTCTCATAGCTGTCAGCTTTATTAAAAACACTGGTTATGCCTCTAAGTCAAAAGGAAATGAAATATGAACACCTGGGCAGCTGGTTATGTTGAAAAAAAAAAGATTTGACAATACATAGAATAAAAAACCTCTCCTTTTCTGTCAAAATCTGCTATTTTTAAAGTCTTAACAGATTCCCAAATAAACCTTTGATGGTCTGAAAATGAAAAGCCGGGGATGGAAACTTACTGATGACAGCAAGAACAGATGTTTGCAGAATATATAGTACTTCTTGATTGCTTTGGGTTTAAGTTGTTTCTCGGGCTGTTTGACGGAAAGTGAAAAGAACTAAAGCTGCACTATAAACTGCAATTTCATCATTGTCACAACATGAGCGTTCGCAATAAAACACTGCAGAGGGCTGACTTTATAGGAAATTAATTTCATATAGACAAGGAATGCTCTCTCGCTTAGTGTGATCCCCTTGATAGAACGGGGGTCCTGGTATTATTGTCTTTATTCAACATTATTTTGATGCAGTTAGATTAAGCGTTGGCTTGCTATGAGCTACACACAGATTTACTGGTGTCAGTGATGCAGTAAGAACTACTGCTTTGGACTTTTTCAAACACAAGTGATGTGTCATATGAACACACTTTGCTCAGTTTTACTAATCTTGGTACTTTTTGATACTCTTTATTCTAAATGGCATGGTATTAGGACTTCCCCAATTTTAGTACTAAATGAATACATGATATAGCTTTAGGTGAATGATAAAATGCATTTATCAGTCACCTCTTGCTAATGCAGGAGTATAAGCAAGAAAATAGCGTGGGATTGTCAATGCTTAAGGAGACATGCACCTGTCAGTCTTTTAGTTTCTGCTTCTATTGAGAGAGAAAAGCAATGCCTCTGCCTCAACTTGACCGCTACTGGCAAAAGTGAGTCATCTTAAGAAAGACTATACACCGACATCCTGGGCTGGTGAACAGAACCAACTGTCTGAGTATCCTGTGGAAATACTTTGATACAGAGACTCTGACAGCTTGCCCACTGACATGTCAGGACCTGTGCACAAAAGACGCTAAAAACAGCGTCATGCAAGTGAGGAAACGCTATAAACTTTGCCAAGCACCTCAGTGACAGGAACCCAGTCTGCTGCAAGGATTACAAAACTAGGGTGGTCATATTCTGAATCGCCAAAAGAGGACACTACTATGCTGGGCGGGGATGGTCGAGGATAGTAAATTTTGAGGGTTTTTCGGGTTGAGTCGAGTGATTTTTCCGTGCTTCTAACTCAGCTAATCCACGCTACACAAACTCAAAACTCTGATACAAAACCCCGGGCATTGGAGGGATTTCCTAATCTCCTCTGGACAAGGCCAGACATCCCCCCTAAAAAGAGGACATGTCGGGGTAAAAGAGGACGTATGGTCACCCTAACAAAAACCCACCTGGTTAGCATACAAGCTAACAGGCTAGCCTACCAGTATCAGACCCACTCTCCAACAAAACACAAGTGTTCTCTAATGACAAATGTATAAAGCTGGAGTTAGAAACTGAAGTCTTATAAATGTCTTTCTTGACATAGTTAAACAGCTAAATAGCATTAAGCTAATCGCTGACGTCATCGCAGGTATGCGCGCGCAGCCAGGGAGCAGAAAGTGGGACATTTCTTACTTGTTTACTAGCAGAGTCAAGGGCGAAAGAAAATGACAAGAAGCTGTTGTGCCGTAAATCATCGTAAACATTTTTACTTTGACTTTGTTAGCATTCACTAAAATTACAACCCTGCTCCTGATATTAGAAACATCCAAAACAACGTCACAAGCTGGTAAGCTGAGTGAAATTCATGGACATTTCAGCAAGTCTTTTTTTTATTTATTTTTATTAATTTGTGATACAATGAAAGACAAAGCGATTTTTCAATGAAATGACATTTCATTGCAATTGTGTCGGGGAGAAGTTGCAAACAGTACGGCATCTTCATTGATATCAGTTCACTCCGAAGCAGGCTTTTGCCCCCTGGTTGCGTGCGCACCTAGTATTGTTTGTACACAAAAAACCTGTCTATTTTCTCTCCTAAAAAAACCCCAAAACAGTCCTGTTCTTATGGCATATTCTTTCTTTTTAGTTGCTATGAACTGGTTTCAGTCAAATATTCAAGGCTGTGTCCGATTACATCATCCACTGATACAATACATGTGCGCTTCCCTCAGGCTGCCTTGATTAGAAAAGACAAGTAGGCATGCGGTTTGAATGCAAGAAAAAAAGACAAAGAAGGAAAAACAAAGGGTCATCTTCTCACCCTGGCGAAGTGCTCGGGGTCCCTCAGAAAGACGGTCCTCTCCTTGGCGATGCTGTTGCTATGGTAAAACTCCACAAGCTCGTTCAGAGAGGAGAAGAGCTCATCCCACACGTAGTACTGACCACAGCGGTCCTGCAGCACCTTGAAATGCTGAACATGGTCTCCATAACTGCAAAAAGAACAGAAGAAGAAGCTGAAGTCACATTTTATAGGAGTTTTAAACGACTATAAAGCTGCAAACAGATGCTCAGAAAAACTTTGGCAACATCAGAGACAGACATTCAGGCAGAAGGACATAATTTGGTCCTTCTTGAGTCCTGTCACTTGGAGTCAGTCTTTTCACATCACAAAATGCCTGCTTTTGGAGCAGCTTTGGGTCGAGACCAACAGTCCTGGCCTTTAGTCCTCAGAGCCGCCCCTTATACTCAACAGCTGTCAGCTGTTGGGGCTGGCATGAGTGCGTTCACTGACATCCAGTTCATTTGCCTCCTTGGAGTCACCACTCATTCAATTTAATTCAAATATTTATAGAACTGGTTTCTTTACCATGATAAAAACAGACAAAATAATAATAAAATAGTGGACCACCGGCTGCATTAAAAGATTACAAACTCTGTCACATGAGTAATTAACTATTTGTTTTCATCTATGTCAGTGCTTGTGGGTGTTTTGGCTTCATTTTGTCGTACAATTCTGTATTATTATGTGTCCAAAACAGTGTTAACAGTAAAGCTAAATCCATGCTGTAGCAGAATATGATACAATGATGGTATAGAAGGCGGTAAAGAGAAAATGTGAGACTCTTTTTGGTCATATTTGCAGTTAAAATTGTTAAAAATGACACTAAATGGGCTGACACTAAATTGATGCATTCTCTCTGTTTAAAGCTGTAGTAGTGCACTTTAAAAAAAAACCTTTCAAACACTTTAATTCATTGCAAATGTTACAAGGGTTTGTGCTATATCCATGAGACTGTTACAACCTCTTATTTTGATGAAAAAGGGGATGACAGATGGATAAAAATAGCTGACTGTTTCTTAGAAATATCTAAGTATGGCCGCTGGCACAAACACAAATAGCCACAGAGTTGCAGTGCGTGCCTTGTTGTGAAATTAAAAGAGTTCTGGCCAGTATTTGTTGGCAATCATACCTGCTTCCCCTTCCAACTCTGTGCTAGTTGCTAAGTAACTTGCCAGCTTTATCTTTGGAAATCTGGACATCTCACCATGATCGTACTACAGTTATATAAGCACATGTAATATGCAGCAGACGGAGAATCAACTCCTCCATTTGTCTTAACACATCACAGAAAGTGGGTGTGTAGTAGGATCACGCTACTGTTTGTTACAACTGTGACGTCACTGTTTTCTAATACAATATGTGGTATAGTTTTCCTAGATTGAATAAAATGCTTCTGGTGGTTCAACTTCACTGAACTCCTCCTTTATCTACATGGACTGGCTCTGCTCCAAGCTTAGAAGGGAAATAAGCATCAGCTTGTTTCAGCCTGAGAGTTTTTTTTTTTTTTTCTTCTCCTCTTCAGACGCAGAGCTCCCCGAACAAGCCGCACTGCCTCACTGATGACAGGATGGCATTCAGAAACACCTCCACCCTGCCCTTGTTTCTCTGCCGCCTCTGTTTCAACCCGTGTGTCCTCATTTCTCCCCCCTTACACTGAGTGATGCTCCCAAATCTGATGAAAACGCACTGAAGAGTAAAAAACAGGCGGTTGCTTACAAGATGAAAACTTTAAATCTTATAGTTTTTGACTTTTTGTTTAGACTGTCCCAGTACCACTCTTTGAAGTTCTCAAACATTAAATTATTCTGTGTGAGCGGCGCTGCTATCTGTCTGTTTTTTCCTGCGCTTTATCGAACTTCTTACAAACTTCTTACAAAGTTTTCCTTGCAACTTCTCTTCTTATCTTCAACACTTTGTCCCCAGCTTTGCTCCATTTCAACCTCATTTCTCTGCAGAAACTCAGACACATTCAGAAGTTGGGTTAGTGATGTATGATCTATCTCTTTACTCCCCTGTAGTCTGATGCTATCTGCTGCACCCTACTGGTGGGGTTTTGTCACTTCAACCTGCTGCACACACGCCATCTCAATTTCAAAGAGCTATCAGCAGCTTGGGCAAAACAATGAGACATGGGATAAAGCAAGAACTTAGAGCCTGACTTACTATGATTCCACACAATGAGTAAAACACATTGTATGATTTGTTGGTGTGTGTTTTTGTGTTTGACATTGTGTGCAAAGTCTGCAGAGTTAGTGGTATTCAAATCAAAATTTGTTATATTCAGCCAATTCGAGGATCTGTAACACTTTTGACGCCTATCTCTATAACGCATTACAAATATATGTATAATGCGTCATAATCACATTATAGCGCTATATAACTATAGTTATAAACACTCATAAATGATCATAATGCTTTATAGCAATAATCATAACACATTATAAAGCATTTATCATGATTTACAAGGTCAAGAGTTATAATGTGTTATAACTGTTAATAACTCACTTACAATGCCCACATAAAGAATGCAATGCAACTGTTGTTAACAGTTAGAGTGTGTTATAGAGATAGGCGTCAAATAAAGTGTTACTGAAAAATCATACATGTTAGCTAAAACAAAGACAACAACCAATGGGAGAGTACAAGTGAGAAATAAAATGCTGCCTGTAAAACAAGAAGTTCAAATCAAAGAAATCAGATCAGCAGGGTGCCTGCAGAGCTACAATTTGATACACAAACTAAAAAACAGTCAGCAGCTCATGAAGATGGATCATCTATTGCGTAGGAAGTGAGAGGTACTATCGTGCTCTTCAGACAGCTGGTCAACACTGTATCTAGTTTAATAAATGCCCGTCAAGACGTAACAACGACATGGAGGAAATGATGAGGTCTCTTTATCCAAGCGGTACTGAAGTAGAGTAGAGGAGACTGTAAGACTAAGAGAAGCACACTGGAGGATAGAAGCACACACATCCAACCCAGGAGGAAAAATTCAGGTAGTAACGTAATACTAGCAAATAGAAAAAAGTAAGAAAAATGTCAGATTTCATCTTCATTTTCATGATAAATACACTGTTAATCTTGGTGTTTTTCTTCTTTGGCGATTCTTAAATGGTGATAAATTTTTAAAAATTCTAACTAAAATAAAACAACTGCAAAAACAATTGTGTTTCATTTCCATTGTTTGCTCAAGGTTTTTTATTTTTTATATTTCGGTTAATTTTCTAGTAAAAAAAAAAAAATGCAGTACGCAAAATGCCATGTACCTTTATATTTATCAGGAGTTTCTCATGCCATTTTCAATTTGCATCCCACCCAGCGGCTGTTTTAAGTGACTGACATAAAGCAGAAGATCACATTATGCATGCCGTGACACACTTCAACTCTGAAATAAAAAATAAAAGCTGAATTTTCTATCCATCTATCTGTTCACCATGCTTCAAGACATGAGGGAAACGATGATGTGAAAAAGTTTCATCTTGGATTTTCTTTGCCTCGTGTCAGCAGCAGAGGTGCCCCCAGCTGTGACGGTCAAAACACACCAAACCAAAAATATTCCTGCTGTGCCTTTATACAGCTGACCAAATATCCCTCAAATATTCATGTCGCAGCATTTAAACCGGAACATCAAATCCTCACACTCAATTTGCCCTCAAGTAAAAAAGCTCTCAAAAACGCTGCTCCTCCTCTGTATCACTGAAGCTCAAACACTGTAAATGCACCTTGAAAACACATTCAAACACAACCTACAGAGAAACTGGCAATCAAAAATGCTCACACTTTAAAGAGGAGTTTTTTGACATTAATAAAATAAACTAAATTTCATAGTAATGCCTTTTTATGACACACAAAAGCAAACAAGACCACCAGGAATCAGATTTATGATTTTTGTTTCATCATTTTCTTCAGGATGCCTTCAGTCCTCTCATCTGACATCTACACCCCTCACAGTGATAACAGGCATTAACAATTACATTACAGGACATATCCGTTTTGCTTAAGATGGCCTTGTTTGCTCCTGTCGGTCATACAGAGGCATCAATGCTAATATCAGTCTGTTTCAAAACTAGCTAAAAACTCCTCACAGGAGCATTACGAAAAATGAGATTCAGTTATGCTAAGTGCATGAATACAATTAGGCATTACTAAATGTAAGAAGTCATTTTAGCAACAAATTAAGAACCAGGTACAACCACAATTCACATTAGTCAACACAAACATTTTATCTACATGCAAAATGGCCGTAGCATCACTGAAGAGTTTCATGTTGTAGGTTAGAGCAGATTTAGCTAATGTGACGTTATCAGTGCTAAACAATGTCTGCTAGCTAGCAGCTGCTTACCAGCTGTAGTAAACCATAGCCTTGACATACAGCACAATAGAGAAATATCTTCCCTACAGCTTGTACAGATTACAGGTGTGACAGTTAACCAGTATTGATAACCGTCAATAATCTATTGAACATTTCTAACTTTATTATGTTTTTACATCATTTACTCAGTTCTGTCGCTTTCAAGTTATCGGTGTTTGCGTATTTCAAAATAAAAGCATAGTTTCAGATTCGTAATTAAGCAACTAAAACACAAAACAGCAAGAATATCAAAATAAAAGCACCGGAGAAAATGGTTTTATTAGGCAAGGAAACTTCAGTCACATGACTGATGATGTAGATTAATCATAAATTTGTACATCATTGAAATTGTATGATGACATGTGAGTTAGTATCAGTAAAGTTTACAAAGTCGTGTTGCTCCGCTCTTGTCTCAGTTTGAATTGTTATGTTGTTTTATTTTGAAATCTTCCATAAATATTCCAATGACGTAGTTGTTCTGATGTTTTATATCCATGACAACCTTGAGGTGAAAATAGTGACAGCCCTAGATTATGCTGCGTTCCAGTTACCTCGGAAGTCGGATGTCGGAGCTGGGAATAACGTTACGCCAGAGTTGACGGCGTTCCAGTAAATAAGTCAGAAAACCAAGATGGACGCCTACAGTTACCTGTTGTTAGTTGTTGTTTACAATTGTCAGCTGTTGTAAGCCGTTGTCAGCTGTTGTTAGTTGTTGAGGCACTGCACTGCCATCTTGAATTATGACGTTGTTGTCAAGTCGGGGTTGGCAAGGATTTCCGAGTCGGAAATCTGACTTCAGGGGTGCGTTCCAGTTGAATTTCCGACTCAGGAGCTTGGAAATCCTGACTTCTAAATGCAACTGTAATGCAGCATTGGACCGAGTGGCTACCTTTGGTCTTGAGAAATGAAGCCTTTGCGGGGGCACCCTAAAAACTGCAGTTCACTAAGTGTCCACTTGAGGCTGGTTTCAAAAGCCCTGTAACTCACATACACAATCAAAGAAAGTCCATTTTACACTGCAAATAAAAACATGCCTGACTTTAATTGAACAACCACCAGAGAGAAAGATGTTGCTTGAAAAATGGGCTTCACGAGGACAGATAGCAGATGAAATGTTGGAGCCCCAACACTGCTGATGTCATGTCAACATTTTTATTAATTATTACCCAGAGACATTAGAGAACCAGTGAGCGTAACGCAGACAGCATCTGTCTAAACGCACACACACTCACGCAAATACACACACAAACGGAGCATGCTCTCTGAGTGCCCTCTCATCTCGCTGCTATAGTGTAATTAAGGCCCACAGCGGTACAGACAGATTATTTTCTTTTCTCAAGGTACAGGAGGAGAGAGATTATGAGAGAAAGACTGAAAGAATTAGTGTAAAAGACGTAGAGATAGAGGACATAGAGAGAGAGAAATATACTGTACACAAGGCGACGAGTTATTTTTAGAACTTTTACTCAACCCCAGCACAATTCAAGCAGCGTGAAGGTCATCCGTCCATCTTTCTCGCAGCTTTCCTCCATCCATCTATCCATCTATTTTCACTTCCTTGTTCTATCTGTCTGTCTGCTGAACCCCTTTCCTCTATTACCTACTGCTCACTTCCCAAATCGCTGCAGATGTCTGAAACTCTTCACACAGACACACCGACACCTCGAGCTGTCGATTCGACTCAGCAGCTGTGTGCATGTCAGAGTTGTCAGAGTATGTTTCTCACATGTACATGCTGCAAACCGCAGATTACCTAAACTTTAATATGCAAACCAATCTGTGTGTACTGGTGTGTTGGTTCCCTATAAGTCACAGGCTGAGCTTTGCGGCCATGAGTGTGTGCACGTGTGTGATTTTGTGTCAACCAAGCGTGGCAGGGTGTGAGTATGAGGCACGGCTCCTTCTGCAGCATCAATCAAGCATTTCCATCACCTGTTTTTTGATGGATGGTTGAGGAGGCAAAGAGGAAGTGTGAGGGTGTAAAAGTGTGTGTGAGAGAGAGGAATCTGAAATGTAGTGGATTGCGGGTGTGTGATAAAATATGTTTGGTGGAGGCGTTTTTATCATAGGTTGTTGATGGTTCAATAAGCCTCCCAGACAGAAATAATATGGGCCTAAGGGAAATTCGTATGGAGTTATTTCTGCAAGTCGGTCATGATCATGAACAAAAAAACTCCTAGCCGATCTATGCAGCTCTATTACTGGACAAAGTATAGGCTGAAGAACATTTCTCTTGTAATATTTCATGATTTTCTGCTTTCTCAAAAAACTCACAGCCTGTGTTATTCATTCAAGCCTCAAACTGAGGACAACCTGGGGTATATGAGGCCCATATCTGCGACTGACAACTTTTAGCTGGAATAAAGGAAACCTTGTAATAAATATAGATTTGAGGGGTTGCGTAAGAGTTTCAGATGCCTCAGGGGGATAAAAAGTCTAATCTATTTAGTACAGTCGCTACAGACAGAGCCAAAAAGCCACGGGTAATCTAGCTAAGTAATGTCAGACTATAAACCCCTGAGCTAGTCTGAAGCTACAGGGCGAGTAGACTGAGGAGCTTGGCAGTGTCAATCTGTTATTCAAAGCACGTTTACTGTTGTTTCCACGATGAAATGAAAAAAATCTCGACCAAATCTGTGTTACCATGAATGAGTTTTGGAATATAACAAACTGAATCTGATGGCAACTTGCAATCTATTTAGTTTGTAATGCTCACACTCGTTCAAACGCACAGACACACAAGTGTCAGACACCATGACAGTGTGGGAGGGTCTCTGAGGGACCAAAGAGTGTGACTAAAGACATGAAATGGTTCATAGCTGACTGGTTAACCTTAAAGGACGATAAGGCTTGTTAGGCATTATTTTAGAGGTCTGTTTGTCAAGATTCTTTACAATTTCTTGCTCATACATTGACTGTAAACATGAGCCAAAAAAGCCAAAACTCAGATTAGCTAAACCAGACTAAAGCAAACTAGTTTCAAAGCTGCCTGACAAGCTTTCAGATTCAAGCAAAACATAATTCATTAAAAACTTCTTGGAAGAATTGTTTGACTTTTGGATTAGTTCTCTAAATTTTTTCGAGAGTCAAGGTCCTAACACACCGGGGCCGACACAAATATAGAACGCAAAATTACGAAATATTCTGAGGTGAATTTTGACGCCCCTGTCTATACACATCAAGCCCGATGCGATTTTTCCACTTCCCGGGGGAGAAAAAGACGCGTCCCGGGTGGAAGCAAGAAGACTGACACAACAGCAGACTGACTGTTGGAAACTGATGTTGAGATGGCTGTCTGTCATGATAGCATGTACTGAGTCGGGGCCAGTACCAGATAAGCACATTAAACTATAACCCATGAACGTAAGGTAACAACCGAGACCTAATGGTGCTGTGACAGCAACACTGTGATTGAGTTTGAGACAGTGAAAATACATATGGTATGTTGTATCTGAACAGGTTAGCTTACGAGCTAAAGTTACTTAGCACAGATGAAAGTTAAAACAAAGACGTTTAGTAAATCGTTAAATCACACAAACTATCGTCATATGAGGGATCCAACACTATGACTCTCCACAAGTTGTCCTTCAGGTCATTATCTTTGTAATGTTCGAGTCTTTTATCAAAAAGCACTCTGTTTTCCGACACATAAACAATCAGCTGGTCGGCCATGTTGGATATACAGGTGAATCAGACGTCACAACAACACGCAATCTGCTTGGTCAGAAGTGTTCACACAGTATGCAAAACTTTAGAAAATCGACCATGATCCGAAAAAATAAATGCCACAATATCGCAGGACGGGATAACGTCGCTGATGTGAATGCTTGTATTGACAGTATACGGGTTCGAAAAAAAAAATTGACGTCCAAAATAATCGCACGTAAAAAATGGTCCCAGTGTGAAAAGACCTTTCCTCATCATCTGGCCACTCTTGGTTTAGAAACTATCAGAAACAGTCCATTTAGGAATGACTTTTGTAAAAATCACAAAGACATGATAATGTCAGGGTTAGAATAAAAGTAAAATGAGAAAAAAATAAGTGAAAGCACACTGCTGAAGTGAAAGGAGGAGAGCCTCTGGAGGTTTTATCCCCCAGAGGACCAGCTGGTCTTATTTCAGCTCCTCTGTCAGGATGAAAAAACAGAGAAATAAAGCTCAATCATGCACACCCTCCACACATAGGCTCTTCTCCTCCAGACTATTTTACCTGTAGTCACACTGGTTGTGGTCAGTCTGTCTTTAACTTTCTGCATATTTTTTGTTTTCTTTATTTTTTCCAGAACATGATATTTAATTGTGTTTTCAGTCATGGCGTCAGCAGACACTTGAATGAAAACAGAAACAAAAAAAACTTCAGTCTTTCTCCTAAAGGCATAACAGTGGTTTTGGCTGTTTCCAAAATCTGAATAATTTAAAAAGCTAGCCTTATTTTTATTTATTTTTTATACTTGTTCCTCGACTTTCTTGCTTATCACCAGTCTGTGTTTAATGCTAAATTCTGATTTGTCCTAATTGTCTTAAGTGACGCTTGGGAAAACCTGATCACAAATACAGTATATATCAAATCAATCCTTGGAAAACAGTTTCTGTCACATTTCATCTCCTCCTGTTGACACTCTGACTAAAACATCAGTGTCTATTTTTGCACATTTTTCCCTGCATGTATTATTTTCTATACCAAGTGAATGACTTAAATTTTATCCAGAGCCACTCAATCACCAGCTCTGCGCTCCAAATAAAATTATGTGGCTGGAAAGTTTCAGGGAATCACTTCCCTTTTTGTTTCCTCTTTGGAGTAATGACACAGATCAGAGACTAATGCTGACTGATGTCAAGGCAGCTGTACCAACACCCCGACTCAGCACTTGCTGCAAAAGCTGTTAGCCACTGGAAGAATGAGTCAGTGACGTCTGAGGACACATCTAAAATGTTGGTTTCCAAAATTGAAATGGCACAATAGACACATGGCTGAGATTTTTCTTGACGATAGTTGCGTGCCATTCCAGTGACAAGATTTACAACATGTCCATTTATTTTGTGGACTTATTTATGTGTCTTGTTTCAACCTTCTCTTGTAAGGTGACCTTGAGTGCTTTGAAAGGTGCCTACAAATAAAATGCATTATTATTATTGTCATGATTACTTGTTAATGCCTTTATAAGTGCTGCTTCTTGTTCACAGTTCATGCAGCAGAGATTTGTTTCTGCTTTTTATAGTAGGAGACAACAAAGGGCTCCTTTTTACTGGTTGGGTGGATTCAGGGCTGAATATGCTGACAAAAGTGTGGTGGCTAACAAGGGCAAAGATGCTGCAACAACCCAAAAGATTTTCATTTGGAAAAAAACGGCCTGTTAACAACACATAAGCAATGCTCATTCGAAACATGCAAAGAAAGGTTGAGTAGAAAATACTGCTGTTGTAGGCCTGTAGAAGAAATCAGATGAAACTAGAATATGTCGAAGAGAAATCAACAGTTGCAGGAGTTCTGTATCGCCTTTGTTGTCTTTGTGATGGGGCCAAAAATAAAACCCTGACTTTTTCAAACCAAACTCAATAAACAGATCTGATCCATTTTCTTCTGTCTTAAAAATAGGACCTCAAATGACAACAACAACAACAAAAAAAGGAGTAAAAAAGTTCATGCCCTTGAGCAATAAGCTCGCCTTAGTGGTCTTAGGGGAAGTCAGCTGTTAGGGGGGCTGAGCTCTGCATGGTCCAATCATTTTTGATCAAATGTACAGTCAAACTTATGCAAGGCTGCATGCTGTGTTTGAACCATATGTCTTCTAAAGGGGATTAAAATAACATCCATGTCAGCTCTCTTGTGGCCTCTTTATATATGAAGTTGTACAGGCAAGAAAGGGCAACCTTGACCTATTCTTGCTGTAAGGCAACAAAACTTTTAAGCATATGTCTAAACCCAAGCTCTCTGCACCGTATACATGGTCTAGAGCTTGTCCAGTGTAACCTAATTAAATCAGGGCCACTTTTGTCAAAAAGAATAAATGAATTATTCGCAAGTTATGTCTATACTTGGCAGCGTGGCCTATGCTAAAGACACAGAAAACCCACACCTCCCCTTTGATTCATGTGCATACATGAAAAGACAAAACAGGGAGAACAGCAGCAAAGACACAGCAACACAACAGACTAGTGACAACACATATGACACAATAAGGGGGGCCAGGGCTCAACAGTGTAACTGTTTCACTCGCATTTGCAACTAAAAATAGATGTGTGTGAATTGTAAAATGTATTTAGGGGCACATACGGCATCAAAAAATTAGCCGAGGCAACAAATGTTTTTTCATGTAAATACAGCGGTGAAGTTAGTTTTAGGTTGGATATTCGACAGACATTCACTGAGGATCTACCGGTGTCTTCTCACTCTCCATAACCGGTAGATCCTCAGTGGTGCAGTTAAATCTATTCGGTATCCTCGCTGTCAATGTTGGGTGTTGTATAAGGGACCGTCAATAAATTACCAGTTAATGTTCTCAGAAAGCTGTTTTCCTTCAATAGCTTCCATGGCTTGTGTCCAATTGACCTAAAATTGATTTCTAATAATAATACTTCTGTCGACCAATAAGACACACCTCTTTATTTTCCTAATTTGTCCTGATAAATTTATTGTGTTGAATTTAATAAAAAAGTTAGTGTCAAGCCCTGGACGCCTTAAAAGGAAGAGCTGTGGTGGAGGTAGGAAGCAGCATTTTCACATCCACCAATTGGATGCACTGAGGATAAACGGCCAGGCTGTCGGGGGGTTTGGGCAAGCATTAAGATAAACTGTCTTTGTAGCCTGCCTGAACTAACTCTGCACTCAGTTTATCACAGGGACAGTCACCTTAACTGAACTCACTAAACAAGTGTTGGAACAGCAGACACTTTCCTATTGCTCACACCTATTACAATACTGAGTCATGACAGGGTGACAGGTCTAAGAAGCGTCCCTTGTGTTGTGTTTATGATTTGATTTTCTTGTCCATAGCCAAGCACATGCCTGAACATGAGTGAACCGCGCACATTTCAAACACACACACACTGAATAGTAAGAAAAACTTGTTCACAGATGTTTGGACAAACCTAAATGAAATTATTGAGGTATATAATTTTTTGAGGGCAAGAGCCACTTCCTATAAAACAATCAAAATGTTCTATTGTTCATGCGGTCGTTTGAGCATGAGATCTGGCCACCATGCTTTTGTTTCAGATGTACAAGGCGGACACAGCTGCGGTGAAGCAACCTTGAGCTCTAACATGCAGCGAGACATCCAGCACTTAAACAGGAAGTGATAAAAATACCGTAGATTACATAATTCTTCAGCTCTGGTTCAGAGATGAAAGCAACACAAGTAGCTAATCAAAGATGAGTTACACCTTCAGATATAGCAATGGAAATATTGTAATTCTCTAGTGAATGTCTGTGCCCCCAGTTTACAGCTTGTGCTTTTGCATCCCACTGATTCTACTGATTTCCTACAGTGTCGTTAAATGACTCACTTTGCACAGTTGTTAGGTTCATCTGTCACTTCATGTGATGTAGGTGGATGTCCTGATATTGCTAGAGATTGTGGGAGCATACGTACAAGAAAGTGAGATTTTCTATTTGAGAAACAGCGAGAGTTACGCTTCCTCTCAGCCTGAGTCTGAAATGTATCCTGACGGCAAAATCACATCAAGAAAACAACATTGTGCCATTTCTTCTTCGACCTAGATCAACATTACAGCAGGCCAAGAAAAGACTTCTCCTGTGACTGAAGCTGCTGCTGCTGAGTCAAAGTCGGCCGTGAAAGTCAAGCTAAGCAAAATAGATTCCTGGTCTCATGCTATATGAAGTCCATCTTGGCATCAGTTTGCTCTACTTTCCAAAAATAGTCTACTAAATAACCCATCGAGGCAGTTTCACGGGCATAGACTGAAGCAAGTCCCCAGCCACATGTCCCCTCATAACTACCTTTCCAAAGTATTCTGAGCAAAGACTGTGCCAAAAAAACAACAACTCAATTTTATCCACTCCGTGGAAAAGTAATCTCCCACTCTGAGGATAAAAAGCTTGAGTGAGTTTCAAATGAAGATCGATCACGTTAAAGGACCCCCATCAAAGTAAAATTGAGGGTACTGAGGTTACGTCCTTGTGTTTTTTTAAAGGTTTTATAAAGTCCTGGACCTGAGGAGAGTTTATACTCGCCACTATTTACAGACAGGTCCTAATTTTATGGTTTAAAACAATGTTATATAATTTTCATTGGCAGAATCAGCCAATAAAAAATGGTTATTTCCTAATTCTCTAAAATTTATAGCATCACAAGGGGGTCTGTCGCCATGACAATGGCATTGTTGAGAAAAAACGGTCGTCATTTCTCGAAATACAATACATTGAAACAAGGGATGTCCACTTTTATATTGTCCTCAGTTTTGACCCAGGGTGTAACAGCTATAACACCACCCCTGCACATTAACGTCCTCATACTTGTACTGGTTAAGTATTGCTCCAGTCTAATGATTATTTGCCAGTTTCACCAGACAAAGCTAACAAACAACTTCATCTTTAGGTCACTTCCATGCACAGTTAAAGGGATGTAGGACTGGGCAATTATATGATCGTGATAAATTTCAGTTTGATCACAGTGATCAGCTGTGGGCATATTTACTCAATCAAACATAGTGGAAATGTCATCACAACAGCCAATCAGAGTCAAGCTTTTCCTACTCACTTCTGTAAGTTACCAGAGAAGTAAACAGGAGAAGTAAACAGAATGACTGCTGTGTGGCGGCGGTTCAGCTATCTCCAAAGTGATGTCGAGCGATTAAGCTGATGTTCAAGGTATGTCGGCGGTTGGTGCCTTAAAAAAACAGCAAGACAACGGATCTGTTTAATCATTTGAAGAAGTACTTTCCGAGTGGTTATGTGGAAAGCATAAAAATACGAGCGGAGTCTGCACAGCCTGTCACCGCTGACGGCACTAGTAGCATTAGCAGTTTAGCCACAACTAGCGGTGCAGCCACCAGACCAAAGCAGCGATCAATCGTATCATCTATGTTTACATTATCTACATTTTAAGGTATCTTCATTATCTCTGAGGGGGCAACTTGTTTATTTTGGGTCTTGCATACCTGCAAAAACACTCAGGACTGTAAACTCGTTCACTGTATTATTTAGTATTTATCTATATTTGTTGTACTGTTGAGTTGAAATGTTTTTTATATTTTTCTAAGTTCATCTTATTCAATTTGCTTTGTTATTAACTTTGTATGTTAGTAAAATGTTGAACTAATCTCTAGTTTCTTTGTTTTTAGTACAGATGCTTTAAAACTGGCAGTTTTTAAAAAAAAATCGTGATAATAATTGAGATCGGACGATATGACAAAATATATATCGTGATTATTTTTTTTGCCAAATCACCCAGGCCTAGTTAAATATTTCTGACGTGAGGTCGCATGAATGGCATGTCATTGGTAAGTGTAGTTGGATGCCAGAAAACTGTGAGTAGAAACAAAGACCACAGCACGATACCATGTTTCGCAGATGGGGACGACTTTGCCATGCAAGAACGCTAATGTTGAGAGACTCTGACCAAAGCAGTAGTCTCAGTTTCAGTGTGCACTCTACTATTAAAATTTTTAGCATTTTGCCTCGCCATTAAAAAAGTCCATTTGTTTCCGCACTATTTGCCGACTTTCTATAAAAAGGGGCAGAGCTCACCAGCATCAATTGGGAGCTATACCTAACTAAATTGCTGTCATTGTCCAGTCTAATGCATCCAAGATTACTGGTTTATTTGTAAAAGTGAGTTGGCATCAGGTACACTTGGTGGGGATAAGCTCACTTTCAACTAGTTACACTTGGAAGAAGCTGACAGGTTGTATGTCGAACAGTGACGTAATAACCAAACTTTAACAGCTCTATCCTTCATATGTAAGATGCAACAGGGTTATCTTGTTCACTTCCTGTCCTCTTCTTTTGTTGGGGTTTTGCTTATGACCCAGCTTCCTTCAAAACAACTGTGCTGCTTGACTCTAAAGTCAAAGCAAACTGTGAAAACAAATGTTTACCACATGGCCTAGCCGCTGATGGCTGGGCTACAGCTCAATCGTGAAATATGACAGGCATTTCCAACAGTATAAAAGTATTAATAACATTTTCCTGTTTTTTTTTTTTTTTTACACTTTTTGCTTTGTTTCACTCATTTTTATGACAAACTGTTTCAGAGTACATTCAATACTCCACAGTGGATTCTGACGTCTGCTCGATTTCAAAGTTTCCAGCAGTTCCCAGCATTTTTCAGAACAGCAAACAAAGACAGAAAAATTCATTTCTGGCTCCATTCATGAAAGCAAAGCAGATCAGATTTTCATCGGCTGGTGACCAAAGCTGGACAGAGCTGAGTCGGGACTGAACTTCTCGCAGATACTGCGGTCGGTGACAGGAGTGCTGTTGCCACACACGCCCACACACACCAACGGCTGACCCAGTTCTCAAGCTGCTACAAACCATCCAGCAACAGACAGCCAAAAGATCAAGTCCCAACAAAATCCGCCCTGTCCACAAACATGTTGTACACTAAAAACCTCTCTCTGTTTTTATTCCAATCCCAAATTTTGTGTATTCACAGCTTTTAAAAAAATATTTGATATTGCCTGATCAACCCTTTAATTCCAAAGTGTTTTTACTTGGTCTTTTATTTCGGTGTTAGCTCTTATATTTTTCACGTTGCATCATACCATGTATCAAAGAGAGGGGAAAAAATGTCAAACCCAGTATTTTTATACATTACGCAGCCTTAGAATGAAGCCAGAGAAAAATGGCCACCCTGTGGATATCGTCTACGCAGACCATTTTTTTCTGCACTGATGCTTCCAAAGGGGCCCTTAGCCATCTGGAGAGAGATTTCATGCCCAGACAAAGTCACATCCGAGCAAAACAGCTTACAAATCTAACTTTTAACCCCTCAGCCAACCCCTAGATCCAGGTCTGACCCGATACCTCCCCATTATCCCTAACCCTCCACCTTCACAACATCCACACAGCCCTGCAGGATCTCAGCACGGAGCCCCAGCTGCATCCCTGACTGTCACCCCAATCGACTGGCCCCTTTAGCAGCTCCAGATGCCGTGGTGTGCCAGACAGGATTAGCTCACATCCGGCCAAAGGGGTTGCAGATCCTTCATCCACCCAACACCTTATCCTCTAGCTCTCTCTCTCTCTTTCCTCCTCATCTGCCTTCTCTGATCGCCTGCCACCCACATAAACACGCACTTAAAATTTTATGAAGGAGCAAACAAGAGACAAAACTGCTGCATGTGTAGGGATGTGTGCATTTGTGCATACGGTATGTTTACATAGGTCTGTTAATTGAATTAGATTGCTCTAGCAGAGATGTAATGAAACTTCGATGATTCCTTTGGGGGAGAGGGACTCTGTCAGTCATTAGAGAGCGCTTGGCGAACAGGAATGGAATGATTAAGAGTGCATAATTGAGAGTGCAATACAGGATTATGACAGAATAAAAAGAACATAAAAGATGAAGATGTCAGTACTGAATGATCCGTTCCTACCTGACAGACATTGAGAACTCTCCTGGGGCGCTCTCGCTCTCTCGGACCAGAAAAGCCCCGCACTCTCTGTGTCTGAGCCGACTCTCTGCCACACTGCGAGATATACGCCCCGCGAACCAGCTGGAGGCAGAACAGAAAAAGAAAAGAAAAGAAGAAAGGCACTTGATTATTGGTGTTACTATTTTATGCTTCTGTGTGTTCCTCCAGGGTCTGTGAACTCGAGAATATAATCTGTTTGGATGTCTGAAGTTTTGATGTTTTATTTATAGTGTAAATGATAGGCAAATCAATGCAGATCACAGATCAGTGCTGACTGACAGATAAGAAGAGGTTCAGGGTGAGAGGAAAAACTGTAAAATTAGCACTTCTGTGAGGTTATTTTTAAAAATGCTGCCAGATTTGCACACAATCAAAAGTCCCAAGACAGTAGATTTCAGCTGTCAGCTCTGCAGCAGAAGTAAAAGTGACATTTTCCCTACTTGTTTTCTTTCCTTTGTCCTGCACAGCAGAGCAGCTTTTGGTGTGCAAAGTTTGCTGTAAGACATTCTGCTCTGATGGACTTGTGTTATGCAACATTTGATCATTTAAATTAGGCCAAACCCTCATGGATTAATTCAAATCTGAGATTTTTATGTGAGAGGCGTTTTTAGTAACTGACAGGTGCAAATACACTGCAAAGGCCTGCTGATTCAAGGACAATGCAAATTCAAAAAGACAACCCACAAAAAGGAATATGCTGCAAATGGGAAAAAATTCACGACAGAAAGGCAAATTATTCAGTCCCAGCAAAATAATGGTAGAGAGTAGTGACATTAGGGCTGGGCGATATGGGATAAAGTTTATCACAATCATTTTTTTTCATATCAGTCGATATCTATATATATCATAAAATAAAAAATATTAATTTAACAGTGCTTATTGGAAGCATGTCTTTTGCAATACAATAAGCGACTGCATCTGTGAGGTCTTTGTGTCTCTTGGATGTTTTGTTATAAGGCCATGGGCTCCTTGCTTCGCTCAGGGTTTTTAACCTTTTGCATTGCATGTGGTCTGCCGCATGGCACTGCTTCAGGTAGTGAAAAAGATTTGAGGTATTCTCCGACTTTTTAAGAATGTGTACTTGACATAATTTGCAGTGCACATTACTCTGTTAATGTCCAATCTCAAAAAACAAAATAACTTCACACCACCAATGTTTTCGTGCCAGTGTTGTTGAAGATGTCATCATCTGTTGAGCCTTCATCTGCATTTGTGCCAAGGGTAGCAAACATTTTTTTCTTCTCACTGACAGTGCTGTCAGCTTCACGTGTTAAAGTGCTATGGTTGCGTGTAGCTGCAGCCTGGAACTACGCAGTTGTTTGCTACTTGGTTCTAATTCAGCACATGATTGGTTCAGCATGAAGCAGACCTGGAGCAACACCCCTTTTCATTGGCTATTCGTATAGTCTACCAAAACATGGCAGAATGCCAACTATTGAAAAGCATTTTGACCATGTTTTATATTGACATTGATGGAAATTAATTTTCAATATATATCGTTATTGTTTTATCACCCAGCCCTAAGTGACATATACGTTCACAGAAAAAACTGCAAAGAGCTGGAAACAAATGCATGAATAAAAACACACCTCTTTTGAAAAATGCATTACAGAAAGCAAAAACAAATTTTGAAAGCAGAAGATACACTACAGTTGGGGAAAACAGGGCCAGTGCAAAACAGGTGCATTGCTTCAAATGCACTGCACCAGGAAAAAATGTTCAAAAAAAAAAAAAAAAACTGGCATTAGTAGTATATACAATTTAAAACATTGCAAATAAAAACATTGCAAGAGGATGCAAACAAATGGTCAGAAAATGAGCTGCAAATAAAAAATGCACTGCAGGAATAGCAAAAGTTAGCGAAACAAGTGCATTGCAGAGTGCAAAAACACGTATTGACAAATATACTGCAGGAAAAAAGTGCTGTAGAAAGCAAGAAACAAATCCATGAGCAAAAATGCACTTTGTATGAAAAATGCATCGGAATTAGCCAAAGCAAACATGAGCAGAACAAACGCAACAATGGGAAGCACTGGAATTGCACATAACAGATGTGTTTCCAAAATATGCATTGCACCACAAAAACATGCTAAAAATAATTGGTAGATAAAAAATGCACAGCATTGTGTGTTCTCAGAAAATGCCCTGCAAGTGGAAACAAGTGCATTGTAAAGTACAACAACAGATGTGTTAACAGAAAACATCAAAGAAAGACAAGTGCAGCAGAAAGATCAAAACAAATTTGTAAACAAAAATGAAAACAACCACTTCACAAATAAGTGCACTGCATAGAAAATAAGTGTGGTGCAGCAGGCTGTCGACAACTGAAAAAACAGAAATAGTACACTGAATGAAAAATGAGCTGCAGCAAGTCAAAACAAATGCATAAACAAAGAAAACGCATGGCAAATAAAGATGCAGTACAGAGAGCTGAAAGCAAGTGTGTTAGCAGAAAACCCACTTATGCTTATATTCACATATTTACAAAGATAAGCCAGGCCTAACATAGAGATCCAAGCAACAAACAAGAGATATCTATGTTCCTTAACAAGCCATAGCTGCTGCAGAGGCTGCCTTATCAGTTAAGTGTTTGTCACAAGAAAACTGTAAATCCCAGCTGGTGTTCGACCATCTGATGGAGATGCAGGATGTACCAGCAGCTTCACTATAAACACACACATATATTTACACACACACACATACACACACGGGGCCGTATCATGATTACGTAAAGCAGCGAGTGAGTGTGTGTCCCTTCGGGTAAGGCCGCCTTATGCCGGAGTGCAGATGTCCAAAGCAGAGCAGAAAACGCCCCCGAGCTGCACACGCTCACTGATGAGCTGTTTAGATAGACCAGCGCTGGATGTGTGAAATGTATTCATCTGCTTTACTGATGAGCTGAAGAAGTTCGGTGTGTGTGAGTGTGTTTGTGTGTGTGTGAACTCACGCATGGGGCCTCAGGTTGATGTAATTTTTTGGCACAAAGCCTTTCCTGTTGTGGAGCTCAGCTGTGTACCAGTTTGGATCATCCTCCATGTTGGTGATCTGGAAGTGAACACACACACACAGATATGAAATATTACCCATAATGATGTTGACGCAGGCTATTACTATCGGGTGAAAGGCCACCATCATTTCTCTCTCTCTTGCTGTATATCAATCTTCCCGCCCGCACTCTCTTCTTCCTCTATTATCCGCTACACTGGCTCTCATTTGTCTTTGTGTGAACCGGGGCCTTCAACTCACACAAACCTCCAACGGCAAGTTCAAAATGCCACACAAAGCTTCTTGTGATTACACACATACTTACACAAGGGCCAGCAAAGTGCTAATACATTACTTCTTGAAGGTTTCCTAGTTCAATCCCTCTTCGTTTTCCCAGTTTTGTCAGAATTTTTTTTCAAAAACAAAACAAAACATTTTTTGTTGCTATATTTAACAAATACAACTCGCATGCATCGTAAAATATACATATCCTGTCAGTACAGGGCCGGATGTAAAAGCCCCTGAAGTGATGTTGCCCATCTGCCGAAAAGTTTGTCCTGCACCCTCTCTGCCTTTAGGAACTTCATTTCATGCACCATCTATTTTAATGGTTATACCGTGCACATTGGTACAAGCATAGAAAATGTGTCCCAGACTATGCAATGATTTACCGTCAAGGTATCAATCATTTGCAGATAAATGGCTGACCTCCTTATAAGTAGGTGGGTTCAATGTCAGCTAAGTTATACCAAGTGTGTTTTAAAAAGAATTTTTGTATGGTTGCAAGGGGTTTAATTCAACATGTTGGGCTGCTTGATTGTTGTAAATTATGCATTAAATATACGTTTATTGTTGTGAATACTTGGCCATCAATTTAATCTTTTTTTCCTTTTCTTATGCAACTCTATTTATCCAGTACAATATGATACAGTACAGTTGATACAATACTATACAATAACGATACGATACGACACGAAACGATTCTACATTGTATGAAACAATACAATACTGTGATGCAATACAATACAATATGATTCAGTACAGTTGATACGATACTATATTATACAATAACAATACAATAAAGATAAGATATGACACAAAACGATCCAATAAGATACAACACTAAATGGTATGAAACAATACTATGTAGTATCTATGATACGATACAATACAATATGATACAGTAGCATACCATTCCATATCATACATTACAATCCAAACTATATGTGCTATTAAATATGAAATGATCATACATAGTTGCACAACATATGATACGATATCATACAGTTAGATAGGATGCAGTACCATGCCATATCATACAATAAGATGTCCTATTGTATAATACATCATATAACACCATTTGAAATGATACCATTGATTTGTGTCTGTGTATTATCCGTCCATTCAATTATTCCATTCAATCTAGTAAATGAAAAATGAAAAATGAGTCAGTGTTTTGTTTTTTCTGTATAACTAAAAAATAAAAAAATAGTGTTTGTTTTCGTATTTTCAGCTCAAAACAGAATATATAATAGAGGAGGAAATGAAAATGAATTAATACATCTTATTTACAATTATTGATTTTGAGTGCTCCTGTTTTGAGCATACTTGCATGGAGGCTACATTGGCCTTCCCATGATCCTCAGCAACAGTTACCATAGGGAAAGATGCGACAGAGCAGTTCAAGCGCCAAAATCTTACATTGTAACAGAGCTCTGAGTGTAATTTTTTCTACAGTCATATCATCTCCATTATATATTCTGTTTTGAATTGAAAATACGAAAACAAACACTAATCTTTTATTTTTTGGTTATATAGAAAAACAAATAAACAACATATTGACTCGTTTTTTCATTTACTAGATTAAATGGAATAATTGAATAGACGGAAAATACACAGACCCATTTGATAACATATGATGCAACTCTGTCTGATATACCATTCAAGACTTATGATACTGTGACAAAGATGACATCATTAGTAAGCAAGTCTCATTGAAATCTCGTGTGAATTCAACATACGTTTACCTCATGATTTGAAACTTTGCATACATCTAGTATAGACACCGAACATCCAAAGACTGTAACTTTGCACTTTTGAAAAACCATTTTCATGCTCATCAATACCCCAGGCAAACAACTGCTTTACTGTATATTCGTTACAAGAAACAGAGGCTCACTGAGTTCTTAATCATGGGGTAAAGCACTGCATCATGGGAAAAAACAATGTGCTTTGTTCACGTTGCTTTGCGGAAAATACACAAGTCTAATGCAAGTAAAATATGTGCATAATATCTTTTTTTCCCCTCATTCTGTGTGCTGAGGATGTGTATATTTAGCATATTTATCCACAGGCACCCCCACTGATTTGGCTGTGACTGACTCAGCTTCTTAACAATTACATAATGACTCCTAAATTAATAATCATGCTGTAAGCTCAAATCCCAAAATGGGGAATCAAGGAAAAACACAAAAAATCCGACATCTGCACTATTCTGATACCCTGCCCCTTGATGCTTCTGAATAAGACAGCTTGTTTCTAAGATTTTGAACACTGAAGACAAAACAGAGAAAAAGACATGACTAGAAACTGCAGTATTTTCTTAAACAAATACAAATATTTCATTGATTCTATGTATGTGAAATGAATAAAATGTGTCCACATATCAACACTGAGTTGTGAGATTGTACCCAAAAACTAGACTACAAAAATAGACTTCTTATGATTCTACTGCTGCCAAGGATGGAGTACTCGAACACAGAATCCAAATCCAATTTGAGTCCAAAACTATTGCTTTAATGTGTATGTGTTTTGGAAACAAAAGACTTGTGAGTTTCCCTGCTCCTGTTTCGGTGTCCCCAGTGTCAGATTTGGCTGCATTCTCAAACAACAGCTAGTAAGCAGAGCGTCTGTGCTGTTTTCTCTAACCAGAAAGCCGCATTTATCACTTCTACTCCTCCACTTTGCCTGATTGATGCTTATCCACACGCAGCAAGGACAGAAATAAACCATAAACCCCAAAATAATGATGCAAAAAAAAACACCATCTGCTTTTATCCATAATGCCATCAAGTGCAGAGTGAAGGAAATAGAAGCATTTAGCTAGAAAGGTGTGGTTAAGAACAGTTAATGGATACTAAATTAGCAACAGCACAGTAGTGAAAGGACATGGGACTCTTAAGTTACTAAGATTTTAAAAAATCTCATATCACAACTGTTTAAAGACCTTTAAGTGTTGTTTGCTTAGAAATACTGCAATAAAATTGAATCTTATTTACTTATTGTGACAATGTACTGACGCAGCAGCAATACTAAATGGCACCTTATTTTGCCTCTTCGCACGCTGACTCTCTACTCGAGATAAATTTCTTTACAGACAGCAGAAATGAGAAGCCGCATTCATGTGTCGTCTAATATTGGAACAGCGTCCGTCTGAGATGAATAATAAAGCAGCCAACTGCCTAAATGAAAGGTAAATTCTCCACCCTCACACAATATTATTCTCTCATGTGTAATGTCAAGGGTTATTTTGTGATAAGGAGCTGCCCTTTGCCTGCCTATTCTTCTGCCTGATTTATCAAGACATTTCCCAGAATACCTTTCAGGAAAAGACAAATAAATGCTTTGAACGTGTATGTAATGTCTGTCCTACCGCTATAAAAATGATGGTATAAATTTTTTGTGGATAAATAAAGAATTAAAGCCGCCCCTGGAAGAAACAGTCTTGCAAAAGCATTGCAATGAGATCTACTGGGACTAGATCCAATGTAGATATTGATCTAATTACACCTCCTGCCATGAATTTGTTTGCTCACTTTATGAACATTACAGCTGGTGAGTTAGTGTAATTCTCAAGAAAAGCTTTCTATTCCTTTTTTAGATGTAATGCTGATGTTCTCGTCAATTTTCTGCTACGATGACCTCCAGCTGTGCAGCGAGTACCTCTACACTTCATTGGGCCTGTTAGGAAAAAGAAGCTGCACTTCAAATGGTTGTTATGCAGAATATAGTGAGGATAACACTACTACAAAGAAATAATCACCTCTCTTGGCAAGGCTGTGTAACTATTGTGATTATTTTTGGGCAGTAGTAATGTTGTGAGCAGTGTGCTAAAAGCAGCAGTACAGCTGATCATGAGCTTCAGGTTGTAATATTATGATTAGAAAATCAGGGACAGTGCCATGATGAAGTGTAGAGGTAGGCTTATCCACGTTTTTGATCATTTTACGCCAAACCTATTTCCAGGCCAAAAAACAAGAAGGTACTTTCCTTGGCGTATAGAAAGCGAATTATGGTATTAAATTAAACAGAAATTCTGAGTCAAATTACTGTATATACATGTGGTGTAAATTCATATTTCATCGAGCTGATTTGTGGGATTTGTTGGCTTTGGATGAAGCCAGACTAGTGGTTAACTGTGTTCTTGTATTCATTATAAGCTATGCCATGAGGTTACTGGCTCCTGTGTCATGCTAAGCACACACATAATTATCGTCTTAATCTTCATTTAAACAAGAATAAAAAGGGTTTTAAAATGTCATTCATATGCCTTTTTTGTTCCCATAACAGCACCTAAAAGTGTCTTTTTTCTGTAAAAAGGGTTTCCAACTCCTGCTAATAGCCAGATTTTGTACATCTGGACAGAGCCTGCAGCTGTTTGACCCTTCTGTCTGGGTCATTGTGCTACACCAAGCTACAGTAGGTAAGTTTATTACTGGTTTCTTAGATGTCCGAGGTACAAGATGACTGTCTGGCATCCACCAGTTAGAAAACCCTCTTAAGCTGTTCAATACGCACAGCAACTTTACTGACCCAAACTCCCTGCATCAACACTTAAATAGCTTTACTTTTAACAACGTTAATATGCAACTCAATCTTGTTTGGTGTCATAAAATCTATCGGATCAATTGTTTTGTGCAATTTTCATCTGTAGGCGTATTGCTGTCTTGCTTTTGCCTGCAAACTATTATAGAGTGTGTTGTTATCCACGTGTTTTAGTTAGCAATGTTGACAAAAACAAAAGCAAATAACCAAACAAGTTTGCAGCTTGTACCTAAAACCCCTCCAACTTCAACTGGCTGTGATGTTATGCTATCTTAGCCATCTTGTTTCCATCCTCCGATTGAGCTTTTTTCTGACTTGGTAACTGAAATGCAGGTAACTCGGGTGTGACATCATTTTCAACTTGGACTTCTGACTTCCAAGGAAACTCAAACGCACAATCATACCTGGCTGCAACTTTTGACTTCCTGGCTCAATAAAATGCATCACAAGCTAGCTAGCTTCTCAGTCTACAGAATAAGGAACTGTAACAATTTTAACATCAACCGAAAAAGGGAAAGAGTATGTTTACTAAAATTTCAAGCTTGTCCTTGCCGTTAAAAATGAAAATCATATGTGAATATGCAGCTTGACTTGGCTCTTTGATTGTTTTCCCCCCTGGGAAGTTTTTCTTTCTGGCGAAGCCAACCAGCTACAAGCTCTTACTACATGTTCAGAGTACAGGAATGACATAGCCAAGGTTTTAATCTTCACATTACTAAAATTAGGTACGTGTTTGTGTGTGTATTTTTTTCTCTGGAAATTTCCAATTACATCTTATCATACAAATGTTGGGACAGAGCAGCCTATCTAAAAAAAACATACTGTTAACAGTAGGCTACTTGTGCTAATGCAAATTTGCCAGCTTGGGGTAAAGCAGGCTACCTGTCAACCTTTGTTATCATTTTTTCTAAGTTAAAGACTATCTTTGGGAAGTTGTTGGTCACTTGCTCTTTTGGCAGCATTGTTCAGTATTTAAACTAGTCAGAAGTAAAACCTTTTTCCAAAATGTCAGCTTTTGTATTCAAAGAATCTACGTTTCCTTTTTGGGTGCAGTGGTCCATTGGAGAAAAATGGCTGTAAATGGTTAGCTTATGAATTTAAATACTGTGTATTTTTTTTACACCCCACCACCATCTCAATCAAAATATTTATTTTCACAGCCAGTAAAAGTCAAATCATCTTTCTAGGTTTGTTTTTCTGTTCTACTCTTTCTCTATTAGACAACATTCAGAGGTGAGAGGTCAGCTAATGTCCAGAGACCAAAGTTACGATTCTGACCTACTGTGTTGAAGTGTGGGGAAGTGCATGCAAAACTTCCATCCAGCCAAAAGCTCAATATGAATTATTAGTAGAAGTCAATACAGAGATCCTTCAAACCCATTGTTAAATTGCTGTTGTTGAAATTCAATGAGTAAGTGGATTTCAGTATGTTGCAGATTATGTATAAAGCTCAGAGGAAAATTTCACCAGTCAACATCCAGAGCCGAATTACTAAAAAGAGAAAATTGTTCTAATTTGAAAGGATTTGAATTATAAAAAAACAAGATTCAGAACTAAACTGAAAGAGGGCTGTGTTACAGTGAGAAGAATAAGTCTGTGGAACAATCTGAACAAAGAGACTGAAGAAGATAAATCAAATTTTATCTTTAAAAAAAAGTGTCAAAGCCAGTATGTTGAGTAAATACAGGGAAATATGTTCTAAGTCTAGGTATGTTTGTTTTGTGAAAAAATGTCATTTAACGTGGTCTTTTCTGTTCATTTTTTGGGTTGTTTTTGATCATAAGAAATAATGAACTGTAAAAAAACATGTTGGCCTGCAGCTCTTGTTTATTTTTTTTTTTAAGTATGTATTTAGTTGATTAATATATTATGAAAGAGGGGCAGACTCTATAAGTTTTCTTCTTTCTGCTCCTTTTCATTCACATGTTTGAGATTTTTCCTTGTTTGTATTGAAAGTTTTAAATATTAACTGAATGAAATAAAAGTATGACAATGAAATGAAACGATTATTGTCATTTACAGAGAAAAGCAGCGACTTAGGCACGTGTGGTGAGGATAGATGGATAGACAGGCAGACATCAGTAAAATTCTTATTTTTTTCCTTACCTTGAGCATATCTCCCTTGTTGAAACTGAGTTCATCGCCCTCAGTGGCACGAAACGTATAAAGTGCCACTGCCTCCATGCCGAAACCTCCAACTCACTCACACTTACTCACGCACACATATGCACGCACTAAAGAAACTCCAGGACCCCCAATAATGCCCCAAGTACCGGGGGCGAGGGGAAGAAGAAGTAGAGGAAGAAGTGTCCAAATGACAGATAAAGTGAGACAATATAAGGAAGGAAAACAAGCGAGAGAAAGAGAGAGAGAGAGAGAGAGAGAGAGAGGCAGAGGTGCGAGAGATGAGAGGTCTCGTCTGTCTGCTGAGCCTGAGAGCGCACAAGAGAGTCAGATGAGAGGATGGGAGAGAGAGAGAGAAAGAGAGAGAGAGGGGAATAACGCGACTGGCTGCTGCTCAGCAACACACTACAATGAGTAAGGTTCAGAGAGAGAGAGAGAGAGAGAGAGAGAGTAGGGGAGTGAGGAGTGGGAGGCACTTCCTGCGTATATATTTGTCTGCGTTTGTGGTTTCTGTGGATTCGGCCTCTTTGTGCGCTAGTTTATTCAACCACTCGCTTGTACATGTGTGTCTCTGTGCGGTCTGTCTTTTCTTTGAATCAGCAATACTTTCCATAAAACACAGTGAGAAGTCATCTCTCACGTTTGCCATCTGTTACCAATCACATTTATGACTGAACAGGGTCAGGACTAAGTGAGAAGTAAAGAGTTAATTCACCCAGAAGTGAGCGGTTTAATTATTTATCGACAGCAGTGAAGTCTCAAAGCAGCAAGATCATTCAATTTCAGTTTCAGTCTCTAAGTGTTGGGCGAGCGGCTATGACAGGGCTTAAGTTCTTCATAAAAAAATATATATTGATTTTATATTGATTTTTCATTCCTCAGATATATCTCCTAATATGGCGGCACATCACAACAAGTTATATTGACTATGTCTCGACTGTAGTAGGGCTGCTCAATTAAAGGAATAATTATTTTTATTGATACTGAGATGGTCATACTCAGTGACTCGACAGCATCTCAGTCATATGGTATTTTACACTTAAACCATAGACAGTATATACTATGGAAAACTTGGTTCTGCCTTCCGCCAGTATATAGATTTGAAGCCGCACAGCTCTTGGTAATTTTGCGTTTTCTTTCCATTTCCTGAAACCAACATTGTGCAGTCGCATTGTACGCACTCAGTGGCCATCCTCATAAGCTTTGCTGGAGGAGGCAGGATTTATGACCTATACTGCAGCCTGTAACCAGAGGGTGCGGTTCCCTGAGTGGCTTCACCCAGCGAGGAGGCATATGGCGTCCATTCTATATACAGTACAGTCTATGACTTAAACAGACTCAAGTGTTCTGAATGTGAAAGAAAAATGAAAAAAGTGAGAATGTACAATTGACAATTGTTAATCAATAGCTAACAACGGGTAACTGTAGGCGTCCATCTTGGTTTTCCAACTTGTTAACTGGATTGCTGTCAACTCGATGTAGCGTCATTCCCAGCTCCGACAGCTGACTTCTGAGGTAACTTGAACGCAGCATAAATTCATTAATAACATTGTCATTTTCCTGCCTTTTGCTATGAACCTAACAGAAAGAGTAGGTAGGTAGATCCAGTTTATGTAAGTCCCTGAGTTGAATCTGCTGTTGAAAAATGTGACCCTGGAGTAAAGCTGAAGAGAGTGCAGTACAAAGTAGAGGTTTGATGAGGAACACCTTTTCATTGTCCTGGAACACTGACATATTATGTAGGTCTAACAGAAGCTTCAATGCAGCTTGATTTCACTTTAAGGAAACACACCGAACAGAGGGATTTGATATTGTGTTTGTTTGAAACACAGCATGGAGAGTTAATGTCCTTGGGTACATAACTGAATCTACATTTAGACTAACTTACAAACCTAAGAGAGCTTCACATTTAGATCCATTCATTATTCTGCTCTGGGGGTCTACACAGTACCTCGGGCAGCTTTTTAGCTTAATTGTGAGCATGGCTGTTTGAAGTGTTCCTCTTTAAAAATTTAACAACCCAAAAGATTTACATTGGGAGAAACAGGCAGTGGATTCAGAAACAAATCATATTCAAACACATACATATTCAAAAACAACAGTGTGAACAAGTAAACCTAACCTCCTCATGTGTGTCTGTCTGTGGACTGACTTCTATCATCTATCAGGGCCTGAAAATGTGCTTCTAGTGAGAGTAATAAGACGAATCAAACTCAAGTTTCATTTTTGCCCTGAAGGCCTGGACCACTTAAGCTGTGATGATTGGTTTTCTGGGTTTGATTGTTTTGACTTTGCATATTTTATTCATACTTTCTGTTAAAGCTATAGTAGAAATCTAGAGGTCGACTTCTAGACTAAAATGCTCCCATGCTCACCTTTAATGGTGGCCTCTGAGGACAAAAAGCTCTGGTGATGCATGACAAGTATTGAAGTGTTTCTTTCATTTGCAGCACATTTATGGTTAATGCATTGACTCTTTGTCTTCTGCAGCCTATTCCATCACCGGCACATTGTCTTTTCTGTTATCTCATCCCGTTTTTACCCTCTGCAGCATGTTGTTCAATAATGCAGTGCATTTTCTGTTTTTTGCACTTGGTTTCACTTCCTGCAGTGCAGTATCATAATTGGTGCATATGCAGTTCACACATTCATTTTTTACTTATTCAATAATGCTAGAGTGCATTTTGAGTTATAATGTTCATTTTTTCCCTTTAGCATTTGCAGCATTTTTGGGGCTTTTTGCAGTTCATCTGCTTGTTGCGCTGTATTGTTTTGGGACCTCATATATTTTTGATGGGGGGGGATGCATGATATTCAATTCTTGCTGATTTCTGACTGCAGTTATAAATGCACTGCATATCTTTTATTCCACTGGAAAGAACACGAAAGTTCTCCTGCAGTAGAATTTACCTGTCACTCTTAATGTGGCGGTCTATTTGTTTTAGAACCACACATAAATCAAGACAACATCTAAATCCACCATAAAGAATAAATGTATTCCTGTCAAATCTTGGCGTTCAGTAATGTGTCTGCTGTCTGTTTTCTCACACGTCAAAGTACTTCCTTGCAGCCAACAAGCCGTCACCGTGTGAACATTAATAAATGATGCGTCACTTTTTTTTGGCAGAAATCTTCACACCTGCCCAAACTGACATTATGTTGATACTACATTGTGTGTTCCTATTTTAAATAATGTTCTACTTTATTTTTGCAGTTTGAAGCCTGTTTACCTTAATGGCTTTTGCAACATAATGGCCCCTGTAGCCGCCTTAAGTTAAGAAAAATTTGCCATTGTTTTCATGTTTTTACGAGCCTAAATCTGTCAGATCTGCTGGCTGCGATCAAGACTTACTAAGAAACCCATTTAGCCCTGGCATTAATCAAAACTTTGACTTTACATCGGGATTCCTTCCAACCCCTTTCAACATAAATCAGATCATCAAAAGAAAAAGATACAAACTTCAGCTCCAGTCTAAATTCTCCAAACTGCTCATTGAAGCGACAATCTGTCACTGACTGAAAATGCAGCCCTCTTCTTGGCTTGTCAAAATATGTCGGGAGAAATGTTGCAGCTGTCTGTGGCTGTCCTGAATCCTGAGATATATCTTATGCATTCGTCTCAAATTTATGCTGCAGAAACTATAAAATATGGACAAATATGGTGTTTTTAAAGAAATCTCTATCATTTTTATTGATTTATAACTGCATTCGTGATCAGATGTTAAAAACAAGGGTGAAAAATAACAAACGCTAAATACAACAAGACTAAGCAGAACAGCAGGAAAACATGCACAGACTGCGGTTTCAGGCTGCATAACCTGTCCAGGAAACCCCCCGTCAGCTGGTCACTTGACTCAGCCATAGGGAATGACACAGAGGCCTGCAGGAGGAAGAGAGGAGGGCTGGTGGAAGAATAGAAGAGGAAGAGGAGTAGAGGAAGTGGAACTGCCTTTCAGCACAAGGGCCAAAAACATAATGACATTTACTTTAACCCCTTCTTGTGAATAATAATAAAAAAAGCTCCTGTACATTTCAAATGTACCCATAGAGAGCTGTCCGGTTTTGCAGATAAAGTGCTTAAAGGTCCAGTGCAAAACTTTTTGCATTGTGTAATTTTGGTGCCCCCTGTGGACAAAGTCATCTTTGTTGAATATGTGTGATTAGCGCATCTTGATAAAAGAAAAAAAAAAAATAGTGTAACAAATATAAATAATAATAATGAATATAGTTTTATAGTTGCTTATTTAAGGTCATAAAAACCTTAGTTGCTTATTTAAGGTCATAAAAACAAACTGGCATCAATTTCAGTTTGTTTCACAACCGGTAAAAAAAAAAATAAACTCCTCACTTGAACTTTAATTCTGAATGCAAATAAATGTAAAAATAAGCATCCTGTGAGATCGAGATCAATACAATCTCTTCAGACAGGCATTCACCTGTCTTGTGAAGCTAATTTCCTCCATCTCAAAATGCAGATTTGTGCTAATTGGTTGTTTCTGTTTGGTTTCTTCGCAGCACATCCCTTTTTTTTTTTTTTCGCACAGCCCTCAGTGTGGGCGATACTTTACTTCTTTCTTTGAGTTTTTTTTTTCTTAAGTTGAATTTTCTGTAGGTGGTACTGTTCTTTGTCTACACAGCAGTGATGATGTTCACTCTTCATACCCTTTCCTTCTGTTGAACTCACCCAGCTGGTCAGTTACATCACTTCCATTGTCCATTTATGGATGCTTCAAACTAAAACACTTTTATGAAACTGATGTGATGACTCTAAGTGGATTTTACTTCTCATGGACACCTCATTTGAACTTTTATTGCATTTTTAATCGACATCCAATTCTCTGTGCTTGTAAATTTCCGTGGCTCAAAGTTGTGGTGTATACGTGTCACACTCGACACAGAGTCGCATCTAGTATTCAAGATTTTGTGCCTGAGTGAGTGCAACATTTCATCCTGTCAGAGGCACTGATGCAGAGTGCATGAAATAGTCAGTGAACAGGTTTTTGTGTGTGTGCGCCTGTGTGTAAAAGAGGGAGGGTGGGTGAGCGTGTATCAGCGGAAGCAAGTGGGCAACAACGGAAAAAGCAGGTGGGCACAAAAGTCTTCAAACTTCCTCTCAAAGAAAATGACAACACTGACTTTCTCCATCTGTTTCCTCTAACAGCCCAGTTTCTCATTAGAGTGTTCTCACACTCTTTTCTTTTTTCAATAATCGCTGTCCTTTCACGCCAGTTTTTTTAAACCCTTGCTTTCCTTTGTATTCTTCTTTTACTGATTTCTGGGAATTTAGATTTAAACACGAATTGGGGAATTTCCTAAACATTTCCAGCTCCAGCTTGGCGTTGAGACTTTGCCAAGTGAGCTGACAGGAAAAGGTCAGAGAAAAGGTGGGCTGAAAGTTCTGCTAATTGTATTCACACAAAGGGGAGGATAATAGGCCAAGAAAAGAAGAGAAAAGTTGAAACTTCAAGGATAAAGTTGAAGTCCAAAGGCTAATATCTCATATCAAGAATAAGGTGGACGGTTGCTCTGTGGCGACGTCATGTACACATAATGTGTTAGCTAGCAGATGGAAATGCTCCTTTGTGAGTAAACACTTGCTCTCCCTCACTTTTTTTTTGATGGTATGCTTGTTAGTTAAAGGGATATTCCAGCATAAAATTGAGTTAGGGTCAAACACACTGTAACACAGAGTTAAACACCTGTTGAGAGATCAATATTGCCGACCACTTGCTTCTCTAGTTATACCAACTTAAGTCACGACCGCAGATAGCAATACAGAGAACCACAGTTCAACCAAAAAGCCACTCTATAGCAACAAATAATGCTCAGAACAGCACCTAACTTCATCAACAGTACATATAAGGTCCCAGTCATAGCACTAGCCACCAAACATCTTTTTAGCTTTGCCGGTATTTAGCAAAGAGACTAAACACAACTTACCCACTCTCCTCCAGCAGCCGCTTGTTGTACAGAGACCTCCAGGCAAGTCAATCGACTGCAGCGGGGTGACGCAGCTCAAGGAAGAACATATATGATCATTACTTTATCATTTCCTTGAAGTAATAATCATCATATTAATCATTTTGCACTGCAGACGCGGTAGTTCTTCTGCCTTAGCATCTCTGTCTGATTGCATTTCCAAAAAGTAATGATCATATATGTTCTTCCTTGAGCTGCGTCCCCCCGCTGCAGTCGATGGACTTGCCCAGAGGTCTCTGTACAAACAAGCAGCTGCTGGAAGAGAGACAGTGAGTTGTGTTTAGTCTCTTTGCTAAATACCGGCAAAGTTAAAAAGATGTTTGGTGGCTAGTACTATGGCTGGGACCCTATATATACTGTTGATGAAGTTATGTGCTGTTTTGAGCATTACTTGTGGCTATAGAGTGGCTTTTTGGTTGAGTGCGTGGCTCTGTGTATTGCTATCTGCGGTCGTTACGTTCATCTCTCAACGGGGTGTTTGACCCTAACTTAATTTCACGCTGGAATATCCCTTTAATAGCCAAATAAACAAATAGTTAGCATGCACAGATCACAAACTGCTTGTACAAGGCTTCTGCAGCCTGCCTCACCCTGTCATCTGCACAGCTATTTGTAACAACATCAAGGTCATGGTTACTTATGTAACTCACTCAGTCACTCAAGTGGAGCAACAGTCATAGCTTGATTAGGCGATTTAACTCTATTACTGTCTTGTCCAGTTTACATGCACTGAGCAGGAATTGAATCACTGACAGGAGCATATCCCCCTCAGTTACGGTAAGTGGTGACATGCCCTTTCAGCTTGTTACAGCGGAATCGTCTCCCAGTCCAGTTTCAGTTGAATGAGGTAATAAATCAATGTTTTTGAAATTAATGTAAACGCACAAACTCAATTAAATTTTCAAGACCCTCTGTTCAGACTATTGGGTGTTAATTCTGTATTGACAGCGTTATTCTTTCAGAGTTTTTCCCTATGCTGTTAGTGGAAGCACTTTCCAGGGCAATAACAACATTTTAATTGTTCAAAAGGAGAGATTCTTGCAGTTTGTCATGTGTTTTATTGAAAACATGATTAAATGAATAACTAAAATATGCAGAGGGCAAGTTGTTTTTCGATTAATATGCCTCAGTGCAGCTGAAAAACATAAAGAGAGTGTATTATTAATGTTTTCTCTATAACTGTTGGCTCTAATCATATCAGTAAGGGTTGTGTGCAGAGAAGCAGACCTATCCCTTGAGTGTTTCTGAATAATAGATTTCACGATGCAATTTTGTTTTTGTTTTTCATTTTCAGTTACCAGAACAGAAATGTTTGAGGGAAACTAAAAGGTTCAAGCTTATCTCAGAAAGAGATGAGCTTCTCTGGTTTATTTTGTGTGCTATAAAAGAGTGAATGACAACTTTTAAAGCTTATGCGGGTACTTAACACCAGCTTCCATGCAAGAATAATATCATTAGCATGTCTAAAAAGATTACATTAATAAGCCTGCAGGAGTGGCAGGTATTAAGCATGATCCTGTTTCATGCTGTCTGACTTCTCCTGCTGTCCTGCTGGTTTCAGCGCAACAAGAAGCACATGCTTCTCCACAGGGCAACGACTGAATCCTGACAGTGTTTCCATTCTCCTTCACATCAAATAACTTCAAGATGTGCTTGATATCCAAGCGAAGACGATCAGGATTTAAAACATCTGTAAGTTTCCTGGTGTGAATCCCTCTGTTCACACATACTGCTTCGAGATATTCAAATTAATGTGACTCACATGTGCGCTGTCTTTGTTCTTGTGATTCACTTCAGGAGGTGCTAGATTCACTCGTGTGTGACAAAGAATCACTAATGCTGATAAATTGGGGATGGAGATTTCACATCACGAGCATCGCCAGAATAGTGTTTATTTTGGGATGATGTATTCCCAAATCCTCCCATATTTTGGACAATATTTGCTGTAACACTTGAGAAGATAGTTGGAAAGATGATGCCTCTTTTGCACACCAGCAGAATGTAATGCTCTTCCAATTGAACATGTTTTGTTTTCTGTTGGATGTCACACTCAGGGTAGGAATCTGTAAAACCTTTGTCATGTAGTACTGGATTTGTTTTTTTTTTTTGGCAATAAAATGCGTGGAAATATAAAAGCCTTAATCCTTCTCACTCCACAATTCATCACCTATTCAAAATGCCAGATTCTGACCACCAAAAGAGTCCTAAAGAAGTAGCTCTGGAAGATTACGTGTTGTTCACATTAGCTTATGTCAACTTATGAGTCAAGAGTAAATTTTCTGGTGAAGATGATGAAGATAAATACATTATCCCTCACATACAAATGTAAAAGTAATCAAAATAGGCTTTTATGCTCTAATGAGATGTACTGCTAAACCCAGTAACTGTCCTGTTTGGGAAAATGGAATGACCCTTTCAGTTCATAACACAAATAGGGTACACAGAAAGCTAACAGCCCTGAGTGTCTTACCGAAGGGGGGTCAATTTCAAGAAAGCAGTGCTTAATGTTAATTGTCTCTAATGACTCTCTAAATCAACAGTCACCAGTGCTAATCACGTATTAAAGGGTACACATGACCTCAGGGGGCTCTGTTGCAGTGACAACTGAGAACAATTGTGTCGACCATTAACATGAAATTTAAAGTAGAACACTCGTGACATCTGTTGGTGAAACACTGGTACTGCAGGAGAATGAGGCAGTGACGTGGGGAATTCATCTACATATTTTACAACGGTCTTCACCTTTAATGCATTTAATGAGACTTTCATTTTGCCTATAATTAAGAAGCATGGTCTAAGTTTGACAGGTTTAAATGGGCCCCATTATCAAAAGAGACTCAATTCTCAGAATTAAAAAGTTGATATCTTCCTTTCTTGGTAGGCCTCCAGGTGGCCCCCAGAACTGTTTGTCCCCATTGGTCTACCTCCCGAACTGTTTGCCCTTAGAGGTCTCTTTCTTGGTCACCATCCTGAACTGTTTGCCTGCGGGGTCACATAATATCATGACTTGACAATCCAAAATAGGTCTCACCTCAACTTAAATTGACAGTGAAGAGGATGTCCCTAGAATTGTCCCTGTAGGCTGGATTTATGCAGTTTTATATTTACACTACCTACCAAATTGCTGCAAATTCTCATGAGATATTTTCAACAAGCCATTCAGAGCACATTGTTTTCAGTTGATTACCAGAGTGATTAAATAAGCACTGACTGGAAATGTACAATCTTTCTTTTAAATTACACAACTGAACAAATAAATTATGTTCCCCACTTTTCACTCTATGTGAAAAAATATGTTTCTGATGCATCCTGGCCTCCAAATGTTAGCCCCCTTGGATCTTAAGAAGTAAAAGTAGTGTAGCTGAAACAACAAAGCTCTTGTTTGGACAGCCTTGCACCTGGACCTCTGAATCTATCTGGTTTTCTTGCACCCCCTCCTGAAAACACTGAAAAACACATCTAATTCAGCTTGGCTTTGGCGCTTTCTTTGGCTTATGCTGAGCTCCAAAGCAACGTTGAGTGACTGGAGCTCCTCTGAGACTAAAGACTTAAAATAAAATGTCACTGCTTGCCAGAAGGTAGAACACATTAATAGAAAGTGCAAAATAAAGGTAACACACAACATGTTTGCCATCTGCTTACTGTTGTTTGGGTGTTGTCAACTTTACTTCCTTTGCTAGAACACAAAACTATGTCATGCCATCCCTTCTTCTATTTTTAAGATCAATCTCACCATGTAAACGCATAACAGTCTATTCATAGCTTGCTGTACACTTTCGGTGCCTATTCATAGAACCTGATTTGAATACATGAATGTGTTCTGCATGTGTGTCCAGACTGTGTGCAATTCCTCCCTCTTTTAAAGAAGTGCTCATGAGATGACACGGTTAGACACCCACAGTGGAAGAAGTAATGGAATGCTGCCCTGCAATGTCTTGCGGCTTGTTCTGACACACCTGTAACACACATACACACACACAAACACAACAGGCTATGCTCCTCGCCGCTGACAAATCATGACATGCTCTTGGTTGTGTAATGGGCCTACATAATTCAGCTCAACTTTTTCAGAATAAGGAAGAACAGGACTTGAATTGCTTCCTGAAGAAAAGAACCAGACTTACCAGAGAGGTCTGTTCTTGTCATTTAACAGCTTGAAAAATGGGCCACAATCTACGTTTTGAAGAGGGATTATCCTTGGTATTTACAAATTAAGAAGACATAAGCCGTATTTCTGAAAGGACTGGAGATTTTGGAGGTACTCTGTGTATTTCCACTACAGGGGCACGTGTCTAAATAAGCTATTTAACTTCTGAACATGTTTGAAGACACAGTTTAAAGACTTAGACCCCCCTTTTGTGAGTTTAAACCATCTTCAGTCAAGGGAGCAGTGGTACCCTTTACATTTGTAATTAAGAATATTTGGTTTCTAATATTCCTAGATTTCTGAATCCAGCAGAGCATCAAATGGCTCAGCAGTTTAGATGTGTTGCCATACAAAGATAAATTATTAGAGTTGACATATTAAGACTCCACATCTCTTTTGGGAAATGCCCAATGTGAAGTATATTTTGGGCTGGCTCGTCCAAGTTGTTAAATACTTGTAGATTTTAAAGCATTTGGTAGTTTGACAGGGCTGTGTTGCTGCACCAAAACTGAATATTTACATAATATTTTGACCCCCTTTCTAGACTTTTGACCCCGTTTTGGTGGATTTAGACCCCTAAAAAACCCTGCACTAAGTACTTTCCTTAGTGCAGGATAGACTCATAGACTGAGATTTGATTGACTCAAATATTTCTAAATGCAGCAGAGATTCAAGTACTGTGATAGTTTACATATGCTGCTGTACCAGGCTCAAGTTGACTTAGACCCCTTTTTATATAAATTTTGTCCCAAAACATTCGTTCTTCAGGGATAGTACTTTTTTAAACTAAAGCACCTATAGGGCCGAGCTTTGAGTGATTAACTTTCAGGTTTCAGAAGCCAGTCCAGTATCAAGCTAGTAGTTGCCCAACCAAGCTACAATGTGTCGGGTGATGCCTGGACCCCCTTTTTTGGAATTTCCAGTCCTAAGAGCTTCTTTTTTAGGGGTAGTGGCCCTGCTTTCTGACATGTATTACAATTTGGTGGATGAGTTTTCTAACTAGTTAAATACTTGCAGGTTTATGAACCCAGCCAAGCACAGAGTTGACAGTCTAATGTGTTGGCATACCCAGCTTGGTATTTAGCCGAGGTTAAAGAGGCTGTTGAGTTCACCATCACATTGGCTTGAGACAGGAAAAGGGACAAGGTTTTGAATTAAAACAAAGGTATCTTCAAACAAACTGGCCAACTGGTTCAATAGATTCAATACAAACTTTCAAGACTAAGTTTCTTAGCCTCTCTCAGTACTTAAATCAGAAATGCAGACAGCATTGTAATGCCTCTCATTGAAGAAGTTCTACCCTGCCTGTTGCATGCCATTCCTTAAAAAAAAAGAAAAAGAAAAAAGGGGGGAAATGCACATGAGTTCACTCTGAAAAGGGCCTACTCTGTTGCTGTATCACTTACCTTTAGTGACTTTGGTGACATTGATGTGCTGTTGAACACACAAGTTAAGAGGCTCTCTCTGTGCCCCCATGGCTAAGTGAAGCAGAGGCTTGGTCACACCCTTATGTAGCTTTCCACCCGCCCGCTCTGCCCGCCATGTTCTGGAGGAGGAGATACGTGTAGCTTGGCTTTAGCAGGATTAGCATTAGCAACACATAGCTTGGTGGAGGCGCAACAAGCACCCAGGACGCCGAATTAAGTACTCTTTCTTGATTCATCCCCTGGATTTGGAAAAGTTGTTTATGGTTTTACATCTGTGGACTACCAAAAGAGCCTGACAGGTCGCTGCAGATATGGTAAGTTAACGTCGGCTTTCAAGACAGCCGAGTTGTTTTGTTTTCCAGGGTGTCCTGTAATCCAGTTTGCTCTGGTGATGTCTCCACCGAGCACCCGTCTTCCATGCTAGCTTTAAGGAATGCTAACTAGCATAGCGTGCTATTCGGCTGTTTTAGCGCAGAAAATATGAGTATGAGCAAACTGGACTGGTTTTACACTAAAAAGTGATATTCAGACTTGACTGTGCTTACAGCTCAATTTATGTTTCGTCCAAGTTTTGGACGCCCAGGTATCAACAGTTGTATTTGTAGCCCACTGCGCGTCAGAAGGATCGCTAGCTTTGATCCAACTTTTTCCCAACGCCTTCTTTGATCGTTAATGGAAATAAATAACAGTACTATTGAGAAGATCTTTGGGTTCAGACAATATAATGCGAGGCGAAGCCCAATGGCACATGTTTATGGACTTAAATGTAGTTGAGTCCAACACTTTTCAACCACTTGTCTTCACTAACCGAATTAACGAATCCAAGTTCTTGGCTAGCTTATTTTGCTAGCTGAACTACTTATACCGCAAGTTTGCGGCGCACTTGTTCAAGAAAGGGCATCAAAATGTGAGCTTTCAGGTGTTTCTATTAACTTAAATCTCCGTCAGCGAGTCTCCGAAAGCAGGTTTTACATATGATACAGCCGGTTAAATCTCAGACCCAAACGCTAGCCAAAACGTCTTTAGCTTGTGCGCTATCAATCACATCAGTTCAAGGAAACGCTGTGATTTTTCTTTCCTCAATAAAGGCAAACTTCTCTTCGTTTCTTCCTCTTGCGATGCTCATGGCTGTGGATAGAGGACTAACAAGTTAAGACTGTGAAACTCTGAGTCATCAAAGAAAAACTTGACGTCCATTTATTTAGTTAGGGTTGTGGGAAATTCTCTACTGTTGATGCCGTATACTTGCAAGGAGGTGACAGGTGAACGAGATTTTGTTAAATATACTGAGCATTAGCAGGGTTTTTCGGTATTATTTAAGGTTAAATACATTGAAATGTGTGTTTTGAGAGGTCTTTTACTCAAGGAGGTTTGAACCCACCTAAACGTGGCCTGAGATAGGGGCAGGGCTTTGTCTATTGTCAGGGTGATCAGTCATAGTGATGGGAATTTCGCCGCTTTCCTAAGAGACGGATCAATTGGACCAGCTCGGAAAAAAAGAGACAGCTCATTTGGGATCCATTATGGCTCTTCTTTTAATACCACCGCTATCCTTCTACTATAATTTAGCTATTCTGCAAAAATACTTCTTAAATTATTAAATAAATGAGAACAGAGTCTCTTACTTTCCAATGCATCATACAACTTGAGCAACGATGGCAGTAAAAAAAAGCCCAAAATATCAGTTTCAAACATTAATATCCTTGAAAATAAATTTCACTCCTTACCACTGCACTGTTGTCTTTCACAGTCTTGTTTATAAAGGTTTAATGTTTAATTTAGCCTTACATGTAATATTCATGTTCAATGTTGGACAAAGAGAAAAAAGTCTACCATCAGAAAGATATCTATAATATTGCGAATGATTGTATAATGCAAGATCTTTATTTAAGTTCATGTATTTTTCTAATGAGCACAATATGTGTGCCACCACCAAAGCATTTTAGAAAGACAAGAAAAGATTTGAGCCAACTCCCTTTTTTTCTGTTGAAGGAATCATCTCTTGCAGGCGTCTTGCTCCCAACCAACTCATCAATAATCAGTCAGTCACACTGAGTGACAGGTGCATCGTCACCGTCCTCCTCCCTCCCCTGACTTGGTTTCTTGACCTGCCTCAGAGGACAAAGACGGGCTTGGCATGCCAATAAGAGGTTGACTTGCCTTCTTGTCCTGACTGCTCCAGGCTTGATACTTGTCATACCTCACTTCGAAAGATTGACAGTCAGTTCAGGGCTTGGGGGACACGTGTTGGTGGCTCTTCCAGGGGTTTAGTCTTGTTAAAGTTAGACCCTGCCGCTTGGGTGTTGCCAACACTAAAGTCAGGAAGCTATTTCTTTGACCTCAGCGTAGCTTTCATCATAATGTGGGAGCGGTCTGTAAATTTGCAGATTTGTCATATTTAATGCTCAAAACAAAACTAAATGACACTGATTCAGCCAGTGGTTTCAACATTATATAAATTACAGTAAACCCGACAATTTCAGGCTGTTTACAACCATAAAGAAGGTCTGCTTCAAATAGGCCAAAACTGTTGACTGCAGTAAGTCATCTTGGCAAGTTTGGAATCAGAATTCTGGTTGTTGTTGGACCTAATTGAGCCTCTCTATAAACTTTACAGGTAAGGTTTTGATTTTTCCAAGGATCCCAAAGTGAACGCAGTACTTATTCTGTCATTGAATAGTTTCACTCATATATGCTGCAGGTGGTAACAGTCTAATGTCGCCAAAAGAAGTAGATGAATGGCGAGGGAACCAGCTGAATGACTCGAAAACACACTCTCCTCTCTCTCTCTCTCGCTTTCTAACAAACACCGTCATCGTCACAAATGCTCGCCGTCACACACAGGCAATCGCTTGTGCAAGCCATCTATCTCTGGATCAGCTTTACTCCCTCTGTGTAAGCCTGGCAAGGTAGACCTGTTCTCAGTGTACTGTCTCTCAAGCCTTAAGCTAATCACAGTTTACTGAGCTCTTGCCAAGACACTCCCAGACACAGGCACACGCATATGCAGGATAGGTATGTCTCATTGTATTAGGTATGGGACATTTAACCTGTGAGCAGATTTACTTCTCCTCAGTATCGAACAGACCTGATATTGGACTTTCAAACATGTTTCTCCTTAAAACACCTCCTCCATCTGATCTAGTTTACATCAAGGCAGTGTTTACAGCATCTAGAGTTAGATCTAGGCTTCTCCTGTTTAATATTTGCTGGACTTGTCGCAAACAGTTAGTGTCAGATCGTCGATTTGATAAATTTCTATATCCTGCAGATCTGGTCTTGTTCCCCAGCTGTAGATGCTCCTCTAAAGGAAATGATTTACAGTTCGGCGAGAGAATTTCACCTGTTGATAAGCACCGCCATAAGACTAGGTGCATTCATACATTCTTGAAATAGTTGTGTGTTGTGACTAACTGCTTGAAGGTTTGCTCTGGAAGAGGCCTTGCTAAATCAATCTGATGTTTTTCCGTTTAATGTGAGACATTTTGCAGTGAGCATCAACATTTTCCTTTGTTAGCAACTTTATATGTAAATATGCGTATATTTTATCACAATGGTGTGATTTTTGCTTCTCATTGGCAACAAGCTACAGCTGCAAGCTTTGCATGTTTCAGTCTTTTCTTGGACCACCATATAAAGATGGTCATTTTCACGGCTTTGATGTATATTTACATGATCATTTCTGATTAAGGGCAACTTTTTGGTGACAACAGATACATGTGTAGATTATAATGTTGGCACTTTCAGGTTCGTATTGATGTAATCTAAATGGTCATAAATTCCTCAGTACTATATGGATGCATGGTATTTAACTTTTGCTGATATGTGAAATGCCAGTATTTTCAAACTATTTTGGCTGATACTGTTACATACACATCTGTTTGATATTGTACAGAACACAAAGTCTATGCTGCAGAATTTAACTGTTTTCCTCTTACTGGGAACTTCTCATAGTTGTATTAACATACCTGGATAATGCGGTTCGTAATTGATTTTCTCCATCACTTATACGGCTCAATCGAATTGCAACTGGCCCTAGCATTCCGCGCATGCTCCGATGTTCCAATGTGTTTCTAGAAAGCAAAACCTCAGCAGAGGAAAGGAGGTGAAAAAGACAAAACTATTGTGCAAACATACTTTACAGAGCTGTAAAAGTGACTGTGTTTTCATCATATGATGCACATCCCATTAGCCTGTGTGTTGCCGAATACACTGATGCATTTAAGGTCGAGAGAGAGACGACCTGATGGTAATGAGGAGGTATACATGCTTTTGTCCATGATTTGATTTTTCCCCTGTGCTCCTGAACTGGAACAAGGATTGCAGTTCGGTTAAATAGCCTTGTTAAGCTCTGACAGTAGCCTTCTTAACTGTGCATGTCATAGTACTAAATGTCGACTTCAGCCTTGTGAGGGCTATTGCCAGTGGGATTCTGAACATGTCAAAATGCCATTTATTGATTGCTGACCCATGAATCTTTCTATCTCTTAAGTTTTCCTTGTGAGTTTCTGAAGCAGAGGTTGCTGGCTGGTTTGGTTACTGTTCAGATTGATGATTCTCTGCATGTTAAGCTATGTTACTGTTAGTTTCTGACACTTCAAAATACTTTAATTTACCAACATGTAGATGGTCTTTGTTGGCGTATGTAGACTTTCATTTTGTGTGCATAATTAATGCATCACCTTAATGGCATGAATCTACCAACAGAGGTTACACTGATAATATTCTACACCTGTACAAACCTCTTGTTTGGCACATGCTCTGTGTATCAGCAGCATTCTGATGGAATTTTTCCTCACTGGTAATTCAGCTCTTTAAAGTTATGTTTGGGCATATCCGCTTTTATTGGAAAGGGCTGGTTAAATGTGATAAGAAGTGAACGAGTGGGGGAATGACATGGAGCAAAGGGTTGTGGCCAGGAGTCCAATCAGCACCACGGGGATGAGGGCTACAGCCTCTGTACGGGGTTTGAAGAAGAAGAAGGACTTAATTAATCCCCGAAGGGAAATTCAGTTGTCTCACTTTACATGTCTCAAAGTTGAACATAGACTTTACAGAATAATGAGTTAGCTGCAGTTCTGGAAGCTATCACCAGCAGCACTGTATTGGAGATGCTGACCAGATCAAACTTTAAGTCTACCTAGCAAGGGGCGAAGAGGCAGAGTTGAGGCAGACCTTAAGTTTCCATGATTATAGCAACAGTATACCTGTCTGTCACGCAAGTCAGCTGTGCGCCTGATAGTGCAAGACTCGTAACCTTGACATCTTCAAAACAAAAGCGCTTTCAAACAAGTTCTCTCCCTGTTATTTCCCCTTACATTTTGCAAGCTTTAACTCACACATGCACTGCACTCTTAAAAATTTCTCTATATTGTCTGGCTGGGCTGCATGCAAACAGCTGGATGTGTTTACCTTGACCTTTGGGGTCGTTTCTTGCCAGCTCAGGAGTGAACCGAGCAGGTAATCATCTGGAATCTGAGTGGGCAGAATCACGTCTTTCACGTTCAGCAGACTATCTGCACTGGTTAGCTTGCTTGCAGTTGTCCATATATTGTTTCTCAACGGCTGTTTTTACTGCAAAAACTTCCTGATACATTATGTTAACTCAGAATTTACAACCTGTAGAGTGTGAGGCAAAAATCAACCTGTGCTAAAGCGTTCTTCACATTTGTTTATTCAAATGCATGTAGAGTCCAACACTTTGTCAGATTTCGCCAAATGCAAAACAACAACATCAATGCGGTTTTGGTGTTATATACATCTCTTACACTCTCTTATTATTGGTATTTTCATTGGCTGATATGTGCACCACTGTCAATAGTTTACCTGACACCTAATGGTGTTTGGGGGAATAACCAATTATGGTTCAGATCATTGTGTTGAATCATCTGGTGTTACACTTTTGGTGATATCAAAAGCTGATACTTATTAGTGCACTGATACTGTAAGCGATAATAGATGACAATTTGCACAGATGAATAACTATTATTATTAGGACCTGACCTATTTATCGGCGAGCCAATTAAATCTGCCAATTGTAGCCCATTTGAGACTAATCGTTAATCAACCGATTTTGGAAAATATTTTCAGAAATAAAATGCGGAGAGTAAGATTCGGGTTCACGTCGAAAATGTTCTGCCATTTTGAAAAGTTCCCCGACTTATGCTGTAGATGGCGCAGCAACCTCATCTTCGCCTCAATCTTCATCCACTAACTACCTCACAGCACAGCAGAGTGGGGGTGAAAATGCTATCTACAGTATATATATTTTTTATAACTTCATAAAAATAAAAAAAATCAGCCAATTAATCCCCCCCCCCCCCCCCCCCCTCCTAATAATCGGTATCAGCATCGGCCCCAAAAATCCATAGCGGTTGGGCCCTAGTTATTATTATAAATGGCAACATTTTATAAGACACATAAAAACCAATCAACGTTTCATATCGGCTGACCTGCTTTTAAATCATTGGTGTTGATATTGGCTGTTGAAAAGCTGATATCTGTCGATCAGGCATGCTGTGTAAAGCAAAGAAATGGGAGCTATATTGCTGTGTGATAAACAGTGAGAAAAAAACAGTAAGACTGAACAGAAGGCTGGGAATGACTGGTGTGTTTCTTAGAAGTAGACCCTAAACTCTTCCAACAACAACAAGGCATAGTGGCAGTTTGACGAGAATGACAGGCTCAGTCATTCACACATAATGAACCTGCGTTTCTCTTCTCGGGATCTTGGGGCCTCAGTGATCCAAGCACAGAGGCGCTGAAGGAAGGCCTGCCGACAGCGTCTCGCGGTGGGGGTTGTTTCCGGGGTGTTAAGGAGGTGTGGAGGGGATGGGACGGACAAGACAGACTCTCCTCTCTTCTTCCTGTCTGCCATGGGTGAATAGTTGATTATGGGAGCAGATGTGTCATTAGTTCTGAGCAGTATTCATGCGGATGCAGGGTGAGGAGGAGGAGGTGGAGGGTGGCACAGGAGCGTTAAGGGGAAGGGGGGGGACACACTACACAGGAATCACATTTCACTGGTGGATTTAAGGGATGTGCCAACTTGTTTTCTCATCCCCCCCTCTCACTCCTCGACCATAGTCGTCCTCTCCAGCTGTCTTTCAATGTTAATGCCAGGCTGAAAGGTCTCTAAAACACATACCCGCACAGACAAATTAAACACAGTTGCATTCAACAAAGAATCACTAGTTTGATCACACTTCTTCAGGTCATGAAAACACTCAGTTTGGGAGGCATGTCTGCGCACGCACATTGGCGTGGTGGAAGGATCAGATTACTCAACAGGATGAGTTATCACGGGACTCCTCAGATTGATGTCAGATGAGTTCTGGGCACAGAGAGAGCTTAGCAAACATAAGCTGCTGTTTATTATCGATAGCAATCGTTGTAATGGAACTTAAGTGTATTAGCTTTTTATGTAACCTGCGCCACTGTGGCTAAATGATTAAGCTAGGAAGTTGTGTCAAAGTGTGATACTAGCATTGGTGTTCAGTACTTAATTGGGCTCCATTACACCATAAAAAGTGTATTTAGTTCCCAGTTTGTATTTTAACAGTGTTCATCTGCAGTAGATTTATGACGTGCCATAGCAACGGCTTGTAGATGCATGTGAATGAGGCTTGTTAATAGTGTGATATTTCGCTACAACCTGAAGTATGTTAACATGCACAGTTAAGTCAAGTGACGGCTATAGCTTGATTAGGCTATTTAATTGGACTCCTGCCCATGTCCCAGTTTATAAGCACCAGGCAAGAATCAATTCAGTGACTAAAGTATGTCCACCTCCGCTATGGTAGGTAGGCCAAGCCCCTTTTTTGGCTCAATATGACTTGGCTATCTCCTTGTTAACCTATTACATCAAGTTTTGTATCCTAGCGACGTATTTATGTCATTCAACTTCCGTGTCAAACGTCAACGTGCCAACTAGGACAGGTAACCAGAACTCTGAGGCCAGTTTCAGTCCAGTTTAGGTGAATACATGCAAACCGCCTCACACTACCGGTGCTTGTACTTACAGACACCCAGGTATAATCTGATCACATAGGAAGCATGTTGAAACCAGAAGTAAATGACCCCTGAGTCTGTCAGTGTGCTCTGCTCTGGTTTTATTTGGCTTTGACCACTCTTAGTTGCCTATTTGTCTGACTCACCTGGCCTTATCTTGCAGGTATTCATATTACCATATCTCAGTGTAGACACTAAATAGTTTTGTTGCTATGTTACATAAAGACTTAACTTTGCAGGCTTTGCTCCTCTTTCTTTTTAGCATGGCTTCACTGAATCCAGTATATACTTGTCAGCTGTTGGCATGAGGTCGGTGAATGTTCATGTACTACAGCAGAAACCACATACTGAGTGTAGGCCTGATAGCCCTGGTTAGCTCGCAGATTACGTAGGTCTATCTATCATTCTGTAGAGCTGTTCCCAAGGAGAAGTAGAGTATAATAGGCAGTTTGTGAGTACACAGAGGGCAACCACTGCATCCTGTGTCTTTTCCAGGGCACTCACGGTGTCTCATTTGATGTATTGTTGGATGCTCTAGCTGCTGGCCTGTACTGCTGGTGCTTGGGCTGCTGCTTCAGCCAACCAATCATTAACATTTTGAGTGGGACTGGTTACCCAGGTATCCAGGAACAAGGATGCTGTGTGGGTAACAATTACCGGGACAGAGGAAAGAAGCCCATTTTTGTGTCGGTTCTTTTTTAACAATCAAAGTCATGATATTTATATGTATATATTACTCACCTTTTATTTGAAATGATATACAAAAATAGTTTTTTTCCTTCTGCCAATCTTATTTTGAGCTTTATTCATAGTTACCGTCAACGCCATAGCTGGATAGTAATGATCTCACAAGGCTGATATTACTCACATCAAACCGAAAGTTTCCTCCGAGGCTGAAGTAAATCAATACAAAACAGGGTAGAATGAATCAGCACCAGACCTGATTGTGTTTTTCAGCTTCGTCACTGTCAGCGTCAGTTTCTGTCAAAGACTACAGTCCTTGTTCCTGTGAGTTAACCTCTTCCTTTGGTATTTCATTTAATAATAATGTTTGCTAAAGCATTGTGTGGAGTGTTAGCAAAAGCTAGTAAAAGTTCAATTATCACAGTTTTTCCAACAATGTTATGAATATTAATTTTCATAACAATATGTACCTTGTGATGGCCAGTGCCCTACTCAAAATATGTTTTTTGTCATTCGTATTCAACCCTTACAGTTTTATGGTATACATTCATAGCAGCCTATATGAAAACAAACAGAAGCACACCTTTTGTAAACAGCAGATTGTAAACGGTGTCAGTCTGTTTTATGCTGCATGCCAAAGTCAACTTCATGCTTAAGAGAGCTGTGGCTGTGTAGGTCGCACAGCTGCGAGACTCCACACACATACAATTTCCAATACTTGTGTGTGTCAGCCAGGAAGTGATTAGACGCTGGGCTGCCGCTCTGTTTCAAACAGGACAGAGGAGTCATCAGTCTGTCATCATCAGACTGGAAATGGTTTATCTCCCCCGCCACCCACCCAGGACTGGAAACCCATTGTTACTCAGTCATCGCAGTGGTTTTTAAATTTAAGCACTGTACTAAATCTTCACATTGTAAGATGAGAAAAGGCAGATGCTCACTGAGGTCTGTATCAATTTGGGGAATTGTTCTTGAATTTAAATCCAGAACTTAAAATCCAGTTGCTACAGTGCCCTTTTAATGGATCTCTATCATGTCGTCTTCTTTATTTCCATTTTTTAGGTTAACCTAACACTAACCGAACATAACCTAACCTAACCTACTCTATCCTATCTTAACCTACCCTAACCTAACACAACCTAACACAAACCTAACTTAACCAAACCTAAACAAACAGAACCTAAGCTAACCTAACCCTAATCTAACCTAACACAAACCTAACCAAAATAAACAGAACCTAACCTTACCTAACCTAACTAGGGCCCAACCGATATGGATTTTTTGGGGCTGATGCCGATACCAATTATTAGGGGGGGCAGATTCCAATTAATCGGCCGATTTTTTTAAGTTTTTAGGAAGTTATAAAAAATATATATCTACTGTAGATATCTACAGAGTACTGTATACTGTAGATATACTGTAGGCTACTGCTTTTCACGCCGACAGGAAGACCGATGTATCAAACTCAGACCAGAAAAGTGTTTTCATCTGCGTCATTTATCCCCCCTCCCCCGCCGCCGATCTGTGCCTCCGCTGCTTAACTCATGTTACACATTTCCAGTCTGGTCTCACCTGGAGACATGCAGCTGCCTCAGTAAGAGAAGTAGCTCGATCACGTAATGTGTACTGTTGTTTATTCTACTGTTACTGGCACGGCTAACAGTGTAGCAAGGCTAGTAGCAGATGGCTAACTCTAACTTTAGCTTGCGTATTACATTGTGCTTCACCGTTAACTCGGTGCGACTGAGACCAGCACAGCAGGGAACATCGTGAAGTGGGTTGAGCTGAAACTTGTTGACTTATTGCGTATTTCACAATCTAGTTTATTTACCGTTAAGGCGGACCACTCTCCTCCGTGCGTCCATGAGCTGCCTGCTTCAGATCCGTCCGTCTGCTGTGCTGTGAGGCAGTTAGTGGATGAAGATTGTCATGAGGTCGCTGCGCCATCTACAGGATAAGTCGGGGAACTTTTCAAATGGCGGAACATTTTCGAAGTGAAACCAAATCTTAATCGCCGCATTTTATTTCGGAAAATATCTGTGAAAATCGGCGAGTTTTGGCCGATTACCGATTAGTCTCAAATGGGCTACAATTGGCCAATTTAATCGTCTCGCCGATAAATCGGTCGGGCCCTATACCTAACCCAACCTAACACAAACCTAACTTAATCAAACAGAACCTAATCTACCTTACCTAACCAGACCTAACACAAACCTAACCCTAATCTAACCTAACAGAACCTAACCTGACCTAAACGAACCTTACCTTACCTAACAAAGCCTAGCCTAACCTAACCTAACTGCCTGTGAATGATTCATTTCACCCCTCTTCATTTTAATCTAGATTTGAATCTTGTTTCTGTGAATTTTGGAGAGAAGTAAAATCACTTCATAATCATTACAATAATATGAAGCAGGCAGGCTTTCTGCAAGTTCATGGAAATTACTTATCTACCCGTAAAAGCATGAAACACATTGCCTAGTTTCAGAAAGGAAAGCAGAACAGCTGCCCTGGTAACCACAGATTATCATCCAATTGCCTAAACAGTAAATTTGTTTTGGTGTTGAAAACTTTTCCACAAGTCAAACCGTCAAATCAGAGCAGTGCAAAGAATGTCAAGAAATTCTGCAGTTTTTCAGAGTTTTTGTCTTTCAAGGAAGGTCAAATTTAGTATGATTGTAAATGTTTTTTTTTTTAAACAAACCCAGATTTGTTCCTCAAATAATGCAAAAAAATTGCCCCATCAAATTGGCTTTTTCCTTCTCTCTCCATCTCTTGCTTAAGTTTTCCCCTTCTCTCCTCTAATTTGTTTTTTGTGTGTCTGTCTTAGGTGATGGCGTGGTCATGTGTACAGCCGGGGCTGTGTGTGTGGAGATGGTTTTAACAGACGCTGTTTTGGAGGACTCAGGAACACTGCACTGGCCTGGAGAAGCCTCATAAACAAGCATACATCACGCACACACACCCACACACACCTGTACAGGAGAGCATTCACACACAAACACGCCACCGCCGTGCCTTGACAAAGGACACAGGCGCACAGACTTACAACACAAGCTTCCCCCCCCCCCCCCTCCTGTGTGAGAGTCTACTTTTTTTCTCCCCTCCATCTGTTCCATCACCACCGCCACCATGCCGAGTGGAATCCGGCGGCAGATGAAGAACATGGTGAACAACTACTCTGACGCAGAGAAGAAAGTCAGAGAGGCCACCTCGAATGACCCCTGGGGCCCGTCGTCCTCGCTTATGTCCGAGATCGCGGACCTCACCTACAACGTGGTGGCCTTCAGCGAGATCATGAGCATGATCTGGAAGCGGCTCAACGACCACGGCAAGAACTGGCGCCACGTCTACAAGGCGCTCACCCTGCTCGACTACCTGATCAAGACGGGCTCCGAACGGGTGGCGCTGCAATGCAAAGAGAACATCTTCGCCATCCAGACCCTGAAGGACTTCCAGTACATCGACAGAGATGGCAAAGACCAAGGCATCAACGTCAGGGAGAAGAGCAAGCAGCTAGTAGTTCTACTCAAAGACGAGGACCGCCTGAAGGGAGAGAGGTAATCGCTCCAGAAATCAAAACTCTCTTCACTAAACCATAACAGACCCTGGCACTGCCGCCTCCTTTAGAAAGTGCTGATTGTGTCAGTTACTCACTTTTATTATCACAAACTCAAGAGAAGCCCTGAAGACGACCCCTACATGGTGACGTCTTTCCAATGAAGTCAAGTTTCTGGTTACGAAACACCCAAATAATCAAATTAAGTACTGATGTTAAGCTGAACCCCCAGCACCTGACACAGTCACTCACTCCCACTGATTTCAGATCAGTCTTTGTGCAGACAGATACTCAAGAAGTATCATAAGAGCTCTGTATCTGTCTCTCTGTTTTTGCTGTGTGAGTGGATCTGTACAACTTTACATGTGCACAGTTGCAAAACGGTGAAAGAGTTGTCCGTCAGAGTCAGAGTCGTACAGCTCAACGAATCTCTGTGGCTTCGCTTGAAGATGTTGCTAAATTACAGAATTCGTCCTCAGAACGTTGTGGATGATTTTTAGCATCAGGATCACTCAGCAGCTTGGTTTTCAAGGATGTTATGCAAACAAAGACCTTATTCCTACAATTTATTTCAGACCTACAAATCCCTCTTTTACAACCAGCGCTTATTCTGCCACTAATGCTACTCTGTTCGTTTTTATCTTCACAGGTCTCAGGCTCTAAAGACCAAAGAGCGCATGGCCCAGGTGTCCACAGGGAGCGGTCAGATGGGTTTTGGCCGAGGCTCGTCCCAGCCCAACCTCTCCACTTCATACAGCGAAGAGTACGGCAGGTCGGAGGGCTCACCTGCTTCTTACCACGGCTGTGAGTATGAGCAGAGAGTTACCGCACAGACAGTACCCACACACACGGGGGACACACACAGGTCTCATTCTGCATATTTGAACAACAGAGAAAACTCCCATTAAACCACATTCTGCTCCAGTTGGTGTAACTTTGGCCTACATCCTGAAACTCACCCCTCCCCCTGTTCTGTCTCTGTCTCTGTCTCTGGCCCACAGTCCCGCAGTTGGGCTACATTCCTCTGTGCTCATACACACTCACACCAATACACAGGGAGAGGAGGAAGCAGAGCCCCCCCCCCCCAAGCTTCTATCATCCACATGACAGAGGAATCTGCTCCTCTTTAGACTGATACACTCACTCCTCCAGAGACTATCAGGAGCACGCAGTGACAGACGATGCAACAAGACAGAGGCAGATAGATGATGATAGCAATGACAAATATGATAGCAAGAAGGGAATGAACATCAGACCCCCTTAGACTGAAAGGCTGGAGAAAATCTGGTCTTTTTTTCTGAAGATGAACATGGATAAATTCATGCATCTTTTGTTACGGTAAAACCTGCGTGAAGGTAGTTTCTATAGGTGCACATATACTTCTGCCTTGTCAGCAGAGGATAAAACCAAAAATAATTCTAGTCAGAGCTCAAAGCAGTGTTGAGAACCAATGAAACACACCTCTTAAAATTTTTTGTTATCTCTGATGCCATATCGTCCAGCCCTCTCTGCATCAAATCAGTGTCATGATATATTGAGCAGTTCACCTCGATAACGATAAATAGACAATAACTACTTCACAAGCTGCTCAACTCCTCCCACATTAAATTCGTTTACTTCAGCCGCCGCTTCAGCCGCTACAACTTTTGAACCGTCCTCCATCTCATCACCTGTCTCTCCTCCTTTGTTACGGACTGGATGGGGTGGAGTCACGTCTCTGACTTAGGACAGCATCTTAAAGGGACATGAGACTGTAACCTACCTACACACATCCAAAACCAACTTTTATTTCTTTGTTTTTTGTCACTGAATATACTGACAAAATGACGTCTGTTATTGTTGTAAATTTTCGGTAAATTTCAGTTTATCGCCCAGCTCTAGATGTGGCCCACAGATAGAGATAAACTACTGTAAGCCAAGACTTTACGCTTCCTTTTTTTTTTTTTTTTTTTTTTACTAATTTGCAACTTGAGAATTATTTATGTAATCAGAGAAAAAAAAAAATTTACCCCCCTTGTTTCTTCATTTTTTTGCCTGGAGAAGTGGTGGTATATCTGTCTGCTGAGTTTGGGTTTCACTGTAGACGATAAGTTACCAAGAGGCTTCCTTTTGACTTTCCTCAACGAGCCTTAAAACCTTCAATGAATCTCCCCCCCCATTAAAGATTTTTTTCTCCGAGTTGAAGCTACTGCAAGGAACTTCTGGTTTGTGTTGATTTTGGCGCCCCCTGTGGACAAAAGGGTCCCTCTCATCTCGTATTCTGTATGAGTGAAAGTAGTGTTTCTAGACACATGTCTTTTTGTCTTAAAACAGAGATTATTTAATTGAATTTTTAGATCTGTAGTGGTTTCATTCAGGCACCCGACTACAGCGGAAACATTTAAGGATCCACTGTCCTTTAACCTACTTTAATGGAGGTGCACAATGTATGAGAGTGTAATACTTTACTGTAACACTAACATACCTGAGGATGCGTCACCATCCTTTTTAAAAGTGGAGCAGTATTATAATTCGATCATTAAAAAGGTGGAGTAAGATGGTGAGTAAAAGCTGAAGGAAGCTAAAGTCTTGGTCAGGAAAGGAGGTGAAGCAGAAGAATAGAGAAGCTGAAATGAAAGAATGAACCTTGGCCTCTTTTCTTTTTTATCCCCCCGACCTCCCCTCGGTCTTTTGTACACTGCTGGGTGGCTCTGTGAATGCGTGAGTGTGATCTCACACGGAGCGTGAAACATTGTCTCATCTTTGACTCGGCGCCTCTAAATTCGGACAAATGCGTTATGTCAAAGTTTCTGTATGTGAGGAGGAAGCTGCTGCAGCTGCTGAATCATCAGTTGAGAAAACAGAAGAAGTAACCGGCCTACAGCTCTGAGACTGGGCTGTCACTGTGGGTGTTGCCAAGCTGGATTTTTGGGATTCCAACCTAATTTATTGTCCAAACGGGTGTGATTGAATGACCATGGAACTTTTTTCTGTGAGTGTTAACCTACTATAATCCACCCAGCACTCAAGAACCTGGAAAGATCTGAAACATGCTTGAGGCTTTTAATGAAAATATAATACAGCCCCAACCCTACAGGAGTTAAGGCACAGTGTAAAACGGTAAAAGATGGTTATATATGCTCACTTTACATTTAATGACAGCATGGGACAACATTTGAACCAGTGTCTGCATGTCTGGATTGTAGCTGCTAAACAATTAAGGGTCTCCTTTGATAAATATTTTAAATAATGCACCAAATGTTTTCATTGGGCAATAAGTTGGGACTGCATGAAGGCTGCAGACTCTATAGAGAGGGAAAAGTGGCATCCATGAAATCATGACCACAGGAGTGTTTTCAGGTCTTCTTAAACAGAGAGAAGTTGCTGAGATTACCTGTTTGCATGGTAATCAATTTTAGCTCATGCAGGGGTTTCCACTACAGAGTCATGTCTTCTTGTAAGGCAGTGCAACCTGAGGGCTGCAAAGATCACTGCCATCCAGGGCTAGTTTTGGCTTGTTTCCCTTTTGTGGAAAGATTTGCACAGATTCATTACAGTTTGTACTCTGGGAGACATCAGTCTGAAAATGTTGAATATTTACTTACGCTGTGTCTCAAAAAGTGATGGAATTCCCATCATTAATTCTGAGTGACGTAGCCCCTCTGAAATCCTGTTTTCACCTTTTTACCCCCAGTTTCTAACTTCTTGCAAATTGGCTACATTTGTCAGGATTTTGTTACATCGTTAAAATATTTTGCAGACATCCTATTTAAGATAAGCACATTTTTGATTCAGTTAAACTTAAAACTTTTAATGTTGTTTTTGTACCATTCTCAACACAATCTGGGGTTCACAAACCACCAGAATCTGTTATTACCAACCCTTTACACCAGTGGTTCTCAGGTCCAGTCCTCCAACACACCTGATTCAAATGATCAGCTCGTTATTAAGCCATTACAGAGTTTGATAACGAGCTGATCATTTGAATCAGGTGTGTTGGAGCAGGGAAACATCCAAAACATGAAGGACAGAGGGGCTCGAGGACTGGATTGAGAACCACTGGTTTACACAGTGTCCTGACTTTTTTTTTTTTTTTTTTTTGACAAAAGCAGAGAAGATAACCAAACAGAGAGTGTCAATTTCTATTTAAGAGATACAAGACATTACAACTAAAATTGAATTTGTTGTGAATTCCTTAGGGTGTCACAAAAGCTACTGTGATTGTTACAAAATAAGGTGTAGATACAGATGTGTATTTTTTTATGAACAAGTGTTCAATCACACAATACAGTTTACAGTGAGGTTTTTACATGATTCTCAATCGTTTAGCATCAGTATGTCTTACCATAAATGTTTGTTTTTCTGTGAAGTGACAGTTCAGTCCTAGCTGTTTGTTTTCTAGTTATGAGGATGGCTTTGAATCATTTTTCCGTTTTTGTATTTGATTGACATTTCCAGCCAAATAGTCACACGTAGAAATGAAATGAAATGAAACTTTCTATCCACCCCACATACACACACACACACCTCTGTGTCTATAAATATACGATGACTTTCATGCGGGTGGGCGTGTGTGAGAAACCATAGGGTGTACCTGTTAGCTTTAGTTTCCCAGAGGTCGATCAGCCGGCTGATACTTTTTGTTTCAAGTTTAATGTTGTTGTTCTTTCAGCCCAGGTTGTAATAAAAGGTCGATGCATCAGAGTGTAGTGACCAGATTTCACCAGTGGAACCCTGAATAGAGAAATCATCTTGAAACCAAAACCTTTTTATCGTCAGGAGAGTTCGTCAAGAATCCATTTTTGTTGCTGTCATGTTGTAACAGCTGCTCTATTCTTCATAAAAAATAAAAAAAATCAGGGACAGAGTGTCTGCAAATGAAGGAAAGTCAGCTGGTCACACCCTGGAAGAAAACTTGATGCCCCTCTATCTGCTGCTCAAACCAGCTATAGATGACACAAACGGTTCACTGAATCTCACTTATTCCAGAGTTAATCTCTCTGAAAAGTTTTGACCCAATTTGAAAGGTTTTTAAGTGCAGTTTGTTAAATTACTGAGTAAATTTGCCGGAAGTAAATACGGGATGAAAAGGACTCCAAAGCTAATGGGGAATTTTATGGCAAGAACTAAAAGGAATGATCAAGAAAATGACTTTTTCTAGAGGCATTTTTTCCGCCTGCTGACAAAGCTTCCCGCAGAGGGATGCCAAATAAATGCGATAAACCATATTTGGTATATTCCCACGGTGGCGGAGAAGAGAGTGGTGTTTATCACTCGCTTTGAGTTTTGTTTGTTTGTCTTACGGATTCGCTGTTTTCACGGTTTTTACTGCATGTCATTGGGTTGCCAGTTTGTTCTCTCTGGAGGTTTGCTGGTTCAAAACTGCTTATTTTTGTAGCAAACTCGGCACAGCTCAGGAAAATAAAACCTTATAGAGATATATAATGCATTGAAGAAGCAAATGGAAGATTTTTTTTTTTAATCATTGCAGGAATAAACACCTGTTGTCCTTGTCTTATGAATGTGCAGAGCTTTCAATAAAGTCCAAGTTTTCTGTAAATCTATGGGGGTTTGCTTTGCCCCTGCTCTGTCTATTTACAGCAGACGTTCAGATAATATTTAGGCCACCAGCTGACTAAACTCACCTTTACCCTGGGCACTTGTGGTCACTTTCCTGTGGGACTGAATTAGCAAACATGGGTTTGGCAAAGGAGCACGTTAAAGCGAGACTGTAGTTTAGAAGAAAAGGAGGCATTGAAGAGGTGAATACACATGCTTCCACCGCATGTTTTAAGATGTTCCGCAGATATTTGGCTGTGATGAGGTTTCCACAGATCTGAAGTTTGTTAGTGTTTGAAAATTCAGGGCCATGAAAGACCTGAAAATGCTTTAATTTTATTTGTAAGAGACTTGAAATTGATGATGAGACATGTCTGTGGGATGACTACAGGGTTGACGATATGGCGTCAAATCAATATCACGATATATTGAGCAGTTCACCTCGATAATGATAAATGAATGATAACTACTCCACAAGCTGCTCACCTCTTCCCACATTAACTTTGTCTACTTCATCTACCGCTACAACTTTTAAACCGTCCTCCATCTCCACACCTGTCTTTCCTTCTTTGTAACGGACTGGATGGGGTGGACTCATGTCTCCGACGTAGGACAGCGTCTTAAAGGGACATGAGAACATAGCCTACCTACACACATCCAAAACCAACTTTTATTTATTTATTTATTTATTTATTTGACATTGAATATACCGACATGGGCAAAATGACATCAGTTGTTGTCGTAAATTTTGATACCTGTAAATTTTCAGTTTATCGCCCAGCCCTAGAATGACTGGATCCTTGATTGGGGCTCCACAGTCTGGACACCATATATGAATTATCAAAGGGTTTTTTATTTCTAATTTAGCCTTTTCCCCCAGAGTTTAAGTGTACCCGTTTAGGAAATCAAAGCAGACAAGTTGGAAAAACTGAAAAAAAATATATATAATAATAATATACATCAAAACGATAAAACACAATATTACGTTTGTTTTCAGTGTGTTCATATCTCTTTTTATCCATTTACCCCTCCCCTCTTCTGAAAAATTCTTTCGGAATTTTTATCCACTTGAGTGTGGCGTTGCTTCATTGACAAATAAGGTATTATGCACATATTAAGAAGAGTGAGGGAGAAAAGAAACAGCACATGCAAGTTCAAGGACATTTGGCTTCATGGTGGTGAATACAGGATGTCTGGTGAGACATCTACAGCAGCTCTAAACCTAGGAGAAAACTTAATCCACTTGTGTTTGTCCTGCAGTTCTGAGGTTTTCTTAAAAAGTCCCAAATAGTCTTAAACTGATTTATTAAAACCTCCTGTTTGGAGTTTTTCTAACAAATGAAATACACTCGAGGTCATGTTGGTTCCTTTACAAAAAAACAAAGAAGACCATTAGTGACAAACTAATGATTTTGACTCTGTAGTTTAAGTTGTTTTAAATTGTGTCAAAGTTTACTTAAAGGATTATTTTTGCGATCTTCTTTTTCAAAATGTGCTCCATTGTGTTTATTCAAAACCTGTTTATCTGCCATCTGTGTCCTATTTGTCTAAGTTTTGTTGCTTCTGTCTCCACACACAAGTTTTTCAAATATCTTGGTCTCTTTCATTTGCATTCAGTAAAATAGGAAGAAGGGACAGTTAAACAAGATCAACATGATGTGGTGGGTGTTGCGTGAGTGATTTTGGGAGTGTCCATAACAGCAGCAGAGCGTGTCACAACGGGTAACTGTTATTGTCTGGAGCAAAGGCGTTGAGTCATACAACAGCAAACACACATATAGATAATTCCCATATGCACAAAATTGCACAAAAGTGAAAAATAAGATTTGATAAAGCAGAAAAAGTGACATTATCACAGTTGTGGCGATGTCACCAACAGGTTGCCATGGTTTCCACAGGTACTGCAAAGATGCTGTTTCTGTAGTTTAACACACACAGCTACACAAGAGATTGGAGTAGAAAAGTTTCCCCTTTTTGTGATCAGATAGCATGTGTGTGTGTGTGTGCATTTGCCTGTGTGTATGTGTGTTTCCACCTGTTATATATATGAGGCTCTCTTGCAGCCTCATGGCTCAATCTAATCCAATAAGCAGAATCACCCTCTCATCCTTAAAGGGCTCACCGAGGGCCCCAAGTCACACTCAAACACTTTATGTCACTCACAACAGAAATTTCACAACACAAAAATGTGACATTTGTTTGGTTGCTGAGGATTAAATGGAGAGTTTGCACTGTACAGATGTTACTATATACAGGAGTTGAGTTTGGCAGTGATGCTAACATCTGCTCTAAATGTGTCTTCCAGCCACATCTCCCAACGCGGGCTCAGAACTGGAGCAGGCCAGACCTCAGACCAGCGGTGAGGAGGAGCTGCAGCTTCAGCTGGCTCTTGCTATGAGCAGAGAGGCGGCAGAGCAGGTAGACACACACACACACCTGACAGAAGCTTTAAAATTCAGATGTGTTGTTTTACCTCAGTATCTGGACGGAATCAGAATATTTTCATCTCCTGGTTCATGAGGTCTTGTTAAAGGGATATTCCGGCGTAAAATTAATTTAGGGTCAAACACACCGCAACACAGAGTTAGACACCACCTAGACAGATGAATGTTGCAGACCACTTGCTTCCCTAGTTATACCAACTTTAGTAACGACCGCAGGATAGTGATACACAGCGGTCTGAGGAGCCATAAACAAACAAATCAACCAAAACGCCACTCTATAGCCACAAATAATGCTCAGAACAGCACCTAACTTCATCAACAGTACATATACGGTCCCAGCCATAGTACTAGCCATCAAACATCTTTTTAGCTTTGTCTGATTTATTTAGCAAAGAGACTATACACAATTCACCTACTCTCTTCCAGCAGCCGCTTGTTTGTAGCGAGACCTCGGGCCAGTCCATTACGGACTGCTGCGGGGTGACGCAGCTAAAGGAAGAACATTTATGATCATTTCTTCATAGAAAAACAATCATGGAAATGATAAAATAATGATGATAAATGTTCTTCCTTGAGCTGTGTCACCCCGCAGCAGTCAGTAATGGACTGGCCCGAGGTCTCGCTACAAACAAGCGGCTGCTGGAAGAGAGTAGGTGAGATCGCTATCCTGTGGTCGTTACTTAAGTTGGTATAACTAGAGAAGCAACAGGTCAGCAACATTCATCTCTCGAGGGGGTGTCTAACTCGATGTTACAGTGTGTTTGACCCTAAATTAATTTTACGCCAGAATATCCCTTTAAGATGCACAGAAAGCTTTTATTTTGGTAGGGAACGTTAACCAGTGTTGCCCTGTCATGTCTGCACATGTCATATAAATCAGAGTTCACCACTATGGCTACATCTGTAACCTTCAAAATCAAGTTGGACTCAAACTCAACTGTCTCTAAACTGAACTTGGATAACTATGATGCCAAATATAGAGGAAAACAAGCATTCTTGAGCAGCTTTGTCTCACTCCTCTCCTGGTGTGTGTGTGTTTAGGAGGAGCGCATCCGCAGAGGGGACGACCTGAGACTACAGATGGCCCTGGAGGAGAGCAAGAAAGGTGGATCAGACTCTGCGAAACTCCCCAAGAAGAAGAAAGAGGTATAAGAGACAAAGAGGCTGCAGTGACTCAGTTATTCCATTAATATGACCAAGCTCCAGAAATAGTCTCATGTCTCCTTCATCTTCGTCTGTGTCTGCTGCTTCAGGAGCAGAAATAAAACCTCTCACTGGCAGCAGGCTGCCGGGTTAGCTCATCATTATTCTGCCCGGATAACTGGCTGACTGCAGTCTGAGGGCATGCAGAGCTAAAGTGATTTGGGTTGCAGCTGCATGACTCTGCCTCCCCTTATTTTTTTACTCTAATGACATGACTGCTGTCAGAACGTCTGGATCATTTCTGGGAGTTTGAAGAATAATGGCTGTCGAGCCGATGACCCTTCTTGAGGATTTTCTCTGTCTGTCTTTATTCGTCTCAGTCTGATTCTCCCTCTTTGTCCACCTTCTTAATTTTCTAAGTCTCGGCCCGTCTAACCCACTTCCTCTGTCTCGTAGCCACAGTCATCTTTGATGGATCTGATGGACGTCCCGGAGCCTGGAGCCAGCGCTGATCCGTGGGGTGCAGGAGCAGCAGCAGCTGCTGCATCAGAGGACCCTTGGCAGCCTTATGGTAAACACAAGCACTAGAAATGGAAAGACAGGGAAAGCTGCATCAAAATATCAATGTGTGGATGTGTAACGGACATTAGACAATCATGAAAAATACCCAACGTTTGAAAAGAAGCATCTAAAATCACATCTTCAAACTGATACTCGAACATCCTACATGCTGTGCTGTCATGTACAGAGAGTGTTTCAGTCGCAGCACTCTGCAGTGTGTTGAATAAAAACAAGGAGATAACGTCTCTTCAGCTGCTCATGACCTTTAAAGAGTTCTCTTTCCTTCTCCTTTTACCAATGTCATATCAAAGTTTGAAATCTGTTTTGGTGACAGCTCTAATCCACACATGTGGACTGTCCTTGTGAGAGAGTATCTGTGTAAAGAGACTGTTTTTTTCTCTGCCTGTGCGTGTGTGTGTGTGAGTCGTCTCTGCCTTCCACCTGCAGCTCACAGGACTGTGACTCTTTGTTAAATAGGAATGCTGCTCCACTAGCCCAGCAGCATTACTACACCCAAACAGGGGGAGGGAGGGGGAGGATGTTCGAAGGAGATTGGGTTAAGAAAAGTAGAGCGCAGAGAGAAAACAGGAGTCAATTCGTGAAATGCTCAAGGGTAAAACAGCGAGTTTCAGATTAGGTCACGATAAATGCATGCTTGCTATTTTACCTCAGTCCAGCTCTTACCCACTCCCTCCTCCTCTCTTCTTCCAGTTTCTTTCACACGCTCAGCCCAACCCTCCGCCCCACCCAGTAAACTTCTCCCTTGCTTCCCCCCTCCCAGGGTCTGCCCCTAGGCCAGCTGCCCCAGTGGACCCATGGGGCGCTCCCCCCTCTGTCCCACCCATGAAGAGCAATGATCCCTGGGCATCAAACTCCACTCCTGCTTCTGACCCCTGGAGCTCCGCTGCCGCTCGCCCTAAGGCTCCCAACGCAGGTGATCACAGTTGTTACCAAACAAGGTCCACGTTTCTCTGGGGATGATACAAAGCGGTAGCATGATAGAAGACACAACCCAAAAGTCATACCAGTGTGTCTTCATCATACAGGTCAGCCAGTGCGCTCCTGTTTGTCAGTGATAATTGACTTCAAACACTCAGAGAGGCCCACATTATCTGCCACATAATGAGCCTCAAACAGAGGAAAAGAACTGGGGTGTCAAAAACTGATAGAAGGATTTGCTGTTCGCATGCTTTCATGTGCTTTTTGTATCCATTCCCCTTTTTTTTATTTCACCAAAGTATCCACATTCATTCACGCTTTAGTGTCTGTTTCCATCCGTCTAAGTGGATTTATTTGATTTTTTATTTTGTGTGTCTGTGTGTATGCATTGTCCCCTTTCAGGTAGCTTTGACCTGTTCAGTGCATCCAACGGTACGTCCAAAGAGGACTTCTCTGAGTTTGACAGCCTGCGCTCCTCCTCCTCTGTCCCTACTGGTACTCACCCTTGTCTTCGTCCCTTTCTAATAATGACACGGAGTCTGTGTTTGTTTGTTTGTTTGTTTGTTTTATTTTCCCTCAAGTGTCTTAACATGACGCCCGTCTGCAGGTGCAGTGTCTCCGCAGGGGCCGCAGACACGTGACGCATTGTCTCGTCTTTTTTATGTAGATGTCACCAGACCTGAGCAAAGACAGCGATCGATCAGCTGCAGCATGCTGATACAATCATCACATGCTGCAGAAACCACATAAACGAAACAACAGAATCTGTTTTTTGCTCCTGTCAGGTCTCATATCAGTGTGGTGTACTTCAATGCTGCTTTTACGTGTTCAAACATTATTGGACCTGTACCATCCTGTCTGTTGAGCCACTTTCACAGGTCGAATCAAAGCCTGATGATTCAGATTGTTGTGTTAAAGGGTCCAAGCGAACAGTTTGGCACAGGTCTAAAGTTTTTCATGTGGTTTGGTCGTCTCTTGGTGTGGAAGGGTAACACTGTTGTTTGACTTTCTGCTCCATCTTAACACAATATTTCTGATACAGTCAAGGACAAGACGACAAGGCGTGCAAACACAGGTGTAAAGAGTTACTTTTCCCAGGAAGGAAAAGCGTTGTTTTGATACTCAGTGGCACTGCATGGCCTTGGAGTTGGTGAAGGACAAGAACAACAGTTTTGTGAGGAAGCAGAACTTTGGCAGATTTTAGAAATACTTACTGGAATCAGGTCTAGTTAAAACCCAGAGGACCTGTTTGTGTCACTGACTGTTTAGAAAGATGGATGTTGCATCTGTATGTCCTTTGATTGTACAGAAGTGAAGCCAAAATGACCATGAAACCTAACACACTCTTGACATCTGTTTTAGGAACAAGGCTCATAAGCCGCGTAATCGACTGTTGACAACACAAAGTATCAGGGCCAAGAATGAGGACAAAAATTATTATGTACCTCAACAAAAAAAGTTACAAAAACAGCAACAAGTTAAAATTTCAGAAAAAGCAAATTCAGATTTATGGGTAAAAAATATCAAAAGTTATCAACAAAGAATGGCCTGATGGAAAGAGACTACTGTCCTCATGCGGCCGAAGCTGGTTCAATTCCTAAATTCCACCCTCAGATTATCATAAATTTCCAACTTTGATTTAGAAAAAAAAGTCTAAATTTGTTTTTTAAAAAGTGTAAAAGGTCGCTAATAATGATGTCAATCTGTCGCTAGGTTGAACTTTTTTTCGCTCACTTGTACACACTCACTTGTCTTTGCTTTAAGGTCCTTACAAAGCAGGACCGTTTTTTTTTATTTGTGCGATTATTTTGGACGTCAGTATTTTTTTCGAACACGTATCCTGTCAACACAAGCGTTCACATCAGCGACGTTTTCCCGTCTTGCGATATTGCGGCATTTATTTTTTTTTATCATTGTCGATTTTTCTAAAGTTTCGCATACTGTGTGTCCACTTCCAATCAGATTTCGTGTTGTTGCGACCTCAGATTCACCGGTATATCCAACATGGCCGACCGGCTGATTGTTTACGTGTCGGAGAACAGAGTGCTTTTTGATAAAAAAACACAAATATTACAATGATAACGACCTGAAGGACAATTTGTGACGAGTCATAGCGTTGGATTTCTCATATGACGATGGTTTGTGTGCTTTATCAGTTTACTAAACGTCTTTGTTTTAACTTTCATCTGTGTATTGTCACTGTCTCAAACTCAATTGCGTTGCTGTCACAGCACCGTTAGGTCTCGGTTGTTACCGTAGTTTTGTGGATTATAGTTCAATGTGCTTATCTGGTACTGGCCCCGACTCAGTACATGCTATCATGACAGACAGCCATCTCAACACTAGTGTCTAATCAGAACTGAAAAACAGTCAGTCTGCTGTTGTGTCAGTCTTCTCGCTTCCTCGCGCTTGATGTGTGTAGTCAACAATAACAAGAATCGAAATAGCCCAAGATGCTAGCTTTATTGGCTAAAACTGATTGTTCCTGAATACAGTGAACATGAGTTGCCTGTATGTAGTCGACTTTACAGGCTTTGCCATTAAAAACATGTCCAATTAAATTTTTTTTTTTCTTATAAAGAAGAGCTCATTTTTTGTTAGAATCGAAACTTTTGGCTTCAGTTTTGCCGGCTGTCATGTCATCCATCTTTCCATACAGTCTATGCTTAAATCTTGTCAGTTTAAGCCTCTGCTGTGTTTTATACTCACCGTTCTTGTCTTTGGCATTTTCGTGTGATTGTATGTGGCAGCTGGCCTGACAGCTTTGTGAGTGTCCCTGTGCGAGTGCATTAATGAATGTCTCCACTGCTGTCTAAAAAACCAGCCAGACTGTCTGCCTCGTACGCGCTCTCATAAAAGCATCCTCTGACCATTTTATTGCATCAATTCATTTTTATTTCCCGGTAAACGTGGGTGCTCCTGGAGTTGTGGGTGCTGCGTTTTGGTGCACTGATGCAGAGAGGAAATTTCCATATTTTTAATCGACATGTCAAGTCAGATTTCCTGCATAAGCGGTTCTGTTCGCAGCTCTAATTCATAAAAAAAAAGTTAAGATGTCTGACAGTCAAAGGCAAAATTAGGAGTATTGTCTTTCTCTATGCATGATATCTCCAGTTTTTGATTAGTCTGTTCCCCTTAAAGAGAAGTCTGGTCACAGCCGTTTATCAGTGAAATACAACCGCTCTCTGATCCCCAGGGGATGGACCCATAGCCTCCTCGGTCCCCTCCCAGGCCAGTCTCGCCAGCAGCGGCAGCCTGGACCTCTTCGACCCCCTGCCCACATCCATGTCCACCACCACAAACCCGACCAGGAAGACTCCAGAGTCTTTCCTGGGTCCCAACGCTGCCCTGGTCAACCTGGACTCTCTGGTAACCAAACCGGCCCAGCCTGCGCCCGTCGTCAATCCATTCTTGGCCTCAACAGGTGAGAGAGAGGATCTGAGAAAGGCGAAAAGTTTCCCGGTGAAACTTCTACCATACTTTTGTCAAATCCATCCTCACATGGTGCTTCTGTACTGAGTCAAGGACAGCAGTCTGACTATTTTGCCCAGTTGAGTTATAATCATAGACAGGCTTTACTGTGTGTGTGAACATACTGAGTGACCCTCTCCTTCCTTTACCCAGGAGGCGCTGCTCCAGCCCCAGCCCACGCCAACCCATTCCAAGTGACCCAGCCAGCACCCCCCACCCTCAACCAGATGCGGGTCAGCCCCATGCCCGCCAGTTTCGGCGGCATAGCCGAGCCCATGGCCCTCACCTCCATGCCCGCTCAGCCCATCACCATGGTCCCCCTGGCAGGCATGGCCCCCATGGGCCGCGTGATGCCCGGGATGGGCGTCGGTGCCGTCGGAGCAAACGCCGGAATAAGCGCCAGCATCCCAGCCTCCATGTCCATGCCCCAGCCCCTGATGAGCATGCCGCCCCAGGCTGGTGCGCAGCCCACCGGAACCACCAACCCTTTCCTTTTGTGAGGGGGGTAGACAGAGTGACCCCCTCTTTTTTTTTCCCCCCTAACTCTCTTTCTCTCTCTTCCACTTTAGCTACAGAATAAACAAGGAGATGTCTTATCCCATTTATCCTGTTATAACCGACTCCTCACCAGGTCATAGTCACAGCCCGGCCTCCTCCTACCTTAACACACGTCCTCACTCCTCCCTCCCTCTGTCTCTCCCTTTCAACGCTACAAGCTGCCTAGTCCTGTGTGTTCCTAATCACCTGACCATGATGACCACAAACACTTCTGACAAAGACACCGTGGTGTTTACAGTTCTCCCCCCGTCACAGTGGCGAGAAAGGGGCACACTCTCTCCTCCCGTTTCCTCCTCTCCCTCACATCTCATTTAGGATTTTTTTTTTCCCCTCCTGCAGTGGAGGGACAGGAGATTTTGACTGTACTAACGCCAGGATCTTTATCTCCTCACTAGAGCTAATCTTTTATAAGCCCTGTCAGCTGATGTGTGTGTGTGTGTGTGTATGTGTGTGTAAGTGTGTTTGAGCAGGCGAGCGCACATCTACAGTACTTTTACACTGTGTTATATTCCAGTGGGTTTCACTTCCACACACTGGAGTAAGAATGAGATATGGGCAGATGTGTTTTTACTCTTTATGTGTGTGACTGTGTGTGTGTGTGTGCGTGTGTGTCACTAAGCAGGGATTTTGCACAGTTTTTTCCTCCTTCTTTCGTTTTCTTTCCCTCTGCGACTGTTGGGCTCACCGTTACACCTTAGCTAAAGGGAGGGAGAGGACACACCCACGCCGCCTCTGCTCTCGGTACCACTCAGTCACAGCTCTCGCCTGGACCTGCTCCCCCCCCACCATCCCCCAATCACCTAGCAGGAGACAAGTAATGGACAACAGATATTTAACAGAGGAGGTGGACCCCTCGACGCAAACACGACTTCTTCAACGCTCAGATACTAACAGACGCCGTGTTGATGTGTTTGTCTGCAAGCCCCCACCACCACCACCACCACCACCAGTGCGTGTTCAGAAAAAAAAGACATGAACTGTAATGGCAGCAGTATTTTTTGCCAGCTGAACACAAGGATGCAGAAAGGCATCATGGGACAGCTTTTTTTGTCTAGTTTGTTTCTAGGGTCAAAGGGAAAGAGGGTGGGTTGTGTGTGTGTGTGTGTGTGAGTACGAGCGTGTGTGTTCACTTGAGAGAGATGTTTAGCTTCTGAGTGTACTTTAACAAGAAGAAGGTGTTTCCATTTCTCACTCAGTAAAGAAGTTAGATGTAGACATCTGCAGCCTTAACGGTGTATGTGCGCGTATGTGTGTGTATGTGTGTGTCAGAGCATTTATCACAGTGTTGCGATGGCGACAGGGCCTGGGAAAGAAGAGCATGTCAGCCACTCTGCGCCATGAAGAGAGTTTACCTCTGAGTGGATTTACGGGGCTAATCTATCTGCCAGAACACTACCTGGCAGACACACACTCACACACACTTAAAACACACACACATACACTCAAGCGGGGCTGGTCCAGGATGGGTCTATTGATAGCACAGGGAATCCTGCAGCAGACGACAGCTAAAAACACGTCATGTAAACAAGCAGTTGTTTATTTTGTGTTACTTTATTTTTTGTTGTTAGATTTAAATCCAAGCCTTTTTGGAGCTGTGTACTAGCTAAGCCATGTATCATCTTCACTCTCTCTTTCTCGTCGTTTTTTTTTTTTTTTTTTTAATTCGTCACCCTGGGTAGGCTTCGTCATTCTTTTCTCTTAGAAGCACAACTGTTACCAAAGTCATAGCGACTGTGATTTCGGAGGACTTGGAGTAGTTTTAACAGTTTTTTTTGTTTTTGTTTTGTTTTTTTGGAAATTCATGACTCCATTGTTATAAGTTTTTATATTTGAAGCTATTTGTGCAGACGTTCGTGGAGGAAAGTGTTACTTTTGGCTGAAAAGCAGTGCATTTACTGATTACAAGCTGAGCGTCTCTCTTGTATCGGTTGAAAAAAAAAAAAGGGGGGGGTTGATGAAACACAACCTGTTGCGTAGACCCTCACTCTCTGTAATCCCTTCTTTTTTAGCTCTGTTTATCACTGCCAATGTTATTACTGTGGAGGGTTTCTTTTTCTCTTTTGGTGTGAGGTGGCGCCCTCTCCTGGTCTACTGTGGTATGGTAGCTAGATTGCGGGACCCTTGATATTTCCACTAAAGGCAGACCTTCATTTCTCTCAGGCAAAAGGAGGGGCAGCTCCAAACTGTGCGTATGATTTTGTTGATGATGGTAGTGATGATTTCTTATGCTTGTTGGGGGGATGAATGGATGCGACACTGACTTGCAGACCAGCAAACATTTTTATCTCGACTAAAATATGCAAAAATCGGAGTTTGGAAAAGAAGATTCGGCGCTCGATGTGTTTAGATTTGTTGAAAAAAAAAAAAGTCTATTGAAATGCTATGATGATATTCTAGCTGAAGACACTCTTCGCCACTCTTCCACCGGCCTTGATTTCACTGCGGCCTGACTTTTGACTTCACTCCAGTGATTGTGGAAAAGTTAGTGATGTATCAAATAAAATAAAAAAACTGACTCCAAACTTTGACTGTCTTGAACGAATTGAGCACTCCTGACCAGTCCGATCACACTGCAGCTGAACAGTTTCTCACAGTGGTAGCTCTGGTGCAGTGAAAATGTGGCCTGTGTGTAGCGAGCTCCTCCGCGTGTTACTATGTATTCACTATGCTTTTATCAAGAGGACTAACTGACCTTTTTGACTGTCTGTCTTTATATGCATAAACAGCTTCCTTTAATCTTTTCCATGTCTGTCTATTTACCCTTCTCATAGTACTGGGAGCAGGCTGCTTTTTTTATTGGATACGTGCTCAACCTGTTGGCATTATAACTGTATAATATAATTTATCATTTGTACTATTGTAACATACTGTTCCTCTGTATACCTTATTATTCTGTGTAATGGGTTTTTTTTTTTTAGGAAAAGTCACGGTGGTATTTTAACGGCATCTAAACAAACGAACGCAGCAGGGCCGAACCGTGTCGGATGAGGACAACTGTAGCTGCATTGGTTCAAAATAAAATGTGTATCACTTCAGCATTTTGCGTGTCCTCTTATTTTTTTATTTTTTTTTTTTATGAAAAACTCAAGAGGAAGTCAGTTTATTTAAAAAGTGTTGAAAAATAAAGCTTATAAAACACATTGAAGACCTTACAACATATCTAAAACTGCTTTTTAAAAAAAAATCTCATATAAATGTAAACCAAATGTCCTGAAAGAAGGAGGAAAAGTTTTAGGAATCCTGCAAATCTCCAAAAGTCTCTCTTCATGACACACACTCTTCCTTACTGCTCCTCTGTTGACCACCCAGATGTGGCAGATTGTGTGTTCACGGGGCCCGACGGTCCGGTGTCGTAGCCGAGTTTCTTCATGTCTTTGGTCATGATGTGAAAGGAGACTGTGACGAAGCCTTGGGAACGGACTCGTGTCACTGCAACACAAAATTCTCACTGAGTTGCAGTTGTATATCAGTCGAAGAGAAGACACACAGCCTCATTGTCCTGTGCTGTAGCTGATGAACTGTTTCCTCCTGTGTATGGATGTTCCAGTCTAATCAATCACATTAGTTAAGTTGTGCTGTTTCAGATCAGACCCGCCCCCTTGAAAGTGACACCTCTGAAAAATTTCTGATCCGAGTCGGTGGTTTAACTACAAACAAATGCTGTTAAACAAACAGAGAGAAAGACAAAAGAAAACTGAAGTAAATATATGAAACAAACCTTCTCGGCCTTCACCCTGGGCCACAACTTTAGGGTCTGTGTACTCGGGTCGCCTTCCCAACAGCCAGCTAATCAAGAAAGAAAAGACAGGAAGTAATGAAATGGATGCATCATGATGGCGCAAGCCTTTTACAAATAGGGGAGGGTGGGGTAAGATGAGCCATTTTTCATATTTCAGATCACTACATCAAGGCAATCATAGTTTCGTCTCTAACTAGTGTATCTGCATATATTTCAGGATGTTGTGCGTCCCTGCAACCCAACAGAATGAGTGTAAACATAACTGTCTTGATAATATAGCATGCCAAAAAAAAGTGGTCTCCTATGGTCAACATACCCCCTGTATGGCGTTAGTTGAACATTGGAGCGGGGTAAGTTGAGCCGTATCCCTCCCTCACCTTCTCTCTCCATAAATAAGAGTCGCTTTTTAATAAATGTCTAACCCCTTCACCCATGTGCTTCTAACCTTCACAGACTCCATGAATTGATGCTCATCTCCTAAATATTTGGTCACATGATCAATTTCTTTTACCATTTCCAAGCAACAGGAGGTGGCTCAACTTACCCCACTCTCCCCTATGCACTCCTGACAATTTCTTAAAAATTTCAGGAAGCTCTGCCACAAAAGAAATCAAAGTTTTCTTGTTCACGCGTCTTCCCTGTTTGCAAAGAGGAAAGAACCTGATCTCGAAAGCTTGGTGCTTTCATAGTGAAACGTTTATATGATGGTGAAAGAAGCACGAGCATTCTGATGACAGTTTTTGCATTTACATGCTAATGTGTGCTAATAATGCTAATATCTTTGCTGTTTTGAAAATGATTCTGAAGCACAATTATATCAAATGCGTGAGCTAGAATGCATTAACGGTGTCAACTTGAAGAACTTTCCTTCCATCAAGTGGTAAAAGTAGGAAACATTATAACGCTGCGATATGGAAGGTAAATCAAAAGATCTAAGTTGGCGTCTCTGTTTAAGAAAACATAAGGACTATTGTGTTGGTAACAGATGAGCAGAACAATGTTGATGTTTTTCCACTGATAACAGCAGCTGTCAAATAAAACATAAAGGTACGAAGGATTCTCACCACAGATGTCTAGACAGTATCCTTAGCAGAACTCTCAAGTACACAGACAGTAGAGCAGTAAATATTTGATAATGCTCAGAGATCGTCTGCCTCCCCAGCAGGCACAACTTATCAGCTGAAGCTCCACAGCTGCTGAGAAAGACAAACCAAACACCAACACACAACTGCTCACACATCTCACCTCGTGAATTTCTGAAGCCTCCACGTGGGCTCGGGGACAAACATGGGGATGGTCCGAGTATGTCTGGAAGACAAAAACACACAGCAGGTTCTTTAGAGACATTGCATAAGAGGAGTTCCATTTTTACATTCGTAGATCAGGCGTATGAAACCGCTGAAATGCTGGTTTTAAGGGAGAACAGGAGGTAGATGGAGGCAATACTGACTGTCCAGGTGTGAAGGGGATGTGTGTTGCTCCATAGCCCCTGACCACATCATTGCCAAACACATCTGGACCGTATACACTGACCACAAGCTGAGGCCCTGGAAAACAAATACGAAGCCAGAATTTCATAACACTCATATTTTCAACCCGACAGTGTATTTTTAGGTAGGACAAACAAACTGAACAAGTGTATGAAGGGGATTACTACCAAATAGTACTGTGCGGTTTGTGTATATGTAGTACTCACATCCTGAAGGGTTTGTGCTCTTGAATGTCGTCTCCAGCGGGAAGTTCCAGATTAACTTGTGTGAAGATTGAGTGCCTTTACAGGTTATTTGAGTGATACCTTCTTCCAACCCCTGCAGAAAAACATACAAATATTCAAAGAACTGCTACTATGATGCCAAGATAAGAAAATATACCATCCATTGGAGGCATTCACCTGTTACAACAGCTTCAGATAGAAACAAGGGAAAAAGGTATTTTCCACCACCGTAACAAAATCAAGTGTTCTTCAGTCTAAAATATGTAAGGGTTTGGTGCTGATTTACAGCCCCACTGTTAATATCATTGTCAGCACTTATGGAGTAAATCACACACAATCACCACAATCAAAACAGGTGTTACGGTAAGACTCGCACACTCTGAGTATGACATTTAAATGTGGAATATTTTCCTAGAAGCTACTGACCATATCACTGCAAACATTCAGTACACAGTATCAGTCAGTCAATAAGTTTTATCTATAAAGCACCTTCCCTACAAACCAAATGCAATTCAAAGTACTCTGCAGTGATTGAAAACAAGAAAGAAAAAAATCATTAAAATTTGGTACTTACTAGAAGGCAAAAGCGGATCAAGAGGTAAGTACTAATGCAAACCAACAGAATTAAAATGTGTGATTAAAAAAGTAAAGGGAGTAAAAAAAGAGTAAAATATAATCCAATCCAATCCAGGTTTATTTATAAAGCACATTTAAAAATAACAAAACACTGACCAAAGTGACAATTAACACGAACAATAAAACAAAGACACAGGAACACATTAAAAACAGGGGGACATGGACGGTTCAGTAAAAATATGATTAAAAGGCCAAGTTCTCAGGAGTTAAAAGCCAGGGAGTAAAAGTGCGTTTTTAAGTTTGATTTAAAAACAGGCAGTGAGGGGGACAGTCGGACATGAAGAGGAAGAGCATTCCAGAGCTTAGGCGCGGCAACGGAAAAGGCCCGGTCACCCCTGAACTTTAATCTTGACGTAGGGACAGTCAGAAGGCACTGGTCAGAGGATCTGAGAGTCCAAGAAGAAGTTAATAAAATTTTAAAATCAATCCTAAAATGCACAGGAAGCCAGAGAAGAAAGGCTAAAATAGGGGAAATGTGGTCATATTTACGGCGACCAGATAAAACACGAGCTGCAGCATTTTGAACCAGCTGTAAACGATTGAGAAAGGTTTGGCTGGCACCAAAATAAAGTGCATTGCAATAATCAAGACTAGTCTTGATAAAAGCAGGCATAACCTTCTTAAAATCACTAAAAGATCAAAAAGACTTGACCTTGTTTAAAAGACAGACAGTCCAACAGTGGGCCCAAGGCATTGGAAGCTCCTAATTCCAGGGGTAAATACAGCTGCGTATCGTCAGCATAGAAATGAAAAATGTTTTTTAAATATAGATCCCAGGGGGAGCATATATAAGGAGAAAAGGACTGGGCCAAGTATAGAGCCTTGGGGCACTCCACATGGAAGAGGAGCTGAGGAGGAGGTGGCATCACCAAGGCTGACAAGAGAATAATTGACAGAGAATAATACTACAAAAAAAGAATAATTGTGGAAAAGGGTAGAGATAGAACTGCAGGAACAGCCATTTAAGCAGTATTTAAATAATAAAAGTTGAGTCAAAGGAAAATAATTTTGAAATAATGTAATATCAAAGTAATAAAATATGGAAGTAAACATGGTACAAAATGCTAAACAGTAAATTCCTTCACGCACAGCTCCTATTTTTAAGTAAGATATCTGTATCTCTAAGTACCCCGTGCCTTGATTTGTATTTTGCCGTAATTTGAATGTTAAACATTTTATCATAACGTGCTTATTTCAGTATCACCACGGTTCTGACAGCACATGAACGCACCGGGAAAGTCTCGAGGAGCACCTGAACGCATCACTCCTCTACCTCTAGACGTTACTCACCGAGCTGGGAGCCCAGTCGTGGCCGTAAACAAAGCAGTATTTGCAGTACAGGTTGTCATACTCTGGAAACTGAAATACAACAAAAAATATCACTTTTACGACTTGAAGTTTTGAAACATATACTGAGAGTTCAAACACATTAAGCCATGATGCCAGTGTTGCTACAGCTGAAAGGAATTAGCTTCACGGCTAATGTTTAGCTAAACCTCACAAGCAGCACTTACGTTCGCTCCTTCGATCTGTCCGTTGACCGTGAGCAGAAATACAGACGGGTTGCTCGCAGCCATGACGGCCCCAGCTATAAAACGTCGATTATCTTGCCCCCTGTGCGCCTCGAGATTTTAAACCCAGCACAGAAAAATCCTCCTTCTGCTACTCACTGCAAGTCTCTCTGTTGCTACGGCAACGTTTGCTCCTCCTAACGGCTACCGAGTTGGCCCAAACTGAACGAAAGCGCTATAGCGGTAAGAGGAGTCCAGGAGGTGGCAGCAGTGTACTGGATGGATGCAGTCTACCCGGCTAAAGGCCTATTGGAGTAAAAACTGCATCCACATGCGCCAGAATGTAGATTCTGCATCATATTAATTATTTTCACCCTGTTGAAATTTTTAAAAAAGCATGGGCAGATGAGTCGAGTATGGAAATAGCAGATGGGATTTGTACAGTGGCCGAGAACAGGCACTGCTGCAAATAAAAAAAGAAAGCAAAAAAAAAAAAAAAAAAAAAACAACCACAACGGAAGTTACTGATGAAAAGGAAAAAAGAAATCGACGCTAGCTGCAAATAAAAAAAGAAATAGTGCTGATAAAAAAAAAGCCACAACGGAAGATAACAGTGTAAAAAAAATATATGGCAATGCAAAATAAATAAATAAAAGGATGCAAATAAAATAAGCCACAACAGAAGTGAGCTGCCGGGGACCAATAATGATGATGCACCGGTGTTTTACGATCTAGACACAGAAGATGACGGCAAGAAGACGAGCTAAGAAGTTAGTGGAAAGATTATTGTTTTATTTCGCCTCTGTACTTTTCAACGTATTATTTGGTTAGGCATGTAGCGCCTGAGTCTATATGAAGTTGAACTAAAGCTAATACTACACCGGCATCCTCCAGTACAACTTCATATTGGCTCAGGCGCTACATGGCATAAATTTTTTTTTTTTCGCAGTAAGAAACCTTTATTTTTTGCGTTGTTAACTTCTGTTGTGGCTTTTTTTTAATCTGCACTGTCTCTTTTTTTATTTGCAGCGGGCTTCGGTTTCTCTTTTTTTTTGCATCAGTAACTTCCATTGTGCCTCCTTTTTTTTTGCATCCATTTTTTACTTTGCAGCAATGGCGGTTTTCGGCCACTGTTGATTTGGGAAGAATGTCTACGAAATGTACAAAAGTGTTCAGGTAACACCAGGCACAATCTAATACAGCATAAATTGCTCCACAGACCTGATGTCCCACCAACATGCAACCCATGTAAATCCTGGATAGGTACTCTAACACATTAATTCTGGGCATGTAGTAAACTTTTTTTTCTGCTTTTATATTCTGTAAAGTCGATACTCATTTTATGACCATGTAATTTAGTTTTACTTCTTGATGTGCTCCTATGTTTTATTTTTTTTGTTTGTTTTTTTCACTGTATATATATATTCTTTTCACTTTTATCATTGATTGAAAATTAACAAACATATTTCTAAAAAATTTAAAAATAATTTTGACTCTGTTGCTGAGGGTAAAAAAAGTTTCCACCAGAAAAGCATGGCTGCCAATTCATTGGTCAAACCAGTGCTGGGAATTAACTTTGCATCAGCCAAATCACTTTGGCTAACTCAGCAATAAAAGGTGACTCTTTTGGATTCCAGTTGGCACTCAAATTTAAACAGCTTATAAAACTTTGTGAAATCTGACTGAATCTTGAATAATTCTTGAGTAAAATGATCAGTAATAAAAATATCTGCTCATATCTATAATTAAAAAATGCGAAGGAATTTCACTTTGATAAAATTGCTTCAGCCTTCAAGTGTAACTAATGAAACATTAAGTTTTATCATGTCGTTTTGTACAGGAAGGGCTCGGCTTTCAAGTAGCAATCAAATTGGAACATCATCTATGAGAAACAGTAGACGCCAAAAATATCCCACTTTGTCCTGACTCTGTGATTCAAAATTGTTACGTTTCCTTGTTCTGAAACACCATGAACCAGAGAACCGAAGTACCAAAGACAAAATAACAAAGTTAATGCAGACATACATTTGCCATACCTCCTTTGAATCCATTCCTTGGCTAAGATTTATCAAACTACCTTGTACAAGCTGGTCCTTTAATGTCAAGATAATGTTCCCTAATTTAGCTCCTGTTATGCTGCCTTCAAATGGAACTTATGGAGTCATAAAGTCGTGTCAAAAAGTCGAGTAAATGAAAGGCTTGATATTCAAGTAGCAAATGCTTAAAGATAAATACTGTCCTTGCGTGGTATGCGGCAATGCTAAAATTTCTGAAATTATCTAGTTGGTTTAATTCACCAAAATACAGACAAGTTATATACAGAACCTCTAAAGCCCATTATTAAGGACTTTTTGCTCAAAATAGCATATTATTTAGTGCAAATAATAGACCACATCTCTGTTTCTGCCTTTGTTCAGATAATTAGCTACATTGAGTGGAAAATCAACAGTATTTATCCAGTCTGTCACACACACTAACAATTTCCCTCCGTCTCCCTGTTACTCTGTATGCCTGCTAACCCCAGTTTGTTTTTATCTCTATCTATATGTTCCATGTCTGCTCTCTGCCCTACCATGATCCCTCCTTTTCCTTTTTCTCTCAACACAATATCCTGCTCCCTTTGGCCCCCAACTGCAGCTTTGCCACTTTCAGCCTCCCCCTATCCCTCCTTATCTTCATCTCACCATTTTTATTGGCCCTCCCTCTTCTCTCCCTGCCAATTTATTTGTCTCTGTTTGTTTCCCCTCCTCTTGCAATCTCTCTGTCCTGATTTCATCTTCCATCATCTCCTTGCTGCTTGTTCTTCACTTGCATCTACTGCCTCTGTCTTCCCTGGTGTCCTGCCTATTTTACCTCCCACATCCCCCATGACTCCTTGAAATTTCTCTGGCATTTGTCTTCGAACATGTCCATTTTTGTCTCTGTCTTTCTGTCTCCTCCTCCCTTTGCCTCCTTGTTTCTCAGTTCATCTTTTGTCTGACCTCCTGATGTAGCTGCTTTATTTTCTGCTCCCTAGAAAGTTCTATTTCTCTCTTTAGTTGATACTGTGAACACACTTTTTTTGACACGTAGCACTGAAATGAAGGCAAAAACTGTCATTATGGCATCTTGTAAACATACTACCTCAGCATCCTTTTTATGTTGCCCTGTCTCCTGAGTGCTCCCCAGTTTGACTGGTAAAACTTCACAATATGAGGGATATGTGGAGAGCCTGTCTTAAGTTTTTACAATTTTTTTAGGGTTACATGAAAGCGCTTTCAGTAGATTTTTCCCAAAAACCTGACTTACAACAGTCACTCTCTGCAGGTGATTTCAAGTGACACCTGGATGTTTTCTTACAGATATTTTTATTGTTAGAGTGGTTTCACATAAAGGACCAGGGCCTGTTTTTAATTGACTCCAAAGATTTACGTATTTGATCAGTGTGAACACAATCACACTTGAGTATGAGTACTGTATCTACTTTTAAGAGGTGGTCTTTGGCACTGCTTATGTGTATTTGCGCACGGTTCACAGGAGATGAGCTGAACTGTACAAAGACATGGAAACGGGCCACTGTAAAACGTTAAAACTATTCAACTCTTAGTTTGTGTTGAAACGTATGTTGTCATCAACATAGCACCAAAGGCGTCATAATTGTAATGTCAGTCTTATGTACTGAAAGTTTCAACTACAAGACCCTAATCACAGGTCTTGTCTCACTTGCAGTTGTGATTACTGTGTTCTGCTAACACGATGTATCATGACTTTATATTCTAGTTATTGAACCCATAATTGATCATATAGAACCCCTAAAGATCCTTACATACATGCATTGTATTATTAATAACATGACTGTGATAACAGATGGGTATGCAGTATATAAGACATAATGACAACTTGATACAAAATACATACAATTGTATCAACCTGTAATATGAAATATGGACAGTTTATTAAATTGTGATATAAGCCATCAAAAATCCATCAGACTGTATAATAACTCACACTCATGTTCAGTTCAGTTTCTTTATCATGTTTCCATAGCTGAGATAACCTGGTGTTATACTATCAGCATGTAAAACTGAAAATCCTGTTCGGCTGCATTTCCAGGGAAAAAATCTTACATTCAGAATACGCTGTTATAAAATAATTTTTGCGTAATACAATTTCCAGCTTCTGATAATACCATTTGTTTTATTGTAACAATCTATGACAAACACCTACGAATGATATGCGATGATAAAACTTCATCTTTCCCCTTTAAACACTGTAGATGAAATATAACAAATACATAATTTCAGTTCAATATTTCAAACACTGTTAATGAGACATACGGTATATTGTCTCATCACCATCTCCATCATCGTTGTCAGGAATCAGGAACCGATCGCATCCCCTAGTCCCTTCGTCATTTATCACACACCGTGCCAGCTGTTTCATGAAGTTCATGGGCAGGTATTTGGCCCACCATGAGTCCCATTTGCCTCTCCGTCAGCTCCCAGTATTCCCTCCGAAGGATGGGTACAATGCAACATGTGAGAAAGAAAATCAGAATTAGAACTAAAGCTGCTCTCATAGATGCTTTGGCCAAAACGGCCCCCATTAATCTAAAACCTGGTCTCATCTGTCATTAGCATGACTGTCTAAAAATTCCCCTACACTCTCTGCCCACTTCACTGTAACATAAATTGTTGTGCCTGATGTTGTTTCCTCTTTAGTGCGACTTCATTTTGGTCACACATATAACGTGGAGCAGAAGAGTGACATAATCGTTCAGTTGGCGGTACAAGCATGAAAATTGGCATGAGCATTCTTCATGGGTAACTTGACCAGAAAAGTGTCTCAGCCATTTGAAATTTCAAGATGGCGGCCATTTTTCAAGAGCTACCACCTTACCCTGGTGGAGGGTGTTTGTGTGTCCCAATGATCCCAGGAGCTAAGTTGTCGGAGGTTTTATGCCTCTGGTGGGTTCAACCATGGCAAACGGGGCCTGGAGGAGGGATCAGACTAAGGGTGGCTCAAATAGACCTTTTATGATGAGTAAAATATTTATATCCAGTTTCCCTCATGAGCGCGGGTAACTGGGCCACCCCACTCCACCTTGCATCCAAGCTCGGGGGTGGGGCTCGATGGCGAGCACCCGGTGGCTGGGCCTGCACCCATGGGGCTGGCCGGGCACAGCCTGAAAAGGCAACGTGGGACCCCCTTCTGCCACATTAG